GTTCTGCATGAATCATTATACCAAAAACAATTAATCTTAGTAGAAGTAATAGTTTTATAACAACTCTCCTACTTTAGATATTCTTCACAAGTACTATATTAATCTACACATCCTCCAATATCATGATAAACAGTACAATCACTTTAGAATATCCTACATTATTCATCAGTTTAATATAAAAGTGAATCTGGAGCATCAGAACAACTAAAAGATAAACAAGAATTGGTTGAAGCATTCCATAAACATTTTTATTTTCTCAAATTTAATACACACTATAATGAATTAACATAATCCTCACATTCCATTAGATCTATGCAACCATTTTGATTTATATTTACAGTACATGTATCTTTCAGATCTTAACATTATTAATGATTTTATCCAATATAATCAGTACATTCTATATTATCTGCATTGATACATTCAACTCCATTCCAAAAACATGTACCTTCTATTGCTGCATTAGATACACAATTTGATTTATTCAATACATCACATGTACTCTTTTCTTAACAATTAGTATTATTATTATTTAAAATACAACATTAAGTAATATCTTCTGAACATTCAAAATATGAATTGCATTCAGTCATATTTATAGAATCTAATTCAAATTAAGCTGTATAACATGATCTTGGTTAGCATTCATTTAATCCCCATACACAATCATCATCTTCAAAATGACAATTTAATTCTTTTTTTCTATCCTCACATAATTGTGGTAATTCCATACAACCTATAGTATTGCTTACTACACATCCTTTTAAATATGAATCACATAATTCATTTGTATCATAACTTGAATCTGCTGTAAAACATTATCTATCTATACAAACATTCCTTTAACTATCCCATCCACATTCTCCATCTATTTTTAAATAACAATTATCTTTTTTACTATTTCCTCTACAAGTCAAAGGTAATAATATACATCCATTTCCTTCATCGTTTAAAGTACATTCATTTAGATACTTATTACATTCTAAAGCAGTAGTCAACTTTGCTAAACTGCATTCTTTACTTGAACATTTCTCCGTATAAAAACATTTATTATCATTTAAATCAGTTATACATAATTCCTGATTTTAGATATTTTCACAAATCATGTCAACACATCCTAGATTTGTTTTTGGATCTATTGTACATTTTTCACTATAATCTTAACATTCCTAGTGATTTTCTAATGATAAAGGAGCATTTGAGCATGTTCTATCAACACATAAATTATCATCATTCCAAAAACATTCATCTCCATTTAAATCAATTAAACAAGCTTCTTCTATATTGTAATCTGAACATCTACTTATTTTCATGCATCCTCCATCCTTTTTAGTTACACATCCTATCAAAAACTTTGAACAATCTAAATTACTAATTAAAGTATTAGGAGCTAATGAACATTAAGCAACTAAACACATATTATTAACCCATACACATTAATTATTAGATAAATCACTTTCACAAGCATCTTCAAGTTTTGCTGAACCACAATTTAAATTATCAACACATCCATTTCCATTTGTAATACAATTTGATAAAAATGATTAACATTCACTATTTGTTTTATAAGTATTAGGAGCATTAGTACAAATTTTATCCATACATTTTTTACCATCCCAATAACACAATTCTCCTTTAATATTTTTTTTACATGCTTCCTATATTGTAGCTGCCTCACAAGTACTTCTATCTATACATCCTCCATTTTATTTTGTAGTACATTTTTTAATAAAATAAATACATTATTCATCAGTATTAAGTGTATTAAGTGCATTCTAACATATCTTATCAACACATGATGTTCCATTCCAAAAGCATTCTTATGTTTAATCTCTATTCCAAAAACATTGATTCTGGAATAATTAATCAGAACATTTCATACCACTCTCTACACATCCTTCACCAGATTATGCTACTGTACATGTATTTTATTCATCTCTACATAATTAATCTGTATTTAAGAATTTAGGGTATTATTCACATGAATCAGCAGTTAAGCATTTTTGAATTGATGAATCCCAATAACAGTAGTTTTCATTCTCATCATATTAACAAGATTATTAAGTCAAATATCNAGATACTTATTACATTCTAAAGCAGTAGTCAACTTTGCTAAACTGCATTCTTTACTTGAACATTTCTCCATATAAAAACATTTATTATCATTTAAATCGGTTATACATAATTCCTGATTTTAGATATTTTCACAAATCATGTCAACACATCCTAGATTTGTTTTTGGATCTATTGTACATTTTTCACTATAATCTTAACACTCCTGGTGATATTCAAATGATAAAGGAGCATTTGAGCATGTTCTATCAACACATAAATTATTATCATTCCAAAAACATTCATCTCCATTTAAATCAATTAAACAAGCTTCTTCTATATTGTAATCTGAACATCTACTGATTTTCATGCATCCTCCATCCTTTTTAGTTACACATCCTATCAAAAACTTTGAACAATCTAAATTACTAATTAAAGTATTAGGAGCTAATGAACATTAAGCAACTAAACACATATTATTAACCCATACACATTAATTATTAGATAAATCACTTTCACAAGCATCTTCAAGTTTTGCTGAACCACAATTTAAATTATCAACACATCCATTTCCATTTGTAATACAATTTGATAAAAATGATTAACATTCACTATTTGTTTTATAAGTATTAGGAGCATTAGTACAAATTTTATCCATACATTTTTTACCATCCCAATAACACAATTCTCCTTTAATATTTTTTTTACATGCTTCCTATATTGTAGCTGCCTCACAAGTACTTCTATCTATACATCCTCCATTTTATTTTGTAGTACATTTTTTAATAAAATTAATACATTATTCATCAGTATTAAGTGTATTAAGTGCATTCTAACATATCTTATCAACACATGATGTTCCATTCCAAAAGCATTCTTATGTTTAATCTCTATTCCAAAAACATTGATTCTGGAATAATTAATCAGAACATTTCATACCACTCTCTACACATCCTTCACCAGATTATGCTACTGTACATGTATTTTATTCATCTCTACATAATTAATCTGTATTTAAGAATTTAGGGTATTATTCACATGAATCAGCAGTTAAGCATTTTTGAATTGATGAATCCCAATAACAGTAGTTTTCATTCTCATCATATTAACAAGATTATTAAGTCAAATATTCATCACATAATGCAATTTCAACACATTATTGACCATTTGAAATACATCTCTTTGAAATTGATTAACAATCTTCATCTTTTTCAATTTCATAAGCACTGCATCCTGTAAAATGACGACAAATATTATTAATTAAAGCACAATTAAAATTATTAGCACATTCTGTCTTTGAAATTAAATTACAATAGGATGGATCTTTATCTGTTTCACTTGTGTCTGGTTTTATTACTGTTTCATTTTTCAAACAATTAGTTGAATTCCAATAACTCTACCCTTCATAATAATGTTCACAATCAAATTATGAAGTAATGTTTTCTCTAAAGCATCGATAATTCTTATATTGACTCAAAGCATCATGTACTAGAATAAATTTTAATAAAAGTGTAAACATTATAATTAATTTTATTAAAAAATATTATTCATCTTTCTCAAATCATGTGAAAAAGTAATAATAAACAATTCTTTATATTCTTTATATTCTTATAAAATATCATCCTCATTTATATAATAATATAATTTTTTAATTTATATATATATATATATATTAGTTTCTCTTCAATATTTTTTATTCATTATCATTTTGTAAATATTGTAAAAGAATGTATTTGTTTTTTCAAGAACAATATTATTTCAGATAAATATAAAAACGTATTAAAAAATGCAATATTTATTAACTTTGTGTTTTGTTTTAGTAGCTGTAGGACAATAGATTAAAGGAAATGGAAAACATCATAAACATAAGAACAAAGAGATAGGGTTTGTGTAGGTTTCAGCAGATTTGAATGATTAACGTATCATCTTAGAAGGAATTATACAATAGGTGAATTAATTAGCTCTCTTAGTCTAAAGATAAAATGTATTTGATGATAGTATGAGACAAAGACCTTTTGATTTAATGGGTTAATTGGATCGTCTTGATAAGTTGGAATTATATCCAGAAGAATCTAAGATTATTCAAAGCTTAAAATAACAATTAAATATAATTTCTAATGCAATGGATGTAGATGATGATATTTAATAATGTGATGACGAAGATGTTTGTTAAATTTGTTAATCCTCCATGTATTATTAATTGGATGATGATAATTGGTATATGATTGGATTTGAGCATGGATTTAAGTAATTATGCATTGAAATGAAGAAAGGAATTCCAATTCCTATTAGATTCTGCAAAATAAGCACTAGGATCTGATGGGGATCTCTTGTTGGCCTTCTCAAGTGAAAATCACATATGTTTACAATTTGTCAATCTAAAACATCCCATAGATATCAATGGTGTACTAAAATTATATTTGGGAACTACATTAAATGATTACCAAAATAAATTGATTCACTTACCAACTCATGGAATACCTTTAGAGTTTCTAGTTAGAGCAGAATATTAAAATAGAAATTTCATTTACAAAAACCTAAAGTTGATTGTAAATGATAATTCTTAGAGAGATATTCTTGGTGGTCGATTGAATAAATTGCAATTCTCTATTTTCGATTAAAATGTTTATATTTTAGAATATCATATAAGGTATTCATTGAATATGATGGTCAATTTTATATCCAATCCCAAATCTATCCATTTCAGGTTAAAACTATTCAAGGAAACACTAAATCAGAATAAGTAAATTTATATATATTATAATACTTAATAGATCAATATTAAATATTCAAAGAATATAGCTGAATAGTATTTGTCAAGTTTTATTTTAAAGGATACATTCAAATTTAGCTAGATGCAAGCTTCTACTTATACAAATAGTACTGATATTGTAATATCTGTTGAATTAGATTGATATTTATTTTTAATTCTAATAATAATTTATTGTATGAAAAAGATATAAAATAATCAACCAATCAACAGACCACTTTATCAATAAGCATACAAAGTTCAAGATTAAGTTGTTCCTTAAGGGATTGCCTTTTTTTCAACATCTGGTAAAAGACATTATCCAGATTTTCAGAGAGGAGAACTAGAAACTTATTAAGGAATGCAACATCTACTTGACCCACCCAAAAAGTAAAAATGATTTTGAGATATTCATAGATTAACTCAAGATTATGATAGATCTTTGAATACAAAAGACATTGATGGAGCAGTTACAAATACTCTACGTAGTAAAGTTGTAAAAAACATGGAATTAGCATAAGTTTATAAATAAGAAAAGCAGAAATCCTTATGGGAGCATAGTAGTAAACCTAGTGATCTCGATTCTTAAGCATATTAACCAAGAAAATAATGGGATGACAATGATCCATATAAAAATAGAAGTGCAATATACACTAATTATGAGGATTCTAAAAGAAAATTAGATGATTTAAGTGATAAACATTTTGAAACTATTAAATATCCTGAATCTACTACTTTTAAACCTAATCAACAATTTCATGAATCTTAACTTTAACAATAATAATTATATACATATGAAGATCCAAATTTGATTGCATAACGTTAACAATAATAAAATTAGCAAGATTTAATTCATCTATAAAATTCATTATCATAACCAAATTTAGTAGCTTAGACTCAAAATACTTAACCTTCCAACTAATCTGAATAAAGATATTAATAACCTCCTCTTTATCAATAATAGATTGAAGATGAGAGATAGAAATAGCAATAATTATTAATGCAAAAATAGTGGGAATAATAAAGAATAGAGAGTCTTCAAAAATTATAATAATAATAAAATGATAAAATTAGAGAACAACATAATCTAAAAATGCAATAGGATTAAGACTATTAAATTATTTAAGAGTAAAGATAATCATCATTAAACTAAAAATAACAATATGCTCGAGATTTAAGATAATAATAAGAAAGTAACAAAGAGGGGAATTATAGAAAAGGATTCACTCCTCCACCTGCATCCAAAAGTGAAATTATAGGTTCTTTATTATAAGCTCCTAAATTGTAAAAATCTTAAGGTTTTGATGGAGATATGAATTAAGATGTGAGAGATTCTTTGTCAAAAGAGATTGAAGAAAATGACAAAAAATTAGTAATCAATCGATTTAGACCACATGAATTACAGTAATATATTTATGATATGAAAAATGGACGAATTGGTGGAAGCAAAACTAGAAATAATCCAACTTTTATGTCTTATGCAGGACAATAATTAGTGAATCAACAACAATGATAACATATTATATATTATATTTAAGAATAATATTATTTATTAATATATATATATATATATTACACATACATATAATTATCTTAAAAAAATTCAATTCATTTTATTAGAATATATATATTAGTTTTGTAAAAATACTAAAATAAATTTAAATATAATTTTTCTATTATACTAAAATAAATTTAATAAATAAATAAATTATAAAATTAGTAAAATGGACATTAATATAATGAATAATATATTTGCTAATGATATGAATACAAAAACAATTGATATTTGGATATGTTTATTATTTTATAGAATATTAAATCTTATCAAATTTCATATTCTTCCCATGAGTTTTCTTCTTCAAGAATTTCCTCTACTGGTCTTGGATCTTCATAAAATAATTCTTCCCAAGTCATTGCATATCTATATTTATCTAAATTATTCTATTTTTTCTATACCTTTAAGTGCATCTTATAATAATTTCTTTCTACTTCTTTCAAGAGTTGGTTTGTACCAAACACCATAACCCCAATTCCTAAACAATTTATGTATTAATGAAACCTTTTATTCACTTCTGCTTAAGCAACTAATTCAGCCTCTGTGAATTGTCTTTATTTATAATATGCCCATTTTCCAAAAAAGTAATATCTACCTCCATAGAATGCTGTGAATGCAAAAGCTCCCAAGACAACAAACTTGATGATAGAAATGTAATAAATACAGGTCTAATTCTTCTCAACCACCATGCATTGGTTTCCCAGACGAAGTTTGTCCACTGATAAACCATTATATATTAAATTTAATATTATCATTTTACTTTCCTTTAAATTCATTGAATCAATATTAAGAAACCCTATTTTATTTCAATTATAACAATCATTAAAAAGTCAAAACGTTGTAAATCCATTAGTTCCTTTGTATACATGGTCATCATGATTAGTTTTTTAAGCAATTGATTTCTATTAGTATATGATAATGTAAAATATATATTTATATATTGAATATAATACTCTTTGTGGGATTCCTTTTTAAAAAAATGATTAAATAATTATTATGATAAATTGATAAATCCATTATTATGATAAATATAATTAGTATTCTTATTATCTTAATTTTATTACTTTAAAATATAATGTATAGTTTTTATTAATTGAGCTTATAATAAATTATGAGTAAATTACTTAATTTATTATGAATATGAATTTGGATGATGTATTTTTAAATATATATATATTAATACTACATTTAGTAATTAATATGAAATAAATTTATCAAAATTTTGGAATGCCAATTTAAATTTTGGTATATTAAAAAAAATGATAAATGAATATAAAATACTCAGTTTAAAAATAGAATTTCAAATCTAAAATTAGAACATGTTTAAAAAATATAAATGATGAATGTTTTCTTTAAATAAAATGATGAATGTTTTCTTTAAATAATATAGTTTTCTTCCATTGGAATAATTAAGGATTCTAGAAAATTTAAAGAAAAGGTAAAAAAATATAAAAATTTGTTGCTTTATATAAAATAAATTTATTCAGTATTTCTCTTTCTCCATTTTTATGATGAAATTTTTGAAATAATATAATATCGAAATAAAATGTTGATTGGAAAACAGCATCTTCTATTTAGTGACATCTGCCAACTTGCCTATCTAGTATTTATTAATCAAGGTTTATATCTTAGTAATTATTAGACAATTCAATAATATTTATATCTTTAATCACTGTACTTTATGTTAGTAGCATAATTTTTGAAGTATTATGTGTATTGCTTAAAAATGAACAGAGAAATAATATTTTTTAAATAATTGGATTCTCAATTAAGATTATATGCATTTGGTTTGCTTATTAAGCAAAATAAGAATACATTCTTTGTTCATTAATATAAACTCAAATATTATTTAATAATATAGACTTAAAATAGAAGCTCTAATAACCTATTATAATCTTAGCATAAATGGTTTTATTTACATTCAATTTTGAATAGATTGTGTTTGATTATAAGTAGATGTCTATAAATATAGTGTAATTAATGATATTTAGTTTATGGTTGTATAGAGAAAGAAGTATAAAAGTAAAAGATAATATAAAAGATAATTAAATAAAGAATTAACATTAATGTACGATAGATATATAGGTTGATACTCTTAAATAACAATAGAATCTTATTCATACAATTTCGACGAGAAGAATAAATTTACCATAAAATTCTTTATTATTTAATGATTAATATGAACTATTAGAAACTCAAATTAATTTTACAGATTTGATAACTCATCCAAATTAATATAATTAAGCATTTGAAATACTTTTAAATTTAAAATTTAATTATATTGAAGACACATCATTAAAATAAAATGAACTTAGAATTATAGTATTAGAGATGTAAATTGATGAACAAATATTATTAACAATTGATAAGAATGAATATTTTAAATATGAAAATCAAGCAATGTTAATACAATGTATTGTAGTAGATGGAATTAAGTGTTTTTAACTTTAATTTTTTGCTTTACCATTTAAAATAAATAATAATAATTAGGAAATAGATGAATCAATGGAGATAGATATGTGTAGATCATTATCTCATGAATTGGGTACAAATTTAAATAGTATAATAACATTTACTAAAATGGCATTAAAGGATGAGGACATTAATTCTCATTTTAAATTAAAATACTTAGAACCAATTAGAATAAATAGTGAATAATTAAATCTAATAGTAGGGACAATTAGAGATTATAATTTGATAAATTTGAAACAATTTAGTTTAAAATTAGAAGAGATTGATATAGAATTAGAGATTCGATTTATTGTTTCATTATTCAATGAAAGTATTGAAAATAAGAACATTAAAATAGAATATAGTTTTGATTTACAATCAAGTATATTGGTGAATGATAAAGTAAGATTTAGATAAGTTTTATTTCAATTGTTATAGAATGCAATAAAATATACTTTTGAATCAGCAATAACTATTACTATATAGAATGATAATTTAGAATGTTTTATATCAATTTCAGATAATGGAATAGGAATGGTATTATATATATAATAATATTATATAGACTGAATAAGAAGCAGAAAATATGAATTCATTGTTGAATTCTAATAAATTTGTTAAAGTGTCTGAATAATCTGTAGGTGTAGGATTAGGTCTAGGAATATCAAATTAGTTAGTAAAATAAATGAGTGGAAAGAATAATTCCATATAATTAAATCGTAAAGACAGAGGGTGTTAATTTAGCTTTTTTATAAAAAACCATTAATTGGAAATGTCAAAGGAAAGTATGAGAAAATAATCTTCTGGATTTGCAAAAAAGAGTAATTAAACAATTAGATTTTTATCTGTTAATACATATTTTGAAGATTAAGTAAAAGGATAATCCATTTAGAAAATCTAAATCTAAAAGAATTTAATATAAACTCATTCTAATTCTCAATAATAATTTATTATTCCATCCAATAAAAAAATATATGGATATCAAGAAAGCAAAAATTAAAGTGAAGAGGATAGTTTATCATCGATTCATCCTCCTATCTTAAGTCCAAAATTTTAATAATCTATTGTACAATGCAGTCTTAACAGTGACTGTTGTTCTAGAGTATTAATTGTTGATGACGAATACTTTAATATATAATGTTTGAAATTATTGATGACTAAGTATTAATCCAAATGTGATTCAGCTTATAATGGTAAAGAAGCATTATAAATTGTAAATCATAAAAAAAATCATCCTTGTAAAAAGTGTGGGAATCAATATTATAGTTTAATATTTTTGGATATCAATATGCCAATTTTAGATGGTTATAAAACTGTCAAAGAACTAAAATAATTAATGAAATAATAAATTATCAATAAAGCATGGTGTATTGCTAATACAGGATTCTGTGATTTAGATACAAAACTTAAGAGTTATGAAGCAGGCATGGATTATTATTTAACAAAACCTTTGGATTAGAATGAACTTAGAAGTATGTTAAATGTACTATTTCCTATTAATGATTACTGATTATAATATATGTTTTAGGTTATAAATATTATAAATTATGAATATATGCCAACTTGATTCAACTTAAAAAATAGTATAATATGCTGTTAGAATGATCATCCTCTCATGTGCTTTGATGTCTACTTTATTTATTGGAATTACATGTTTAAAAAGTAAAAAATAAAAATATTGGGTATTCAAATTACTAATTCTATAATCATTCGCTGAATCTATTGATTTAATTGGAGCCATCTCTTTATCATTTTAGAGCAAATGTTATGAAACCCTATGTGATATCATTGGATATATAATGCACTGTTGTTGGTTAACATCATTTACTTGTTTGTTACTTTTATTTTATTTGTATTATTCTGCCCTTCATGTATTAATTATTACAAATTAGATTAATTCCAAATATTAAGCAGTAACTAATAATATAAACAAATTCATCATTCTTTGTATTATTTGGCCTTACTTATGGCTCTTGTATCCATTACTAAATGATTCAATAGGTCCAACTGGATGGAAACTATATAACTCAACAGAAATATTTTATTTATTTTGTGGTTTTGAAGTATTTTATATTTCTAAACTTTAGGAAGATGAAATTATTTTCCTTATCTTTTGGTCTATACCCTTATGGTTAATATTCTTAAGTGTTCTAATTTTGAGATAGAAAGTATCCAATTATAAATTCAATAGATTAGTTCTCGAATTAAAACCCTAATTTTCGAAGAATAAATTAGTAGCATTGAATTAGATATCATAAAGAAAGTGGCAGACTTTTCAATTATTTATGTAATCTTTTGGTTAACAAATTAATTTGTTAAGTAAATTAATTAATATATTAAAAATTAGATATGTACAATTATTATATGATGGATATACTCAACACATTATATTATACACTTTGTTTGTGTTAATGTATTTGTTGTTTGAAATTCATTTAGTCATAATTGCAATCCTATTTTATAAAAATTATAAGTAATTATGTAGAATATAAAATATATAGTTAAGTTATTGACATTAAATCAATTTGGTCATTAAAAAAATAGAAGAATTTAAAAGTAAAGAATGATGAGTAATTAATTTGATTTTTATGTTGTAAATAATTTAATGTTTTAATATAATATTCATGACTATTCAGCATATATGATATCTCATGATCAAATTAGCTTAACTTATAGAGGAGAAATGTAATATGCTAGAAAATATTAGAACAAAGGATATCTATCAATTCAAATTTTTAGAATTTGACAATTTAGAAGAGATATTATTTTTAAAATAAGAAGAAACAGCAGTCTCTCTACCTTGGGCTAGAACAATAATTGTTAATTTCTGGAATGTACCAACAGAGAATTACACTCTATTTAATTTATATGAAGGAATGAAAATCCTATTTGACATGGACATAATCAAAGATTTGTAAGAAGTTTAATTTAAGTTCTTTTCCAATGAATAAATTTAGGCATTGATCAAATTAAAATGGTTATAATCTGAAAATACTAATTACTTTTATTTCGAAATACAAGAAGAGGTATTATTTAATTATGAAACAATTTAGAATTAGTATGAATTAACACTCTAATGGAGAGATTCATTATAAATTGTTGAAAGTATTAAGAAAGAATTAGAGAAGTAATTTTAAAGGAAGAATTTAATCAAAATATTAAATAAAATAGGTGATTATAGGTATGATAATATTATGATTATTAGTAATATCTATGATTTATAAGAGTTATTTAATTTAATTTTGGATAATCATTATGATACTCTATTTGTTTATTTCCCATCAATAATCAAATTAAAAATTTATACTAAAATATTTGAAGAGAGTGAAGAATAAATTAGATCTGTAGAATTGTTCATTCATAATTAATGGTTTAAGGAAAGATAGGATAATTTGATAGCTTAATTTGAGATATTACATACTCAGATTTAAAGATCTATGAAAGATTCAAATGAAGAAATAATTTTAGATTATGCCTTAATTTATGATGAAGATCAAATTAATTGTTCTGAATTAATGAGTAAGATTAATTCTTTGATCATTAAAATATTGTTAACAAATAATAAGAAAATTCAATCAATTTTATTGTCTTTGATGCCATTAGAAATTCATTTTGAATTGGATATTAAGAAATTAGAATTAAATTTAGATATTAATTTACATCATGAAGATCCATAAGATATATATTAAGAAGGATTAATAATTTTATTATAAACAATCACAACTTGTTAATTGTTTTAATCTTTAAAAGTTAATATTCAATAAGAAGATGATTCAAATAATATAAAATTTCTTTTATTTTCTTTCATTATGATGATTCATGAATTTTAATAAACTTTAAAAAACAAAGGCACATTTACATACAATAATTATTAATTAATTCCAAGATATCATTCAGTTTGTTCAAAAGGAGTTATGAATTATTTAATTTCAGAGAAGAAGTAATAAAAATGATGTTTTATAGTTAGATCAATTTATGAAATCAATTAGAAAGATTATCTTGATATTCAATAGGAAATGGAATGTTTTGTTTAATATATCAGTTATTATGCTTAAGAGAGTAATTCAATAATAATTTCTTGTGATTTATATGAATTAAATAAATCTAGTAAGTAAGGCTTTGATAGATTGATTTATTAATTAATATAATAGAATAGAGTATTGGGATTTGGCATATTAGATAATGGTAATAGAGATCAAAAATATTATGAAAGAGTAGTTTAATACTTATTATTACCACTTATAAAATATTATAGATTAAAGAAGAGAATATTATATACATTATTTATGATAGATAAAAGATTTAAGGGTAGAATGAAATGGGAGAGTATAAAAGAAGTGATTAATTATTTACCAAATGAATATGAATGTATGTTACATTTGTAAAATTGAATAAAATGAAAAAAAAATTAAATCCTTTTAAATAAATTATTAAAAAAAGAAATAATTCCTTAAGAAATGCCATCAAAGAGAAGAAATAATGGTCGTTCAAAGAAAAATAGAGGTCATGTCAAGCCAGTTACTTGTTCAAATTGTTGCAGATTAGTTGGCAAAGATAAAGCCATCAAAAGATTCACAGTGAGAGATATTGTTGATGCATCATCAAAGAAAGACATTTTGGAAGCTTCTGCTTATGAATCCAAATAATAATAGTCAATTCCAAAATTATTTGACAAACTTCAAGTAGTGTTAATAATTAAAAAATAGTATTGCATTTCTTGTGCCATCCATGCACGTATTGTTAGAGTAAGATCAGCTGAAGACAGAAAAATTCGTGTAATTGAAAGAAAACGACCTGTTTAATAATAAACATAAAAAAAGGATGCACCAAAACCATAAGCTCCAGTTGCAGCTTAATGATATATCTAATACAAACATACATTATAAAATGTGAATATCTTTAATTTTATGAAAAGCATCATCCTTGAATGCTATTTGTATAAATAATTTAAAAAAAAATTAATATCTTGAATAAATGACTCATAGTTATGGATTGAAAAAGGGAACAAGAAGTAAGTTTGCTAAACCATTCAGAGGACATGGTAATATAAGTATTCGTAAAACACTCTAAACATTTAAAAGAGGTATAAATTTATATAGTATTTCTTACAATAGGTGATTTTGTTGATATTTTGGTTGATGGTGCATAACATAAAGGAGTCCCATTTTAATATTATCATGGAAGAACAGCTAGAGTATTCAATGTTAATCCAAGAGGAATTGGTGTTTCATTATAAAGAAGAGTAAGAGGAAGATATGTAGAGAAAAGATTCCATGTTAGAGCTGATCATTTGAGACCATCAAAATGCAGAGAAGAATTTGTTAAAAGAGTTTAAGAAAATGATAAGAAAAAGACTGAAGCTAATAAATTGAAATAACATATCTCAACTAAAAGACAACCAGTATTACCAAGAGGTGCTGAAATTGTCAAACCAACATCTACAGTCTTTTAACATCCAAAAGCATTTGTAGAAATCATTTGAAATATAATACAATAAGTATAATAAAGATAATCATTTATCTATGAATTAAAATATCTGTTTAATATTATTTTTTTTAATAAAATCAATCATGACTCATTTATATGATTTATAAGAATTTAAAGAAGCTTTTGCTCTTTTTGATAAAGATGGAGATGGAACTATTACAATCAAAGAATTAGGTATGGTTATGAGATCTTTGGGTTAAAATCCTAGTCAATAGGATCTTAAGGAAATGATAAAGGAAGTAGATTTTGATGGAAATGGAATGATTGATTTTAATGAATTTTTAGCTTTAATGGCAAATAAACTAAGAGATACTGATTTAGAAGAAGAGTATATAACTGCTTTTAAGATATTTGATCGAGATGGTGATGGATTATTATCTGCTTAAGAATTAAAACATGTCCTAATTAATATGGGTGAAAAACTATCTGATTAAGATGTTGAAGATATGATTCATGAAGTTGATAGTGATGGAGATGGTCAAATCACTCTTGAAGAATTTATTAAATTATTAAATTGGAAATGAATGATAAATATACATATCCTATTTTCACTTAATTTATCAATCAACTTATCATAATATTATTCTAGCATTATTATTATTATTATTATTATTATTATTATTATTATTATTATTATTATTATTATTATTATTTAAATATTATAAAAAAAATTAATATTCACTATGAAATCAAGAGAATTATAACTCCATTTTGATTTACAAGCCCTTGATGATACAAATTTCTAATCTGATAAAGTTGTAGATAAATCTAATAAACAAAAATAAATTGAAGATTAAGATAAATACTCTAATTAAAATCTAATTTTTGAAATGGAAAATTCTCCTACACCAAAATAGAACAAGTCTTAACAATAGACAAAAATATATTCTAATGATAAAGATCAACTATATTATCAGAAAAATTATGAAAAAATCAATACAGAATTTAAGAGTGCAGAAATGCAATAAAGAATTTAATTGGCTGAATAACTCAAGAAAAAAGGTAATTATTATTACTCAAATAAAAATTTTGAAGAAGCTATAACTTAATATAGTGAAGCACTTGAATTGATTTAAGATAATGCTGTCTTATTGCTTAATAGAGCTATTGCATATATTAAAATTTCCAAATTTTAATAAGCAATTATAGATTGTACTAAAGTTCTAGAGATTGCTTAAAATAAAGATGAAAGATTAACTTAAAGCATTGATAGTTTTTTTAAAGCCCATTTAAGAAGAGCTCTGGCTTATTCTATAACTGGACAATTAGAAAAGGCCTTAGAAGATGTTGAATAAGCTATATAGATTGATCATACTGATAAGGAAGCACAAAAATTAAGAGCAGATGTCAAACATTAATTAATGGATAAAAAAAATAAAATAGATTCAAAAGAATATTCAGATGAATCAAATGAAATAGAATAATAATCAATTAATTAAAAGGAGAATAGTTTAACAATAAAGGTTATTAATTCTGGATAGAGTAATGAAATTGTTTAAAAATATAAGAAATGTAAGTTTAAATAAAATAATTTAAATTATAAGGATGTTATAGATGCATTTCTTAACTAAAATTAAAATTATGAATTATTTTAGGTATTATAAGTAATGATGTAATATACAGATGAGTCGGCTGCTTATTTTTATGATAAAAAAGGAATTGAAACATTGATTTAAATTATTAAGGCAGATGAAGAATTTCTTCATGATTAATTCAACGTATATTTTCTTAAAAAATTAGTTTATGGCTAGTTTGCCGGCTTTGATTTTGTAATGTTATTAAGAATAAAATTAATTATATCAAGAATAATTCATTTAACAATATAATGGTGTTGATATTATAATTTAAAAGATTATTAAATTACTCGACAAAGCAAAATAAAAGAAAAAATCAGCTATATTTGATAGTATTCGAGATTACATTGAAGCAATTAATATTATGAATGAGGAAAAAACTCGAATTCTTATATAATCTAGTCCTCATATCACCACAACTCTATATCCTGAAATATTTGTTAGAATTTTAAGTTTATTTGAAAAAGAATATGAATTGGTTTCATCATTTTTAAGTTTATGTGCAAACTTATGTTATGATTAGAGTAGTTTTCTTCGTTAAATCTTTTTAAATCATCTTGATCAAATAATTGATTAGATTTCTCATATTTATTAAAATGTAGAACTCTCCATATAATCATGTGATATGTATGTATAAATATTGAATCTACTATCAAATTTATTGATTGAAGATCAATTTAGAAAGAAATTCATGGATTATAACTTTAATAAAGAATTTTATATCCAATATTTCAGATTATTAAAGTAACTTCAAATTAACTTAGATCCTAATTATGAAGAATTAATTTCAATAGCTCTTGGTTTTTTGATTAATTTGTTTCATCATATGAATTCAATATAATCTGAATAATTGATAATAGAATTGAAATAATTACCAAAGATTTTGGATGCCTTTTCATTTTCTAGAAATTCTCTTATTTTAGAAAGAGTGGAAATAGTGTAAGCAATATACTTAAATATATAAAAAGAACCATCTTTTATTAATCTAAAATTCAAAGTAATTGGACCAATGAAAAATGGTTATAATTTTCATTGATAGTGTGTTTATATATATTTTAATATATAGTTTATTTAAAATTCGAATAATACATATAACAAATAAATGTAGCACCTGTCTCGTCCCCAATTATAATTACAAGAGATAGTGCAATAGAATAATTTCAAAACGTATAATCATCTAGATATTTAGGTGCACTAATAAAAGTAATAAACTCAGTCAATCTTTTAATCCTTGTGGATTGATTGCTCAAAGTTTGAGTCCTACTCATAAAGCTAATCAAAGCACAGGTTTATAGGGAATTGATTTAAGAGTATTAAAAAAATAAGGACCTCCAGTATAAGCTAAACAATATTAGTAAGAATTATTGAAGTTGATGATAAGTCATAAATAACTACCAATTTAGAAATCAGTTTAAAAAGTTAATACTTCTGATACATCAAATAATTTAAAAAGTAATATAACTACAGATACTAGAAGAACAAATTCAAATTAATATTAAAATACTAATGCATAAACAACTAAAAACTAAGGTTTTATTAATTTAGCTAATCAGATAATTATAATAGTTCATTATGAAAATTAATAAATAAAATTTCCAATTGATCCATCTAAAACAACAGGATGGTTGGATGAATATTTAAAATAAGAAATTAAAAAACATTCTATACATTAATATTCATCTACAGGTTCCCAACCAGATCATGTTAAAATAACTTGTGGTACTGGAAATGAATCAACAAATCCTGAGATAGTCTCATTCCATACAATCGATAAAAATTTACCTGTTGATTATTACTTACAATAAACTAACAAACCTCTTGATATTTTTAGTGGTTAAACTCTTAACTTATAACCATTTTTTGGTACTCCATAAACATCAAAGGTTTCATTAAAAGATTTTATTTTTGTTAAATGTATAGGTGTTGGAGGTTTCTCAAGAGTGTATATGGTAAAAAAGAAATCAAATGGAAGATTTTATGCAATGAAATTAATTGATAAAGAGTTTATTTTATAACATAAAAAATAAGGTAATAAATATATAATTATATATTAGGAATTGTTTAAAATGAAAGAGATATTATGACAGTATTAGATCATCCTTTCATAATTAAATTAGAATATGCATTTGAATCTAAAAACTTTATTATTTTTGTACTTGAATTTTGTAGTGGTGGTGAATTATTTTGGTAATTAAGACAAGTTAAAAGAATGACAGAATATTAGGCTAGATTTTATTTCACTGAAATATGTCTTGCTATGTTTTATTTACATTCATTATCAATTGTTTATAGAGATATTAAACCTGAAAATATATTAATTGATATTGATGGACATATTAGAATTGCAGATTTTGGATTATCTAAACCCAATATGTCTGAAGAAGATTATGCTTATAGTTTCTGTGGATCTCCAGAATATATGGCTCCTGAAATGCTATTAAAAATTGGTCACAATGTTTAAGTAGATCATTATTGTCTAGGAGCATTATTATATGAATTAGTTACAGGTCTACCACCTTATTATTCTAGAGATACAGAAGAAATTTATGAATCTATTCTTAATGAAGAACTCACATTCCCAGAAAAATTAAATTTGTCAAATGAAATTAAAGATTTACTTAAAGGATTATTAAGTAAATAACCATCTGAAAGACTTTGTGCAAATAAAGGTTTACTTGAATTATTCACTCATCCTTGGTTTAAAGATTGTGATCTAGTTTCCATTCTATTAAAAAAAGTTTAACCTCCTTTTAAACCAAATTAATTATAATTTAATTATGATTCAAATGATTTAATGAATGGAGAATTAGAAACAAGAGAAAAACTATTAGGAAAAACAGGATTGTAATAAGAAATTAAAATCTTTCAAGATTTTTACTTTGATTAATCAGAATAAAAATAAATGAAAATTGAATAAGCTAAAGTCTTAAAATAACATTGTATTATGATTACATCATTATAAATGCAATTACTTTAAAAATTTAAGAGTATTAGAAAAAGTACAGAACCAAAAGAGTCAAGTAATTCAAAACCTTTATCACCTTATACTGGTTCTCGTTAAATTAATTAAAAATAAAAGATCTAATCTGAATAAATGTCATCATTATAAAAAAGAATTAAATCTTAGTAAATCTATAATATTTATTTTATAGACAATCATCCTTAGGTAATGTTCAACCAATTCAACCAAATTGTATAGTAAGCCCATAATAATCAAAAATAGAGAGTCTTAAAAGAATAATTTCATAAAATAATTTCTTTATGGATCGCTAAAATACATTACCAACCAATAATCAATAAGCTGGTTAAAGTAAAGACAGCATTGATTCCTAACTAATTTATTAAAATAGTCAAAATATGCATAAACGTGTGTTCTCATTAAAATAAAGAAAAAAATGATCAAATATTTTAATCAAATTGCTCATTAGTAATATTTAATATTTAAATTTTGTCTTTATTTATAAATAATAAAAAAGAATTTCTTCATTAAATATTTAGTTCTATATATATATTTTAAAATATTAATAATCAATTATTTAGGTTTTCATATTGATATTAGAAGTTCAAAATTTATAATATAAAAAATATATATATATAAAATATTGTTATTCTAACGTTTATTTAAAATAAATATCTTGATTTAATTAAAGTATCTAAATAAAATTATTATAATTTATTATAAAAAAATTGGTTGATATTTGAAATAGAATCGTTAGATAAATAAGATCAATCATTCAAGAATAACATAATGTTGAAGAATTAAACATATTTTCAAACCTAATAGTTAGATAATAATAATTATTTAATATAAAATAAAATTTAATATCAACAAGGTATTCATAATTAATTAAATAACTTTAATAGTGTAGGATTTTACATTAGAGATGAAAATATTTTTGGTTGTAACAAGAATTATTTTTCTGTACTACTTTCAATAATGATACCATTTGGTGGGAAATCAAAAAAGACAGAAATCACATAATCTCCAGTTATATTAGGTTTCTGTAAAATATTAATGAGAAATATACATGTGCTGAAGGTATAAGTACATAGGTAGCATTTTGAACAGAGAAAACTTCCATATCTATATCTCTTCTGCCTGATAGTAATTTAGAATCAAGAACAGGCTTTTAAAATTTAGTGAGTTCAGTTTCATTTTACTATAATTAAAATAAACACATAATAATCTTAACAAGTTTACCTTCATAGGGATATTTAGCAAATCTATCCAATCTTCCATCTTTTTATGATAAAGCAATATATATTTTCTTATTTGGAAATGGATGATTTATACGAATTGTGTATCTAGGATTATTATAAGGATATTAAGCTTAAGATCTTTCATTTTTATTAGGAGTGCCTAAATGTTCTTTTGTAAAACTGTCATATATTCTCATGACAGACCATTATTCATCTAAATTAACACTCATGAATAAATTATTAAAGATATTTTAAAAACTTTTAAAATTCATAATGAAAATACCATCATCACCTAAATTGTATTAATCAGGAGGTTCAATATCATTTTATTCGCATCTTTAGATTTCTTCATTAAAGTATGCTTGAATCAATTAAAAATTTTCATTCATTTCTATACTATAATCTGACCATTTGAGTTTCCATTCTCCAAATCCCCATGGATTTCTGAGAACAATTAATTTATGTATTCTAGATTGAGCATCTTTTAAATGAAAGTAATGTAATATACTATAAGCATGTCCTCTATATAATCCTGTTTCTTCACCATTTAATAATACTTAGCCTGTTCCATGTGCAGAACATCCCATTAATGCATTTGTTTATTTACCAACTTAAAAAAGATTTAATAATTATTATTTTTTTTCTTAAGGATCTTTGGTATTATCATTTTCATCAATAACATATCTAGTACAAGGTATACCAGTACAATCAAATAATGCTTAAGAGATATCTCCTGATGTAAGTGATTCATAACAATTATGTAATTTAGCATATGCTTTTTCTATTATTTATACCCACCATTCTCTTTCACTTCTACATTCAGCAAATAACAATTTATTATTATAAGTACAAAATCTATCATCAATAACTACATAAACATCTCTAAACATTTTATTAAATTTAATAACAATAATTCCATATTTGCTAAGAAAATGAAATAATTTTGGATATAATCCTTTACTAATATCATTTTGATCTACCAAATATTAATCATTACCAGCTATAATTGTTAATGCAGATATCAGCCAACAATCTCCTAAATAATGTGATTAGATTACATCATTGGCATTTGCACCATTTTCATCCATAAAAACCCAATCATTACATATTTCAGAGATCCTTTACCAACATAGATCTTTTGGATCTGGCCATCCTTTAACTGGTAAATTTTCAATTCTAAATATTGAATTAGCACCATAAGGATCTAGTTTATTAGATCCAAATTCAGGATCTTCCCAATATTTTTATTTATTAAATTTTAAATTTTCTACTATTTATAAACATACTACTAAACAAGATATTTCATTTGTAAAAATATATTAAAAATTTTCAAATCTATCTTTATCAGAAAATGTAGTTTTGTATTTTTTTAATTCAAATAATAATTATTCTTCAATATCTAAATTTGCAATTTCAATTTAAGTGGAATCAAAATCTTCAAATAACATTGTTGTTTAAGTTTATGTTTTTTATCTTAATAATAAACTATAATTTTTTAATGATTCATTAGTATAAGTAATAATTTCTTAAGCTGATACAATTCCAGAATTATCAAGATCCATAGCTTCAAATAATTTTGCTGATATTTCATAATTAGGAGTATTAAATAAATCTTAAGCAATTTAATTAAATTAATCCAATGTTAATTATGTTTCAGCATAAATTTACTCTTACTTTAAATATTTTTCTATTGATTTATTCATTGCCTATAATTTTCTTGCTAAAATAGTAAATACAATTTCAAATGAATCTCCATAACTCATAGTCATATAATAAAAGCTCATTATTTCATCATAATCTATAGAACCCTTTTATTAATAATCCATTAATTTAAAGAATGCTAATGTTTCTTTTTTATCCAAATATTATTTGGCTACATTATAAAATACTTCTATTGTTATTCCAAGTTCAGGTTTTTAAATAGAAAGCATCAATTCCAATACAAAACTACTTAATTTCACTCCCTTTATCAAAAGAACTTTTCTCAATATATTAACTTTCTACTCTTATATTTATTAAATCTAAGGAAGTGCAGGTAATTTCTCAAATGCTTATAAATATTCTTCTCTAGATATTTAATCATTCTCTGATATATCCATATATTAAAAGGCTGAATAAATCTCTCTTAATGTTAAATATTATTGCCAATTATTTAAGCTTTAAGTAAATGCAACAAACATTTCCCTTGTAATATAACCTAACTTATTTGGATCCATCTTAATAAAACCTATAATTCCATCATATTACTCTCTTTTTAAAAAATATATAAACTTTGAATAAGAATTTCGATTGAAATTATTACCATATTCTTCATTAATTTAATACATTTCTAAAGTTTAATAATATTCATCTTTTGTTATTGAACCTGAATTTTCAACATCAAAAATATTAAGCAATTCTTATACATAATTCTCATGAAGTCTAGCAACTTTTTTTAATATTTCCCCTAATCTTTTTGTTGTGACTATTTCCATTGATTTTGTATCAGCAGCCCTGAAAAACATCTCAGTTGTCAATCCTAATTTCTTTGCAGCTTTCTTCAATTACTTGATTGCTGTATATCTATCAGAATATACATAAACCTTCTCCTATTATAACCTTTTTAGATCTTATTATTCTTATTGTAATAACTTTACTTTCTTTTTCAAAGTAATTACTATTTTTTTATACTCATCAATACTTTTCATTATAATATTTAATATAAATGATTTTCATATTAAAATAAAATATATCTATAATTTTCACTTCATTTAATTGAGCTTTTATGTCTTATTTATAAATCAAAATATGCTTTAGTAATAGTATCTCTACTATTTTCAAATTATTAATTCCATCCTTATAATTCATTTGAAAAACTAATCAATCTAAAAACAGAATCTAATTTTTAATCTAAAACTGATTTCAATTGAGTTAATTAAAAGATATATTCTCCATCAGAATCATTATTAAAGTTTATTTTCATAGCCATATCCTATATTTGATTGCATACAGCAGTATATTTACTGAAACTCTCTTTTAATATCTAAGCATTTTCTATTTTTGAATCATCTTTAAATTTTTATATTGTTGACACTAATTCATCATGTTTCTCTAATGCTTTTAATTTTAATTCTTCTAAAGTTTCTTCCTAAATATGAGATAATTTTAATGACAATTAATTAATTGGTGTCTCAAAGTTATCAATATTCTCTTTAATAACTGTTTTAATCTCACTTTTGAAATTAAGAATTAAATTATTATGGAATTTTTTTTAAATATCAAAATAAGGATCTAATATTACATCACTTATTTTTTAATAGGTAGATTCCATTAATTCATTTAGTAACTATTTTTATTAATATTATTGTTCTATTTAAAGTTTTTCATGTTTTTCCTTTTCTAAAAGTAATTCTTATTAATTTTATTATTATAACTACTTAATTTCTTAATCATGAACCTATCTAAAATTATTAAATTCTTCTTATCTTTTTTACTCTGAAGATTTAATTGTATGTTCAAGTTCTTATTATAATTAATAATTTTTTTCTTGTTCCTTCTCTAATTTTTCTTTTAATTCTTTAAAAGCCTATAATAAGATTTCTAAGTCATCAGATTTTTTCTTAAATTTTTCTTTAAGAGCTTTTAATAATATTTAATACCTTTCTACTTTTTAATCATGTTCTTAAGCCTTAGCCTCAGATTCTTTAATTTTTTATTCTAACAATTATTTGCATTTATTCAATTCTTACTAACATTATACACCCTTATTGAATAAATCTTAAGTCTTGAGTTAATATTATGATTTTTATTTTTCATGTTTATCATTATAATATTTTTCTACTTCTTCCTTTTCCTTTTTCAAACTTTATTCTGTATTCTTATATTATAAAATAGTTTATTCTAGATCTTTAATATTTTGTTTATAATCTTCAGGTATTTCAGATTAATCAATTTATATTTTGATATCATCACTTTCAAATTAAATAGATTTTAATTCTTAATTTCTAATTTTCTAATTTGCTTCTTCAAGCATTTAAATATATTTGTTTATTACTTCTTAAGATTTCTTTTACAAAGATTTTTAATCTTCTTCCATTTTTTCTTACTATTTTTTTAACATTTCATTGTTTCTTTTTTAAACTTATTCCATCTTATTTTAAAATTCAATCTTTTTATTTTCTATATATTTAAGAATCTAATCTTCTCTTTAATACTCTTATTACTTTTACTTTATATTAAATACTCTTTCATTTTCTTATATTGTAAAGATTAAATGATTATTTTCCGATTCTAAACTCTTTAATCTCTATTCCAATTAGTCAATTTTATTTTTAGATTCTTTAATTCTCTCAATTTCTTTTTGTAATTATAATCGATAATCATTTACTTCAATCTACTTCATATTAAATTTATTTTCTAAGTTTTATATGATTTTTTTATATTATTCCTCATTTTTATTTGAAATATTTTATTTTTAAGATACTAATGTATTTATTCTTTATTCTTATTCGTTACTTAAAATTATACTCTCTTTAAACTTATTCAATACATAATTATTCATAAAACTATTCCCTTTCCTTGGATCAAATTAATTACTCAATTCAACCTAATCTTAATTATTTTTATAAATAAATGCAAATTATCTTTTTTATTATTCTTAAAACTTAAGAGTTTCTGAACACTCCAAATAAGTGATCCCAGATTCATTAACATTCTAATGATCAATACTTTAATATGATTTTTTATGATAATCCTTAATCTTAATTTGAAAATATTCCAATATTTTAGGATCCTCTTATTAATATCTATACAAACACCAAACACTATTCCATTCATCTATTGCTATTCTTCCATTTTAATCATATTTAAAATATCTTGTTTGAGATTCTTATTTTATTTTATTTTTTTATTAAACTTTATAAAAGTATTTATAAACATTATTAGGATCAATCTCAATATTAGCAAACCATATTTGGTTATTATCTATTTCCATTTTGCTATGATTAAAATCAATGCTCATCTCCTTTTAATCCTAATAATACACAAAAACATTTTATATAATTTGATTATCATTCTGTTCTTCATTATTTATATTATCAAGCCTAATTTATAATTTTACACTAATTTTTTTTTATACTTGCATTGAATTATTTCCTTCAAGTTCACTTTAATTTTATATCATAAAAATGCTAGATTTTTTTCAAATTTTTAATTTTTATTTGTAATTATTATTTTTCTATTAATAAACCATTATAAAATTTAATATGAATTTCTATTAAAATGATATATTATATTAAATCAATACCAAATATTATAAATAGGAAATTCGACTAATCTAATTAACTAAATATTATATCTTTTTCTATTTTACTAATTTTTTTTACAATTTTATCTTTATTTTAATTTTATTTTATTATCCTTTGTTGTCTCAAATTATTATTCAAAACATATTGAATTTATTTTAATTTTATACATTTACAAGAGAGACACAAATAATAAGAATTATTTAAATAAATTTGATTTATACTACTTCTAATTAAGTATTATTTATAATTTTTACAAGAACTCATGATAAATCACTATTATTTTAATAAATTCATTTTAAGTTTTATAGTTCCTGCTAATTTAATGGTTGTTAATCAGGATTATTTTATTGATCCTTCTTTTTACTTATAAAATTAATAGAAATCTATACCTAAAAGCTCTGATGGCTGCCAAAGCTATTACTCCTATTACAATTGCGATTAAACCGTAATGATGAGTACTTGAATTAGTATCTAGAGACAAATTTTCTACATACAACTCTCCTTTACTAGATTCTGATATCTCTTCTATTGAAGCTCCTTCAGGTATTGATTTTGAATATTTTTGTAAAAGAGTTATTTAATCTGAAGATATTGATAAAGGCTTAGGGATAATATAGACAAGAATATCACAATTTTCATATTCTAAATAATAAGCTAGTTTTTCTAATTATTTTGCTAAATCCATCAATCTCATCTAAAAGTTATTTTCTATTTCAAAAACTGGATTCGATTTAATATCTTTATCCACTTCTATTGGAATGACAAATTTAGCTTTTTGTGGAATTTCAGCTTGATCTGTTAAAGCAGCATCAACTTCTTCCATGTTTAATTAGATTTCACATTTAATACTATCTTTTCTAGATAATTAATGCACAGCTGGACAATAAATTTCAAAATTAGAAGGTGCAAACATTTTACCAGATGGTACTTACTTAAGTGATATTTTTGATTTGTCTCTCACTTCATACTCATCTCCATAACCAATAATATATTCACCTTCTAATTTTATAGTGATCCTCTTAACTGCCTATACATTATCATGATAAAGTTTACATAAACTAATTCAGCCTATTTTGGAAATGTTAAAAATTAATTAGCAATACAATCTGCATTTATTTTCTGTATGATTAGTAACAATGTAAATATCATCTATGAAATGATGTTACAGTTTATATAATATTTTAAATAATAAATGTTTATATATATTAATCGATTGTTCATTGTCTAGTGTTTATATTATTCTAAATATCTTTTTCATTCTTAATTAATACAATAATATCTAACTATTTTATCAAATTTAGTAATATCTATTTATATAAATAAATCTTTATTTTTTCAATATATATTTAACTTCTTTAACAATTTTAAACAAAAATTTAATAACTTATTTCTCCATTATGAATTAAATAGTATAATTAAGATCTTGATTAATTAAATAGAAGATAATGAAATGATACATAATGTTTATAATATATATTATATCTAACTAGAAAATATAAATATCTTTGATAATATTGGAAATAAAAATCAAATAATTATGTTAATTTTATGAGAAATTGCAACTCTTAAATACTAATTTAAATAACTTTGGCTTTTATTAATAAATGAACATTATTTCTGATTGTCCCTCTGTAATGAAATGGAAAAGCATAGTTAGACATTCAAATACAAGTCAAATTTTAATTTTAAGAGAATCTGTTCGAAACATACATTAATCTCTACTTTAAAGTTAAGTATATATTTATTAGAGATTTATATATTAAATATGTCTTTTTAGATTTAATGAATGATTGTAAATTTTAGAAATAATATCACTAGTTTCCTAGAGTGGTTTAAAAGATTTAGACATTAAAATATTCTTCTAATTTTATTGAAATTATTACAATATTAAGAATCATATAAGAAATGCATAATAAATAGATTAAAATTGTTTTATTTTAATTCATGATTTAAGGAACTATATTCTTAATTTTATATACTAATTCAATCTATAATAATATTAAATCTATCTAATGACTGAAAAGTTAAAATTTTAATTAATAACAAATAAATCATTTTTTTTTCTTGTTTTTTTTTACTATTATATGGATATTGAATAATTTTACGTTATTTTTGTGTAAACAATAAAAAAGAGAGATGCTTAAATTGATGAGATTTGAAGAAAGCTTAGTGCTTTGAGAAATGACATTATATTGTATACAATATTATATAGAAGTCATATTAATTGATATTTATAATTATATTATGAATTAAGTTGAGCCTTTTGGGATTAGAGTAATACCAATAAAGTGGGTTTTAAAGTTTGATCCCCCAATAATAGGACTGGTTTATAAGCAACATTAGAAAGAGAAGAAAAAACATCTTTATCAGATTTCATTAAACAACTTAATATTTCTAACAAATCCAGAAGACATTGTAAATTAAATAATTTATGAACATCCTGCTTATTTAAATAGAAAGTTCATAAAATATGATCAAGTATTTAGATTTAGTATTATAAACATAGCTTATTGGATTAGTGCGTAAATTATTAGATTATAAAAGTCAGAAATTATAAGAAATCGTAGAGTTTATGGAAGATCATTTAGTTGAATATGATGATGCAGATTCAGATTAAGAAGAAAAATATACATCTAATCAGAACTACTCTTTTTGATTTTTTAATTTATTATATAATATGTATGTATTTAATCTAAATATGTATTAAAATTAGATATCTCTATTTGTTTCTAATTATATTCTATAATATATCTTTGATTATTGTTATGAATATAACTACTTTTTATTCTAACATTATCCGATAAATAAAGTTGATATTAAGATTTATAAGACTTTTGCTAAATTTCTTAGATTAGATTAGATTAATTAGATTTTTAATTACTGAAATATAATATTTATATATATGAATGCAAACTCATTTGACTGGAACATCTTTATAATCAATAAATTCTCTCTCTATTTTATCTTTGGTTACATTAAGTAATCTAATAATTCCACCTGATGATCCATCTCTATACATGGCATGAGCTACTGCATGTAAAACAAATGCTCTTGCTTCTTAAAGTGTCATGTTTTCCTTAACACATAATTTGATTCAATATACTTTGTAATTAGAATCACAGAATCCCCAAATAAATGTACTTCCAGATCCACCAATACTCCATTTCTATTCAATGACTGATCCTCCCAAAGGCAATGTAAATATCTATGGACCTTTATATGGATCCCATCCAGCAACAATTATGGCAGCTGACAATGAACTTAGCATATTGATAAATTATATACTCTTTGTATTCATATAAGAAGTTTCTGAAGAGATTTGCAGCAGTGGCAACAGCAGGTAATCTACCTAATTCTTATGCATGTGCATCAATATAGTATCTAACATATTTAGCAATTGCTTAAGTGTCTGCAGCTGAGCCACTTCTTAAACAAAATATTCTATCATGAACATAATCAATTTTATCAGCACATCTATCTGCAACAAATTGTCTTTGAAATATTTATTGATAATTACCCAGAAGATGTACGACTATCAGCACCAATTATTAATCCACCATCATAAATGACAGCCATAATAGTTGTACCTGTTGTTTCTGGCTCAAATTTTGATGTTAATATGTCTGTGTAATTCATTATTTTAAATATTTTTAAGATTAGTATTAAATGGAACTTTATAATATGTCTAGTATGTATATATATATATATTTTATAATTATAATAATAATTAAAACTCATAAAGATAAGCTAATCATTTAAGTAGATATGGGTTAGAATTTATATTGAGATAAGGGACTCAAATAATTACTTAGACATATCCTAAAAAGTATGAAAATTATATTATACTTTTATGAAGGTTAATCATATTCCCCTATGAAAAACGGATGAGCCAAACAATCCTCAGCAGTGAATCTAAATTAAGGATCCTAATTCAACATTGACAATAGCAAATCTTTTGCATTCTTATCTTTTATTTGAGAACTTATTTTCATTCTCCCTGCCATATTTTCATCAAGATTATTATATATACCCTTTCCAGTTAATAATTTGTGAAATATAACACCAAGACTAAAGATGTCACTTTTTGAAGTTATTGGTTAATTCTTAAATACTTCAGGAGCAATATAACCTCCAGTTCCAGATTTGATATTAGTATTATCACCTAATTATGATAGGCCAAAATCGATTATTTTTACGGTTCTGTTTGGAGTCAATAGAATATTGTCATACTTTAAATCTTTATGTATTATATGATGTGAATGTAAATGATTAAGTCCTATTATTATAATTAAAAAATACCTTCTAATAATTATTATAAGATTGGTCTAATAATATTGATGGGTATTTTTTTATTACTATATTCATTTTAAAAATCACCTAGTGATTAAACATGATAATCCATCAGTAAATAAATTTATGATTCATCCTTGTAAAATTCTTCTGAATGAAGAAGATTGACATGAGGTTTATGATTTAAAATTTGATTAACTTATAATTCTAGATTAGACTAATGTTACAATAGAAATATAGTAATACATTATTGTCTTGAAGGACTTTTATCACTTTTAAATTTTCACCCCGTAAAACTTGAAAAATCTTTTCAGTTTATTAAATATTATTACTTCACAGTGATCAGTTTTCTTTATCCATCTTAAGAAGGAAACCTCTTTTTCCCAATTAAAAAAACCCATTTTGCCTTTCAATACACTTCTCAGTTCAGTAACTTTTAGTATTTCACCTTCAAATTAATAAAGTCTTTGTCCATATTGACATAATGTGAAACCCTTTAATTAATTATTCTGACTTCTAAATTGTATTTAATACATCATATGTAGCATAATCCCACTCAATACAATAATCTGTTTAAATAAACTCTATAACTTTTTCTTCTCGTCCTTTGAATCCTTAAATAACCATTTTATCTAAGAAAACTTTCACATTGACTTTTATTTCAGTCATAGTGATCTATATGAATGAAGATTGAAATATTGGCAACAACATTTTAATAAAAGTGAGATTTTAATTACATCTTTAATTGGTTAATATAATATGTTTTTAAACATAAAATTCTAAATCATTCTCATTCTATTTTTACTTTCTTATTTATCACTTCCTCAATCTATTATTCATTTTACTCAACCTTTTCATCATCTTCAAAATCACTATTATTTCCATCTTCTTATTCCAATAAACCAAAATCTGATTCTGCACTTTTTTTATCTAACTAAAATGATAAACAACACATTTTTTTCATCTTAGTTACATTCTTCAAAATATGGAATCTTAAAATTTAAGATTTATCAAAACCAGGTAAACCTTTAATTATTCTTTATGAAAATTATTCAATCAATTCTTAATCATCTTTCCCTTTTGCAAATCCATATACATGAATGTATGGTAAATCTAATTTTCCAGTCTTTTATGTAAATCCTTTGAAAACATCTAAAAAGTTTAATGCTAAAACTGGCAAATTCATATAAACATGATTAAAATCAAAGTCTATTTCCTTATCATAAATCTTTAATACAACTTCTCTAGCATCCATATTCAATGGAATTACTTAATTCTATACCTTATTTTCCACTATATTCTTTTATAAATAATTGAAACATTCTGGATTTAAATCATTAGCTAAACAATTAGCATTCAAATCTTTAGCAATTCTTATTGAAAAAGGACCAATTCCACAAAATAAATCTAAAACTTTTATTTTTTAACCATTTGATAATTCTTTTATAAATTTAATAATTCTTTCTCTTTCTGAATATAAACGAGTACACCAATAAACCTTTTCAAAATTTAAAAATAACCTTATACCACCTTCAGGTACAATAGCATCATATGAATTCTTTCCTGCTAGTAATTCTAATTAAGGTGTTCTATAAACATTATGTAATTTTTCCAATTTATTACAAACTGTTTACAAATGTTTATTTTTATCTAAAAGTACTTAACCAATTAAATATCTATATGGTAATTATTCAGGTGACAAATTGAAATGAGCAATTTTACCAATAATCTCATAACCTTAAGGTGCTGAAACATTTTGAGGTAATAATTATTAGAGTACTTCATTATATGTCATATCTTCATAACCAACTATGACTTCCTTTTCTAGAATTTAACAATTGTTTTCTTTGATGAATTCTTATAAATTTTAAGGAAAAGGTTCTTAGAATGTAGTATTGATGGATTTAATATTTTATTATTCTTATTACCATCTACTTCCAGGAAAGATAAATTTTTTGAATATTTTGACGAATGCATTTATAAGATGTACATCCATTTGAATTGAAATGACCTTCTGAGTTTTTTATAAGGATAATTTAATCTCTTATGTTAATTTCATTAATATTAATTTATATAAAATATTCAAAATACAGTATCATCATTTCTAGCACTTTCAAATTAATCATAAGAATTATTATTATAATAATCTTGTTTATTTCTGAAAGTTTTGCATAAATTTTTACTTCTGATAAATATAAATATTGCAATAATGATTGATAAAAAAAATATGATATTTTTGTATTATACATATGAATTATAATGAACATAAGAATTCTTTAAGATGATATAATGGATTAAAACAATTATATCGTAATTTATGTATTTGATTATTCGTGATATTTTTGGATCAATTTCTTGAAAAATATTAGTGAAAAGGGCAAATTAAAATATAAATATATGAGGTATAATAGTGGAAGCCATAAAAAATATCACCAATTAATCAAATAATAAAAGCAAACTTAAAAGTACATTGAATAATATTATGCCCTCATTTATATGACTAAAATTCCTTTTAAATTGTAAGAGAAATACAGGGTATATAAATAAGACAATATATCTTGCCAAAGATGATGTTACCTTGTCTATAAAGGTATTAAAATTGATTGCTACTTAAAGGACAAAGAGGAGTATTATTAATTATATTACTACAATTCTAATTGTACACATATGCTTGATTACAATAAAATAATTAGATTAGGGCAATTACCTGCATCTTTAACGTAGTAAAGATAGAGAGACAATAAGTATGAACAAAAAGTATTTGAAATATTTTAAATTAATAAATAGCTGAGCTATTTCAAGGTAACTCTTATAGATTTTAATTAATACTTCCCAAAAGCATAACAATAGGTCAATGCTTAAATTCCTTTATCTCTAAATACATTCAAACTATGACAAATAACTAATAGAATCAAACAATCATATGTCAATTTATAAATGCTTGACACCAAAATTATATAATTTGATGTACCCAACAAATATATACTGAATAGATTCAAATTTAAACATATAAAGATACACCATACCCTGCCTTTCATCCATTAATTGATAAATACCTATTTTGGCAAACATTAATCCAAATAGAATAGTCAGTAACTATATGTAATTAGGTTAAATAGAACTGTAAAAATCCATATCAACAGTTCTAATTCTTAGATAAAGTGCTGTAAATAAAACAATCATGTAATCTAAGAAAATATATTTTTTTCTTCTTCTTGTTATTGATTTTAACATAATATTTAATATTTATTTATAAATTGTGAATAATCATAATTTGAATATATTAGGATGTTTAAGAATGCCTGAAGGATTTGGTGATTTACTTCTTGCTCTAGGACTAGCAGATGGTCTAGCTTTACGAATACTTCCTTCTGATGGTATTTATAGAAATGTTTATTTCTGTTGAAGAGTTCTTTAATCTGTATTTACCCAAGGATGAAATTCAACATCTGTTATTCGTAATCGTAATTCATTATTCTTCTCTAACATTTAATTCAACAAACTGATAACTTCTTCACTTAAATTATTTGGTGGGAATTGCAATTCCTTATTTATAATGTTATTAATTATATCTTATTGTGTTTTTCCATTGAATGGAACATTTCCAAACAACATCTTATACAGTATTATACCCATAGCCCATATATCTACTGATGTGCTTACACGTGTTACTTTACCTGCCAGAATTTCTGGAGCCATATAATGTAAACTTCCAATATTTACATGATCTGTATTTGTTGGACATTGAATTCCAGCTATACCAAAATCTATTGCTTTTAATTCATCTGAATCTGCTGAGCTAAATAACAAATTCTCTAATTTCAAATCTCTATGAACTACATTTTTTTAATGACAATATGAAATTGCTTAAACAATTTATCTAAAATATTTGCATGCTTCTTCTTCAGAAAATCTTCCTCCTTTCTATTTTAATCTATCATTCAATTCACCACCTTCCAAATATTCCATTATTACAGCCATTTAAGTATTTTTTAATGCATATGAATTATACACTTTTACTATATTCTTATGACTTAAAGAACGTAGAACTTCTGCTTCTCTAAAATTTAGTTCTATGTCTTATGCATTTCCTATCATTTTTATTATCTTTATTGCAACTAATTCACCTGTAATCCTATGTTTACCAAGTGTCACACATCCAAAACCTCCTTCTCCTAATTGTTTAATTGTTTCATATTATGAGAATGGTGAATAAGGATCAAATTCATCTGAAATTGTAATATTTAATAATACCTCCACGAGATGCATAGAATGATTATCCATCCTTAAAAAACTTAACATCATCATCAAAAATCTCTACACCCTATTGTGTAAACAATCTCATTTCCTTAAATTTCCCAAATTTCTAATCCAGTTACATTTAAATATCACTCCACGTTGTATTTTAAGCAATCTTCAAATCTGTATACTTTGAAGAATCTCCATTTAAATATATACGAATGGCCTTTACAAAGCAAAGAGGAAAATCATCATATTCTTCATACATCATAAGTTAATTAAATTTGTTTCAACAGAAATTTTATTTCTTCCTCCTTCTGTTATTTCTCTGCTGCTCATCATTTTATTAATACAATAACTCTTACTCATCTTTATTTCTCTATTCTAAATTCATAGCTTTTATTTAAAGAAAACTTTTCAATATCATTAAAACAAAATCAAATACATATATAATTACATTTCTGTATATTCATCCTCCTCAAGATATATTATTATATAATATTATAGAAGAATAGCAAAATCTAAACATATTTATCATTTTTAATTCACTGATGAATTTTAGGATATATTCAATTAATCTGCAATTTTGATTATCTAATTATTCAGAAAATTCCTATAAAACTTCTAAATTCGATTTTTAGATAATCTTGAACACATCTAAATTAGTTGGAGTTTTATTATAAAATTATTAAACAAATTGAAATCCATTTTTTGAATAACATTTCAAAAGAGGTTCAATCATATTTAATTATATTGAAGTAAGCAATTTCCATATTTATATTAATTGAAAATTTAAATTTAATGTAAAAGCTAATAGATGAATTAAACTTAACTAAATACAAATCAGTCGAATAGGTAGTTAGAATTTACACCTTCTTTAAGACTAAAGAATTGAATGTTTAAATAAAATTTACTTTCGATGATCTCTACTAGTGTTTGGTATTGAAGTTAAACTCAAAATTTAGTTAAATAATGAAAAAAGTTTTTTGATTGAATATTTGGTTTGCTTATATTTGGAAGTACATCTTAATGATATACATCATCCGTATATTTAATTGTTGATGAATTAAAAGTATGATTATATAATTATTTAGTCGATGTATTCGTTAATGTTTAATTTTCAATGAAATGGCAAATATTTTAAGATTTTTGATAGAGCATCATAAAATTGCAGATCCTATTGAAATTCTTGATGAACAATTTAATGAATTAGATTTTGATAACAAAATAGAGATCTTAATTTTTATTGTTAATATATTAGCTTTTTAAAGCAAATGGTTTAATGGAGTAATTTAAAACAAAATTTAATTATTTTAAAAAGGTATAGTGAAAGAAAAGAAATAAGAGTCTAAAAAATAATGGTAAGAAGAACTTCATGAATTATATGGTTAATAAGATGAAATTATTATTGAAGAACGTAGGATATTGAGTAGAAAATAATTAGCTATTTCAAATAAAAAAAGAATAAAGGAAATTGAAAAAGAAAAAGAGGAACTTGATGAGAGAATAATTAAATTAAATAATTTAATTGATATTGATATTTAAGAATTATAAAAATTTGGAGTGAATTCAATGAAAATTATATTTAGAGATGAAGAATGTTGTGTTTGGATTATTTAAGCTATGCCTGATTATATTTTAATAAAAATAAATAAAAATTTTAATTTAATTTATGGATATGAAATCCATTAATTAATAAATAAAATTGATGATGGAATGTTGAAAAAATGTTTAGAATTACAATTATTTTGTGAAGAAAAACGAAAAGTATAATTAAGCAAAGATATTTAATTTTAATTGGATTAAAATGGATTACATTAATATAAAAAATAAGATGGAAAACCTGAATACTTAATATTTTGTTAGAATGTAAATAATTTAAATGAAATTCTTATTAATATGATATTAGAAATAGAAGAAAAAATAACATAATTTTTTCGCTAATATTTATAATTAAATTGGACATATCCATATAATAGAAATATGTGGAGAGAAGAAATAAAAGAAGGTAATGTTCAAGATTTTATTTATTCATTTTTAAGTAAAATTAATTAATTTAAAAGTCGATATTATGAATTTGATAATGATGATGAAATTCCAGATGATTATAAAGATAAAAAAAGTAAGATATATAGATTCTATATTTAGTTCCTTTATTCTATTATTATAAAAATTTAAGTCAAGATTTATAAGAAGTATAAAATTGTGATTATGCTTATGTTCTTATATTATATTGTAGAGTTTTGAGTTAATATAATAGAAATATTGAAAGATAAAAAGAGAAATTAGTTGAATTAGCTGAATAAGCTGAATAAAATAATATTAAATAACACCAAAAATCTATTTAACCTGCTAAACCAAAAAGAGCATTGAGAGCAATAATTGATGACGATGATGATGATGAAGATTTTAATTTAAATTCTTACTATTATAGATGATTTAAATTGATTCATAATTTTCAATTCTATTTAACTTCTTCTTTCAAAAATTCCTTGATGGTTTTTCTAATTTAACCATTGATCACTTTGAATTTAAGATAATCTCCTGATATTTTGGTCAAATTCAATTTAATCATTTCATCATCACAATCTAAAATCTCTATTGAATATTAAAGATTTTCTTCTTATTAATCAGCATTTTCTTCTTATTAATCAGCCATTTCAAAGTTTATCTATTTATGTAATTTAAGAATATACTTTATATTTGGTTTCATGAATTTTATTCACTTTTGAGGCGAAATTTTTACAATTTTTGAGTAAATAACAAAACACAAACTTTGGATCTTGATAAAGAGTAATATCATTTGGTAATCCTGTATCTTTTCCTTTTGTTAAGAATCTATTTTCAAAATTCAAATTAAATTTTTCTATTGTTTCTGTGAAATTTTCTTATTCACTTTCACCAATGATAGATCTGAAATTACCAATAGGTCCTTCTATTAATAAATATAAAGATATAATTACTTTATGTTTTTTCCTTTTAGGCTTGCTTTTTCATCTTTGAAGCTAAGATTTCAGCTTATACTCTTTCATGTCTCTTTCTAAATTCATTATTAATTTATTCTATTGAGGCTGTTGGTCCATTCACCCATGGATGTTACATACATTGTTCTAAAGTAAATCTTTGATCAGGATTTGGAGCCAACATTCCATGCATTAAATTTCTATGAAAATAATTATTAAATTATAAATACCTGAAATCTTATGGGAAAAATTCAGGATTTCCTCCCTTGTATTTTAAATGTTAATTCCAAAATAGATCCCATTTATTGTTTGATAATAATCTAAAGTATTAATCTTTATCAGCGGCTTATGAGAATGGTGGGGATCCAGCATGAAGAATAAACAAAATAACACCAGCAGAAAATATATCTACTTTAGTTCCATTATATTCTTTCTTTAATACTATTTCTGGTGCCATATAACCTAAATGTTAATATATTATATGATACCAGGTGTTCCAAGACTTGTCTTTAATTTTGCAGCTTCCATAACTTTGGCGAATCCAAAGTCAGCTACTTTAAGGTTGAAGTTTTCATCTAATAAGATATTCTCCAATTTCAAATCTCTATGACAAATTCCTTTGCTTGTCATGTATACCATTGCAGACAATAATTATTTAAAGTAAAATCTAGAAGTTTCTTGAGCAAATCTTCCAGATGAGGCTACGTATTCAAAAAGTTCTCCACCTGAAGCCAATTCCAATATAATGCATACACGTTGTTCGATTTATCCATTTTTTCTCTATTTAAATATTGATTAATTATTACTCTATATGGAAGAGCATTGTTGAATTCTATAAGGTTGACTAAATTGGGATGATTTAGTTATTTAAGAATGTTGATTTCATTAGTAAGTGCTTTGATGTTTTAGGCTGTATCATGCTAATTCTTAAAAATCTTTATGGCCACTTTTTTTCCATTTTCTTCACCTAATTTTACTCTAAATAATTAAATAAAGATATTACTTAGCATGATATCCAGATCCCAAAGTTTAAAGTATGTTGTAATTACCACATTGACTGAATTTTTTCTCAATTTCCATTTATGATTACATCATTTTTATTATTAATCAAAAATGATAACTCTTAAGCTTTTATACACACATTTAAATGTTATTAATATAGAATTTACCATCATATATCAAATTAATTCTATCATTCAAATTATCAATTATTAATAACACTCTAACAAAGGAGTTCTATTAAAATTATAAAAGATTTTATAGCATTATTTAACAAAATAAATTGATAGAGAAGTATCTAAAAAGAATTCAATAATTCACTAAAACGGTATTTTAAATCATTAAATTGAATGAGATATTAATTTTATAGTGTTTAATAATTAATTGATTTAATATATTAGATTTTCTTTATGATTCATAAGTTTTATTTATATTTAAAATAATTTTAATATATTAATAATATAATACATTTAGACCAAAAATACAGAATATACTTCAGGTTGTCAAAGGTGGTTAACTATTTGATTAAGTCTTTAATGTGATTGCCTCCATTTCCTATTCTTATGATCTAGATGAGGATTTCTCTAAGACAGATAGATATAAAGGAATTGATTGTTTTAATAACAATTTAAGTGAAAAGTAAATTCCTATTAACAATAGTAGTACTAAAATGAACGAGAAGAATAACACGTCATTATAAATATAAGTACTTCCAAGTTAATTCAAACTCTATTTATCCCTTTCTAAAATTAATTTATATCTTACAATAATATATGGATTTAGCAATACCAATTTACTATGTATTGACATCATAATGTGTATAATACTTTTATAAAAATACTGATCCCAATACTAGAACATCTTTATTATCTATCTATTGAAAATTTAAATAACATATATGTTATAAAAAGTAATTATAATGACAATATGCAATATAATCTTGTGGTAATAATGTTAAACTAATATTAGTATCAATATTAATATTCAATTCAGGAAATGATTCTTCATTATATGAACATACAATTTCATTAATTTAATTCTAAGTTTCTTTATAACAATTCAATTAATAATTTTCATTCAAAATTGCAATTAGTTTATTTAATTTATATTTCGATATTTGAATTTTAGATATTCCACTATCAAATACAATAATTTATGAATATGATTCTAATTCATATTTGTTGTTTTTCCCAAAAATTTCTATTGATTTACCTTTCACAGTCCATTATTCAGATTCAATTGATTTTACATATTATAATTCATTGATATAATAATTTTTATTTGGTGTTCCAAGAATCAAAATTGATGTAGGTTAACAATTTTATTCATTTAATAAAAGCCCAAATTATATATCATCAATAACTTTTGATTCATATAATTTCTTTAAAAAGTTATCTTCTTTAGATAGTTATTTTCTACTTAATCCAATTGCACCATCAGCAATTATTGAATAAAAATGTTCAACTTTAGATGCTTCAATTACTTACAATATCAAAGATTGATTCATTAATGAAAATATTTGATTGAATTTAAATCCAGAGATCTTGCCTTATGCATATTCTAATGTATGATTCTCTATTGGGATACAATTTTAACATTCAAAATAATTTCTTCTATTGGAATTCTTTCCAAATATCCACATGTCTTCATTGCCAGTGTCTACAATTAGATTATATGTATTATTATTTGCTAATATAGGTAAACTATAATAATTAAATTGTAGATTTGTCAAATTAATATCCAGACAAGACACTGTTGCTATAATTAATATAATCATTTTTATATAAATTATTAATAGGTTTTCATTTCTTTTACATTTCATTCATTATTATTAATTGTTTACTTTATTTTTGAATGATTCTTTGAATATATTGATAAATTTAAATTATTAATCACACTTTTTTATATTTAATTTATCTAATGTAAACTAAAGAGAATAAGTAAAAAATTTGCGCTCATTTTTTTAGTTCCTCATTATCTACAAAATATATCAAATCAGATGGTATTCGTAAATTAACTGATCTAACTAATTATGATACAATAAGATAATAACAAAAAATGTAGATGAAACATTCAATTAGCAATTAATATTAAAAAATTCTTGGCAGATTACCGGATGCTAAATTTTTTAATCCAAAATCAGAATCTTATGTTTCATATCCTTGTTATAATGAAAAATATTTATAATTTCCAAAAGAGATATTATGTAAACTAAAAAAAAGAGTACAATTTATTTTAAATTTAGACTTAAGATGATGATTGTGATACTGATGAAGAAGTCAAATAACATTCTGTAAATCACAATGTCACAGAGATACTAAAATCCTTATCTTCAATAAATAAAAAATCATACAATTCATCAGATTATTTATGAATGATATTTTTCTTCATTTACATTTAAATTATTATATCTCATCACATTTTATAATCATTATTATGGTGAAATACTCTAATTATGTTTATTATGTTATATATTCTATAAAATATAATTAACAATATATATATATATTCTATTCATTAAATTTCATAATAAATTATAAAATAACAAATTATTTAAAATAATTATACTTATAATTTTTTAAAATCCCATTAACAATATTTATTTAGATTTAGAATATAAATATTATAATATCTTTTAATTCTAAAGTAATATATCATATTAATCAAATAAATTTATAATTAATGAATATATATATTTAATATATAACAATTATAAATAATAATAATTAACGAATATATGTCTTCATAAGAAATATAAGAATCTAAGAGTTTTAGAGATGAAGTATCTCCATCAATCAGAGATTTCATAATCAATTTTAGAAAATAATAAGCCTAAATTGCAAAACAAAATGCCTATTAGTAATCCATAAAAAAAACTATTCCGATTAAATAAATAACGCAATTAAAGTTAAATAGATAATCAGTTGATACTTAGACTGATCTAACTGAATTATAATCAGATACTTCATTCAAAAGAAATTCAGTCTAAATATCATAAAGATAAAATTCTACATATTCTTAATCATGTTTGACTACTAGAGAAGTATAAATATAATGTGATGATAATTAAATAAAACCTATTGATGATCTACCATCAGCAAGAGTAAACATACATTATCTTCATTAACATTATCAATCCACTTAATCTTAATAATCAGATTAAGGTATATAAAATACATCAACTTAATAATTACCTTTAATATATAGATCTCCATAAAAATTTGATCTTGAATTTAATTTCGATCAAATGACTGAATAAATCCTCAATAAAGTCATTTAAGAATTAGATAAAAGAAATACAGAAACAAACTAAAGTTAATAACAGCCATCTGTTTCATAATCACTTTCTAGTTAAAAAATAAAGAATTTATCAATAAATAACTAAATTGTTTCTTTAAATGTTATACCATAACCTAAAAATGAAGATGATGATTCATTTTTAAAATTTATGTAATAATTTTAAATATCAATTTAGTTAAATGAGTTTAGTCAATAAAAATAAGATATATTATGAAGAATAAGAAAATTAACCTCCATAAAGAAGTCCTGTTAAATATTTTTCAAATATTCCAAAAACAAGAGAATAACATTCAAAATCATCAATGAGTAAATCAATTTTTTCAGAATCTATTAATTAAAATAGTAAATTTTAATATATTATTGATAGGAGTAATTAAGACTAAATGTAATACTAATACCAAATCAAATGCTCATTAAAGATTATATTAGGATGCTTGTATGAGATAAGAAAGAAAGACTATGGCTACTAATAGAAAACCTAGATATTGAAATCAATTATCATAATACTACTATAAATTTAAGATATTCAATTTATAATTTCTCTATATATTATTATATTTATAAAATAGCATTCAATATCATTCTTAGAGTATTTCTTCATAATTATTGATATAAAAATATAATAATTATTTTTTTTCAAAATTACATTAAAAACTTTTACTATTTTATTCATTCATTTTTATTTTCATTCAAATTCAGTTTTTCTTCTTCTTAAGTAAGATTATTATATCATCCGATTGATTATTAATAGAATATAAATGATAATTTTGTTTCATTTTGTTAAAATAAATTCATCAGCAATATGGATGTCAACATGGATATTTGATATTTCTACTATAAATTTATTTTTACTTAACCCAAATTTTCAGAAGTTTTGAATGAAAAATGTTTTCATATTACTTTTACTAATTATTATATAATATCTTTTAAATTATTGATGTTTTAAATTAGATTGTTTTTTAAATCTTTAACAATTATTAAGAATATTTAAGAAATAATATGTTAATTTAAAGTTTTGATTTATTCTTTTCTATTATTAATAGTATAATGAATAAATTTATTATTTAACTTCTTCGTCATTAAATAAAGATTATTGAAAAATAGATTAATATCTATAAAGGAATAATTTATTGACAATATAATTTATAATCAAATAAAATCAATTGCATACATTTTTAATTATTATAAAATTAGTCCCAAATAAATTCAGGACTTTGATTTTATAGAAAAGACTAATGAGTTAGAAACAAAATTAAAATTATGAAAGAAGACGATTCTTCAATATCGTAAAAAAAGATAGATGAATTAATTAAGGAATAAAAATATGCTGCACTTATTTAGATGATTTCTAGAAGAGATCCAAATAGGTATACTTATTTAGTTTATTATTTTAGACTTAAACAATACAACTCTATAAAAATAAAGAATTAAATATTCAGATTGAATTAAGATGTTGCTGTTTGTGCTAATAATAATGATGTGTACTCAGGTAAACTAATCAAGATATTTTGTATTAAAGATTAAAATAATCAATATGTTCCTGTAATATAAGTTCAATGGTATTTTCTATTTCATATTATTTATAGGTATTACACAAAATAAGATCTAAATTTAGATAAGAAACTTATGAAATGTATTTCAATAAAGGAATTGTTTTTTTCAACTCATATTGAATTTTTGGCAGCTAATAAATTATAATGTCCTATAGAAGTGATGACATTTGATCAATATACATAATTAGAATATGAAGAAGAAACTAAATTCTTTAGTAGAGCAGCAATAGATCTTAAAACAATGGAACCTATGCCTACAGTTGGAGAATGGCCAAAATCATGTGTTTGTAGAATGCCATAGAATCCAGATATATAAATGATTTAATGTGAAACATGTGGAGAATGGTTTCATTTAGATTGTGTTAATATTAAACCAGAAGAAGCAGAATAAATTGAACATTATAAATGTCCAGGTTGCTAATGATAAATTAATTTTTATGATATTATACATCAAATTTCAAATAAACCTTCTCTATTAAACATCAAAAATAAATTTGTTTTTTATATTTTTGGGTTTTACAAATATAATAAAAGTAAGATAAATTCTAAATATCTATATAATATATATATATATATTTAAGACTACATAAAGATAAATAGATTATTAATATTGATATTAAGTTATATATATATTAATATTTCATTTTACATAGAAATTTTCTTCATCTCCTTTTCTCATTTAAGAATTCATCATTTTAGATGAATTCATTCTAGATTATTACATAATAGATTGATTTTTCATAGTTTTATCAAGTCTTGTAATCTCTTAGTTTTATTAACTAGTTAATTCCTTTCTTACATTTTAATATTTTTATAGTAATCTATTATATATTATATTAAGAGTTACTTCTCTAATTCTTAAGATCTAATCTTTCTTTATTCTTCTTATCCAGATATGATTCTTTATTACAATGCACCTAATTCATTAGTTTATTTTAATTTAAGTTAAGAGATTAGATTTTTAATTTTAATCATTCTTGATTAATTCCATTTTTCATATTCATCTCTTTCCATTGCTAATATTCTTTATTAAGTTAGATGAGCTTCTTAATAACTAATTTTATGATTAAATTTAATACTTTTCTTGTCTAGCCAATGATTCTTCAGTCTTTCTCAAACTAAGTAATTCAGCAGAGTCTTTGGGTTTGACAGGAATGGAATTCTCTAATTCTTCTGTAAATTGTTTTAATTCTTCATCATGTCTTTATAAGACTTATTCTTTAACTCTTTAAGCTTCTTAATCAAATTCAGCCATTTTTTAATCCCAAAATTCGTTAAATTGATTAAATTCATCAAGATGAGCCTTTTCAATCTCCTATTTTTCATTAGTATGTCTATCCTTAACTTCATATTTATTCTTTTAATCCAATTCTTTTTTTAATTCAACAAGTCTTTTTTTTGCTTAATCAGCTTCTATATATTTTCCAGCTTTTTCACAACTCTTTTAATGCTCATATAATATTTATCTATAATAAATTGAAAATATTACATGTATTCCTCTATATCTCCTGTTTAAACTGGAAGATTGTTGGTTCCTTTTCTAGCAGATGATCTTGAATTATTCATTATTTTTATTTTATCTGTTAAATTAATATTGATAAAATGTTTATAAATCTTATTCAATTATAAATGTATTTGTTAAGAATAATTTTAATATCTTTTTATAATGTATTATAGTAACAGCTAATCCTCATTAATCAAATCTCCTTATGGTTAGATAATCACAAAAACTCCACTTACTAGATAGAATAGACCATAAGAGAAAATTAATGATTAATCAATTATGTCTCAATATCAATCCCCTACATTGCGATAAGCTATGTCACCAAAAGCAGCCAGAGAATACTTAAATAGTTTAAAAACCTTTATCAATCACTATGAAACAAAACCAATCAATGAAAGTAGAATTACTTCTCAATCTAATCATTAATCTAACTAATAATAACCTTATTTATATTTTCCTATTGCAAATAGATTAAATGATGAAATCAAATTGATGACTCCTTAAAGAATTGAAGTCAAGAAAATAAATTAAGATGGAACTGTGCATTCCTTAAAATATTATTATTTGAAATAACCAGTTTTTAGTAGTTCAAATGATGTTATTACATCAAAACTAACTACCATAATTGGATTTAATAATAGTGGAAAATAAAAATTGTTTATAGAACTCATTAAAAAACTTATGCCTAAATATTTTAAATTATCTATCCAAACAGATCTAGGAGATAAATAAATTAATGTTTAAATCAATGATGATTTTAAATCAACTATTAAAACACTAAAAGCAGCTTCAAAGAATTATTAATTAATTGCCTAAAGTGATTAAAATGTTATTGTATGTCGAGGATAATAGGGATTTATTAAAGATAATAAAGATAAAGGCATTCTTATTTTATGTATTAAACCAGGAAAAGAAACAAAATAGAATTGTGTCTAAACTCTTAAATTGATAGAAAATATATAAAAAAATTGATTATATACATATTTCATATTTATTATAATTGGGTAAAATTTATAATTGAAATGTAAATTATACTTTTAATATAATATATTATATATATTTAACTAAAATAGTATTACTATTTAAAGTTAATAAAAAAAGAAATATATATATCAGTAGTTCAAAAATAAACAATAAGAATCTCTAATTCAATTTAATATATAAGAATGATAAATTTGATTTTAATTGATTTAAAATGAATAAAACTAAAAAAGAATTTCATTATTTTCTTTCTAATTTCTTCTTGTACATTAAGAAACCTTAATTTGAATAAAATATTTACTTATTTTATTTGATTACATTTTTCTTGGAGTTACAACATTATTTCTAAAACTACTAAAATTTCTATCACTTTCATTATAATAAGTACTCTTACTTCTTTAAGAATCCTAAAAAATAGAATGTTTATCTTTATTACTAAATCTGTTAATTCTGTTCTTAATTGCATACTTTATATATCAATATTTGATAAACCACCAATAGTTTTTACTTGTTTGTTTATTTATTCTTTAGTCATATTATCATCCTCCATTGTTCTTTGAGTACCTTAAGTTTAAATTGTTGGTTAAGAGAACTTTTTTTTTATGATCTTAACTTTCTTCAAAGATCCAAAAATTTTATTTAATTAATCTTCAGTTTTTTCATATTCTGTACTTTCAAATGCTTGGACAGCTATAGTTTTTGTTTTAGAAAATCTTGATTTTCTGACTGAATCTATTTCAACTAAGAGTTCATCTGATTTTGTTAAATTGTTTGGTGATATTTATGAAGACTCATTATAAATTTAAATTGGCTGTTATTCTGAGTTTTATTCTGATTCTTGTTTTGAAATTACAAAGCGGAAATTTAATTATGAATTTGATAATCTCAAAACTTATCCTCTATCATCATTTTCATATCTATTTTCAAATTCAGGTGTAGGTTATTTAGCATTATATTAATTTTATTTATAATTCTAAGGGCTTTTTACATCTATAGGAATCTTGTAAGGATAATGAATTATGTTTGCATTTTATTAATTATTATTTTCTTTACCTTTTCCTTTGATTTTACTTGCAATATAATTTTATTTATTTGTTGGAGAGTTTAAAAGGGTTTGTGGTTGATTTTTTAATTAATCTTAGCATTTAAATTATCTCATATACTTTTAATCATTTGGACTGTATTTAGGATTTGAATCTTCTTATCTTCTTATTTATGGTGATTTACTATTGCATTAATGTTAGTAAATTGAAAACACTTTTTTTGTTTAGTATTGAAATAAGTAATTAGAGAATTGATTCATAGTTTTAACGTTAATATTATATATAAATTAATCAAAGAATGTAGTGAAATGAATAAAAAAATAACAATTTGCCAATTTTTATACTCTATCTATATATATTATATTATTAATTAGTAATAGATCATTCTTTTTATCCTTTTAGTCTAACTGATTGTAGTCTTCTCCTTTACAATCGTAATTACACTTGATCTTCTTATTCTTATAAAGCTCTATTATATTAAAAATTAATACTTATTATGTATTCTTGTAACTCTCTAAGATTCATAACCATGAAATTCTAAAAGTTGATTTACTTATAATTTTTGATCTTACTCTTAAATGTATTTGAATTGATTTTCTAATTCTTATTATTTTTAAGATTTTTAAGGAATAATGACTTTTGGAGATGGAGGAGGAAGAATCTCATTACTTTAAACATGTTTAGATTTCTTTAATGCTGTTTCATGTTTTAATTCTTCATATGCAACATTCATGCATTAATTTACATTTCCTCTCATCAATAATTATTAAGTTTTATTTTTGAAAACCAAGAATTTATTACTTTTAATAGATTCAAAATATTCAACTCCAATCTAATTCAATATTAAAATATTACTCTATATAATTCTAACAATTAATTGACAACCTCTATTGTGACATTATTACATTCCACTTCCATTTCTAAATATAAAATATTTTCAGCAAAAAATTGAGGTAAGTTTTTAGAATGTTCCTAAAACAAGGACTTCACATTATCTGAATGATCATTCCTTATATTCATATAATTTAAACAAATTATTAAAATTTTGATTGTTATTTATAATCAATTCATTCAATCATTCCCTATGTCTTACAATTTAATTATTATTATTAGAAATAAATTTCATTATGTTGATATTTTACTATAATAAATTAATGTAGCTGTCCTAAAGCATCAAAATAATAATTATAATAGTACTTATATGTGAAGACATCATATGTTTTTATAAAGTAATTAATTTTAGTTTTATTAAAATATTATTTATAAATTATATATTATTATTATAAATGATTAATTTATAAAAAAGTTCTTTCATTAATTTTCTAAATTTTTAAGTAGTATAACTTAATTATTTTTTTAATATTAAATATAATAAACTTAAAAATATATTAACACTTTTATTTTATTAAAACAACTTTATGTTTTAACGTGATTGAAATTAATAAATAATTAAAATAAACATATTTCTTTTAATTTTAGTCTCTTATCGTTTGAAATAGTAGACTTTTTTATGTAACATAAATCTTTTTTTGCCTCTTCTCAATATTACTTAATGCAAAGATTCAAAAATCAAGTAAACTTTTTCATTAATTTTTCCATAAAATTAAAATAAATCAGATAATTCTGTATTAAATTTTTTATTTAATGGAAATTTAAGAATAGGATCATATTATAAACATTATCAAATTTTATTTAACATCCAAAAAATTACTACTTATATTCATTTTTTAAGACACACTTTAATGATGCTAATAACTTTAGTTCTAATACTAATATTTATTTAATACTAGCTTTTGATATAATTTTTATTATTAATTAACTTGTTAAAATAAGCCAATATTGGATAATTTAATCTTTATCAATATATATAATATTATTTCTTAAGCTTTCTAAGTTATTTAGCATATAGGCATTATAAAAATATCTAATAAAATACATCATAATGAACTTCAAGAATCACATTTAATTTTCCAAAATACTTTATATATAATACTATAATTTTTATAATTTATTCCATATATTATTATTCTCTTGATTTTTTAAACTCTTTCCAGCTTAAATTTTTATTGTGTTATTATGAAACAATATATTAATGGCACTAAATTTTATACTTTATTTACTCAATTAAACTAAATCTTTGAATTGTGTATATAATAAATTGTATATGAAATTTTTTTATATCCATAAATTTTTTTTTATTTCTTTCATGAACATTAAAAAAAATCAATTATTTCATTGGTTTAAAGCTCAAAGAAAAATTACAATATATATGCTCCTATTTATATAATGACGTAATAATTTTTAATAGGGGAGGGTGAAAATTCCATCTTTTATTGCTTTCAAATAATTTCCACTTAAAATCATCAAAGTATTTTCCAAATAAATTAATTGGATATTAAATAATTTTGTTGAATAATTTCTAATTTAGATATTAGCTAAGCTTTGATAATTCAAACTTAAAAGCTTTTAAAATTTGAAAATAAATTAATCAATCAATAAATTTTCAAAAAAACTCTTCGTTTTACAAAAAATAATTTATCATCAAAATATTAATATTTTAATGACACTATTAATTGTTACATCAATAGTTTTTATGCGTGTTGTTTGCCAACAAGTTATATTATTTGCAAGTTCATTTTCAGATAAAAAACTTGTTAACTTAGAAAGTAAACTATCAATCTAATTAGATTGGACTTTATATCCTAAAAATCTACTCCAAACTGGGTTTGGATCATTATCTGTTGATGATGATGATTATGCAGGATTGTATTCAATGAATGGAGCGCAATACAAGAGCTACCTTGCTGGAATGTATAAAATTTATGAAAGTATTCCTGCTCATTCTACACTAATAATTAAAGCAAAAACATTAATGTTAAAGAATTTAATATATATTTAGGTAAAATTTTGGCTTTGGAGGAACAGGTACATGTAGAGTTAGAGCAGATGGAATATTAATTATTCAAATTGCGAACAATTTAGATCTAATTAATAATTACAAAATAAATAGTTTTTCAGTACCTTATTAATCATCATCATCTGCTGTTTTAATTGAATTTCATTTTGAAGCTATTGGTGATTATTAAGTAAATTTATTAATTAATAATGTTTAGAGTTTGACTTTTGGATTTCGAGAATTTGAGTTGTATTATAAAACATGTCCTCCTGGATGTACATTTTGTTAAACCTCAGAGCTTTAGTCAAATGATTGTAATTTTTGGTCTTTAGATCAACGATAATTGTTTGATTAAGGTTCATTGAATGAAGGTTGGACAATAAATTTTAAAGACAAGAAATAATATCGGACGGATTATTGTCAAGGTTTTTATATGATAAAATTAAGCTAGATGATAAAGCACTTAATTTGATAGGATTTGCTTTACCAACAGAATCTATTGAAAGAACACTATATTTATAACCTCATTATAAAATGTTAATTTTATACAAATTGTTATTACTAGGAGCAGATTCTATTGTATTTTCATATTTCTATTTTGAATTGAATGATGTAATTGTAAATGATATTAAATTTGCTACTTATCTAAAAACATCCTAGATATGCAAACATACAAATCCCTCAAGTATGGGAGACTACATTTAGTAGGTAAAGTATGAAGATTTTAATTAAAATACAATACTGAAATTAAGAATTTTTACTTAAGGCAGAACATACTTTTAAAAGTTAAAGTGGACTATCAGAGACTTAGAAATTTTTATTAAGAAATGCCATCCAGATTGTACCGAATCTTGCTTTGGTCCAAGAGCAAATTAATGTTCAAGGTAAAAATACCCAAAATTTGAAAATTTTGTAAGTTATTTTATAGAACCCTTATTTACAGATACTTAAGAATGGTAAATGATAACTCCAATACAACCTAAATCACCAAATTATTGTAGTGGTATTTCAATTTTTGGAGGTTATTTACAATTAGGTGGTGATCATTATATTTAAAGATTTATTACATTAGAAGATCACTAAACAATTTAAATTTCATTTAAGTTTTACTAAATCGATAATTTTAATAATGATATATTATATGTTGTAGTTGATGATCAAATCGTATATTAAACTGTCTTAGAACCTATTATAGATACTTCAAAAGCAACTCTATTATGTGGTATCTATGAGAATTATGATTTAATTGTTAAAATATCGACACCTATAATTTAACATACGTAAAAACAAAGTATTATTTAAATTTATACTAATTAACCAACTACATCATAAGGATACTGGGGGATTAGAGATTTTATCATTAAATAAGATTCAATAATATATATATAAGAATTAAAATAAGTTAGATTTTTGATTAGTGATTGGATAAATTTTCCATGGATTATAACATAAAAAGTTTAAACAATTGAAATTTGCAAAAATAAAAATTATATAATTAGTAATAATATATTAGGATAACCATCTAAATTTAGAAAAATTATAAAGAATTTACCATTACATTCTAAAATTAGAATATAATTCATTATAATACTTACTTATACAACAATTAATGAAGATATTATTTAAATTAAATATTCTTTAGATTAAAATGAAAATTAAATTACAAAAAATTTATAATTGATAAATGATTAATATTGTGAAACTGCTACATTAAGTAAAGCTTATAATTTTGATGATTTCATTAATCATTCTAATGATAATCTATTTTTAATATTATCCATTGATTCTATATCAATTAATTGGGGAATTAGAGATTTTTAACTTTCATATTCTGATTCATGATAATCAATTATATATTAGTATTTTATATTTACATTTTTTATTTATACATAAATAATATTGACAATCTAATAATATTTATATCTTAATATCCTATACAAAAAAAATATTAGTAGATTGTCTATTCTAAATTTGCATTAAATCTTAAGCTATTTTAGATTATTTAATAAGATTTTTTAAAAGATATACTCTGCTTAGAAATTAATTGTTTTCTAAATTGTTTGAAAGGAAAATGATAGTAAAAAGTCTGGTTTTAGATTTTTAAGGAACTTTCTCTATCTCTTGAATTTCTGATAATATAATTATCAAATTAACTTCTATTCTTCAAATAATATATTTTGGATCAATATAGTTTAACGATATTTATCAATAGTTTCAAGTTGTTTAATGATTTTATAATAATTTAATATAAATTTCTGAAATCTTAAAAAAATAACATAAATATTTATTAGATAAACATTTGAAAAAATTAGATGATAATATTTATTGAAAAATATTCAAAACCAATCTAAATTTGTATAGATAATCAACATTCAAACAGATTTTCAATTATATTTTAAGAAGTAATTAAAAATAAAATAATACTAATATATTTATAAAGAAAATAATATAAAATTATTTTTTATTATCTTGAATGTTGAAAAAGCTTTTCATTTTATAAAAAATATCTATATATATATAATATTATTAGCAATAGAATATTCATTATGCCAAAATAATTTAGAACCAATCAAACAGTTTCAAAATCAACAATTAAAATAACATAATATATTTATATATTTTCACAACTAAAACTGGATTCTTTGAATTTTTAGCAGTTTTATGAGATTTTATATCATTTAATGCAAACAAAATAATATTTAGATCTATAAATATAATTAATAATGGGAAGTAGTGCCTCAACTAGAATAAATGAATTCTAAAAAATAGAGGCTGATCTTAAATTGACCACTCTACCTGACTTAGATAAAGTACAAATATACTTATTCTTTAGCTTTTAATTGTTGCTTAAGATCTTCTTAAATTAACTGAACAACTTAGATAAAGGATTGTATCATATCATGACCTAATGTTGAGAATAGTCAAATTACAATCTTATAAAGAAGTTGCCTTAGTTGATGCCTTCAAAATATGGTATTTGTGTACTTTAGTGTGTAATGACACAAAAGAAGACAGTGTTTAATTTGAATGCAAAATTGAAAATTTTGATCAGGAAGTCTTGTCAGAAAGTCTAAAGAAACTAATGAGTTTTGTACTGATCTTTATCTATAAATAGGGTAGCGTAGTGGCTTTTGCAATTGAAGAAAAATTCATTCAAGATGAAAAAGAACATCTGATAATTTGTGACACAGGAATATGTGGAGATTTTAAACTACAATTATGGCCTTATGTTTGCTCGTCCTTTTTAAGTTACTTAAGATCTGCGGTTAGACTAGCTCCATTTTTAGAAGAGAAAATCAATAGCTAAATTAATTTGATAAGAAAATACTTAGATGTACATAAAGCAGAGAAGTTAACAAAAATGATAAATTAATAGTCCTTAACTCATATTTGTGAATAAATAAAATATTTTGGATTATTAGTAGATAAATATCATTAAGAAGTCAAAGTATTTACTAAAAAATACAAAGAACTTATGAAAGAATTGCATCCTTTAAGTTAGGAAGTGTTAAGAGAAGAAGGAAATCAAAATTATATTCTTAATGATGAGTAATAATCTATAATTAATATTTATAGGAGAACAATCTTAAAAACAAAAATACAAGATATTGTAAGAAAATATACACCCAATTATGAACTTAAAGAAGTAGTTTAAATACGATAAGAAATGTAGTTAAAAGAGTAAAGGAGAAAAGTAAAACCAAAAACAAAGTTGGAAAGAAGAAGAACAGAACAAGCAGCTTTAACATTCCCTACTACTTACCATTGGGTTGGCCATGAGTATTTTGACACTTTTTTTTCAGCATAATCATTGACTTTGTCTGAATTAGAAGAGTGCCGTGCTTAAGGAGAAGAAGCTCGAAAAAAGTTATTTAAAATCACTGGAGTCAATTAATGGAAGGATAATACTATAAAAAGTGTATTTGAATGTCTTACATGGATATTATCTGCAGAGCTTAATAAGAATCTTAAAAATAAAGAGTTTAAACTTCTTAAGGATGACCCTTGGCTTCATTTTATAAAACAAAAAAAACATAAATTTACTGAGCTTTCTTATTAAATAGTTACTAATTTTAAAGTATGGTTGAAATATTTTAGTCCAATTCGATATGAAAGAATCTGTAATTATTAGTATTTTTCTTATATCATTATTTAGTTAAGATTTCTTAAAAAGATAAAGAGAACTTGAAAAAAATAAATTTGAATTTCATCATTTGATCAGAGATCTTCCTCCTTAAAATTAATATAATGCACTTTCAAGCTTTACTAAGAATATTAGAGTAAATGAAACTTACTTAAGTAAAATTGAAAAGCTTTTTGAAATGACCATCAAAAGCAATGGTAAAATGGGAGAAGAATTATATGATAATTGGCAAGAGATTGTTGATCAAGCTGATTCAATTAAGTATGAATTAGGAACTCCGTTTAATGAATTCATTAAAGAATTTAGACCCAATACTTTGGCTGAATTAGACTAATTGTAAAATAGAAAGGCTGAAAGAAGATAAACAAAGCTATCGATTGCCTGTATTGAAATTTGAATATAATTTGATATAAATTTTATTCATTTTCAAGTAACCAGCATCTTTTCATATTATATTATAACATTTCTGATACCAAAATAAATTATTGATTCTGATGGTCCACCTAGTTGTATAAAATTAATTTTATTACTTCCATCAGCTATAAAATCTAAAATGCAATTTGAACTTTAATGATCTATTAAAGCTTCAAAAATAAATTATTAGCTTCGATTAGAATTATCACATATGTTAATCTCAGAAGTTAATAAAAAATTTTATTTCCAAACATTTTATCCATCAATATACAAGTAAAGATATTTGGAATTATTAAATTTGAATTGATAAATGACAACTACTTCAAATTTTATTAAAATTCTAATATGATTTGGAATATCCTTTAGTTTTTTTCGGAGGATTGTATTTTTCTGAATATAAATTAGTTTAAAATTCAAATTTTAACAATTCAGTATTTAAAGGGTATCAGTAAATTTATGCCAAGATACTACTGTTTTATCATCCTTTACCATAGATTAGGCCACTAGTTTCATATTAGCTTTGATTTATAATTCTCGAATTCCCCAACGTCCTAATTAGTAAACATAATTACCAACAGTAGTTGTTCCTAATACATAAAATTTAATTATAGCATTATTAGAAGTGTGGTCTATTGAATTGACTTTAATTTAAAAGGAAGTATCGAGTTATTGAGTATTTCCGCATAGTTTTGAACCAATTGAAAAATCATTTATATAAACTAACTATTATTCATAAACTATGACATCATCTACATCAATATAAAATTTTTCGTTGTTTTGAAATGAATCTATTTAATAAAATAAAAATTAAATAAAAATTTAACTATGTTGGGGTAGGTTAAAAATAGTATAAGATAATTTTTAAATTGATATATCCTGTACTGCTCCTATAATTTGCTAACCATTGCAAATTTTATTATCGGTGTAAACAGATATTTAATTCCATCCATCAAACGAAATTACAAGAGCATCAGTAAAGAAACTAACATATTACATTATGATGCTTTTTGCACTAAAGCAATCAGATATTAATGGACCTGAACAACTATATAAGCAGCTAGAATGACATTTTTTCAATAATATTCTAAAATCCCTTATTCCCCAAGGTGTGTTTATATCTGAAGCTTATTACTAAGCAATTGTTATTTTTAAAATAGGTTGATTATGAGCTCTTTAAAAATTAACTCTAGTCACTTAATCACCTGTGGGTGATGACATTTATTCTGAAGGTATATAGTTACAAATCATCAACTGTAAAACATCAAGAAGTTCAACAACTTCATAAACAGTTAAATCATCAAATAAAATAGTAGTTGTTGGTTTAGTTTATCGATTGAAATTTATATATATTATTAGAAATTAGATCTATATTGCATAATGAGGTTAAAGAAAGACAATTTTTTCTAATTTAGTTGACTTATCAAAAAATCCAAAAAAAAAAAATTATGTTTCCCCTTTTCTTATTAAAAAATTTATACTTCCACATTTATAAATATTTGCTGGCTTTTCTCCAAGTGGTTTCCAACCATCATTATTGAAATTATATAAGTCTTTAGCTTTCATTTTATAATCAACCAAAGACCAAATTATACAGGAAGCAAGACTGTTCGAATTACAGCTTTAGCAACCAGGGGGACATAATACCAAATCAATTGTTAATTCTCTAAATCCAGAAGTTGACATCTAATTAGAATGGGACATTAATACTGCTGGAATATCTCCCAATTGCAAAAATTCTAGAAGAAGGGTCTCTGATGAATGGTAAAACTCACCTGAAAATGCACCAGAATAGAAAAAAAAAAAGTTATTTGTCTCACTAAAATAAGATATTTTCAATACTAAAATACAACCTTTCCATCAGCAAAAAGATAGGATTCTTATTCGTAATTAATTGATTTCAAGATCAACCAACTAATTATTCAATATATTATTTACGATTTATATTTGAATGCCACCCTTACAGTGTGGTGAGGAGGTAGATCATATATCATAATATATCCTCCTTCTACAGTTTAGCTTCCATAAAAACAATTGAGGCCAAAAAATACTTAACCAACAGGAAGAGGTCCAGATGGAGCATCGCATTTGTAATTCCAACCTTGAAATAAATTTCTAATATTAACCTTCAGTATTTGGGATATTATTTGTATTTTCTAAAGGATTGCTCATGAAGAAACTAAGATAGCTTGATTGAGCTACATATATAACAAAAAATTATAGCAAAAGATGTAAATTCATTAAAATAAAATCAATTAAATTTTATTAGTTTTTATAAATATCCTAAAGTACAAAAAATAACTGATTTAAGCTATAATTGGTTATTGTAAATAAATTTAGTGAAGGGTTCAAATCAATCAAAAAAAAAATTTTAAGTTATTCTTTTCATTTTCATCTTGATTAGATATTTTTTTCCATTAATGATGTAGATAATTTAGATTATTTAGTTTAAAATTTAAGTGTAATTGTTTGATAATTAGAATGTTAATTAACAAAAATTATGTTCTTCAGACTCTTGTGTTTTTGAAGGTTGCTTTTAATATCTTCTGCTTACCCTGGTTGATTTTTGGAATTTGCACTTATAGATTATTAAAAAAAAGGTTTATTTTTTAATAATGATATAACACTTCTACTGTTTTAAACTAAGCTAGAATAATTTATAATCTTTATGTATGCATTTTCTGTATATTGTAAAACGCCGTTTAAGATATCTCGAAATTCCTCCTACTTCATATCAAGCATTTTTATGAAAATGATGATAATATATAAATAAGAAAATAAAACTATTTATAAACCTTTACTGCTAATCTCCATATATATTAACTACGTTGCGTCATTTATATTATCTCAATTTAAAATTAAACTTATTAAATTATTTAAAGTTATTTCGTTTATTTCAGATAATAATTAGATTTGATCAAATACTTTCATTAAGTGCTAGGTTGTCAAAATATAATGAGTAAATAAAAAACTTCAGTAACTTCTTTTAATTCTTTTTAAATTTCATTAAATTAAATAAATTCATAATCATTGATGATTAAATTGAATTAAATAATTGGAACAATATTTTTATTAAATCTTTTTGACATATAAGATATTCTTTTCACAAGTTTTATAATCTAATTAACAGGTTTTCTTTATTTTGATTTCCAATATGTAATTTAAAAAAGCTAATTTTAAGGAATATTAAATACTATTAGCGAATTATAAAAGTAAATGAAATCATTTCATTACAGTATATCCCTGTTGTCTTTAATTAAAAAATAAAGAAGTTTTAATTAATTTTAAATTTTTTAAGTTATTTCTTGGAATGGAATAAGATATTATTAAATTATCTTGATAATATCATTACTAGACATTTACAATAAAATTGAATAGATTAAAAAATATTATTGATTTAAAATTCAGAAAAATCTTTTCTTAATCCTATTAAATATATTGTTTATTAGACAGTAAACCATTAAAATTATAAAGGTTTTGATTAGAGTTTATATTAATAGCTGAGTTTAAGATATATTTATATGGATTAAAAAATAAATAGACTAAATATTTTCAAAAAAAAAAGTCTGTTTTTTTGGTTAGATTTAATAAATTTTATAGTTATTTAACCCTATTATATGAAATAATTAATAGTTAAGTTAATAATTGTAACACTAGTTGCTAGCCAGCAGGTTATTTTGTTTGCCACTTCATTTACAGATAAAAAATTCACTAGTTTAGAAAGTAAAAAATCATTATTTAAAACAGATTGGAGTTTGTACCCTTAAAATCCACTTAAGTCTGGTTATGGTTCTTTAACCAGTGAAGATGATGATTATGCAGGCTTTTATTCAATAATTGGAGTGAGTATGAGGAGCTATCTTAATGGAATTTACAAAATTTTTGAAAACATTCCCCCTCATTCTTCTTTAATAATTAAAGCGAAAACATTAATGTATAATTTCATTTAAACCTAGACAAAATTTTGGTTTAGGGGGTCTTGGTATAGTTCATATCAGAGTAGATGGAAAGTTAGTTACAAGATTTCAAAGTGAATTTGATCAAGATAATCATTAAAAAATACATAGTAGCGAAATATTTTTTATATCGTCATCATCTAGTGTTATTATTGAATTTCATTTTGAAGGAGTTGGTTATTATAAAGTAAATTGTTTGTAAAATTTATGAGGATATGACTTTTGGATTTCGAGAATTTCATTTGTATTATAGAAAATGTCCTGATGGATGTTTATATTGTTAAACTTTGGATTCAAACTAGAACCATTGTAATTTTTGGTTTCAAGATCATCATTCTTTGCATGACTCAAACTCATTGAACGATGGTTGGACAATTATTAAAAATGACTAAAGATTATATTAGATGGAGTATTGTCGAGGTACTTAATTATTTTATTAGCTAGATGATAAAGCTCTGAATCTATTAGGAATAATTTTACCAAATGAAGCTTTTGAAAAGACCCTACATCTTGCTCCTCACCATAAGATATTAATTTAATATAAGTAACTATTACTAGGAGCAGATTTCTTTTCAGCTGCATATTGGTCACTTGAATTAAATGATGTAACAGTAAAAGAAATACCTTTTTTTACATATCATAGAACTTCTTAATTATGCAAACACAACAATCCATCAAGTTTGGGAGATTACATTACATAAGTTATTTATGAGGACTTCCATTACAATACAATAGTGAAATTAAGAATTTTCACTTAAGGAAGGATTTTCTTTTAAAAGTTAAAGTGGACTATCAGAGACTTTGAAGTTTATATTTAAAAGTGCCATCCAGATTGTACTGAATCTTGCTTTGGTCCAAGGGCAAATTAATGTTCTAGATAAAAATACCCAGAATTTAAAAATTTTGTAAGTTATTTTACAGAACCCTTATTTACCGATACATAAGAATGGTAAATGATAACTCCAATACAACCTAAATCACCAAATTATTGCAATGGTGTATCAATTTTTGGAGGTTATTTATAATTAGGTGGTGATCATTATATTTAAAGATTTATTACATTAAAAGATCACTAAACAATTTAAATTTCATTTAAGTTTTACTAAATCGATAATTTTAATAATGATATATTATATGTTGTAGTTGATGATCAAATCGTATATTAAACTGTCTTAGAACCTATTATAGATATATAAAAAGCAACTCCATTATGTGGTATCTATGAGAATTATGATTTAATTGTTAAAATATCAACACCTATAATTTAACATACGTAAAAACAAAGTATTATTTAAATTTATACTAATTAACCAACTACATCATAAGGATACTGGGGGATTAGAGATTTTATCATTAAATAAGATTCAATAATATATATATAAGAATTAAAATAAGTTAGATTTTTGATTAGTGATTGGATTAATTTTCCATGGATTATAACATAAAAAGTTTAAACAATTGAAATTTGCAAAAATAAAAATTATATAATTAGTAATAATATATTAGGATAACCATCTAAATTTAGAAAAATTATAAAGAATTTACCATTACATTCTAAAATTAGAATATAATTCATTATAATACTTACTTATACAACAATTAATGAAGATATTATTTAAATTAAATATTCTTTAGATTAAAATGAAAATTAAATTACAAAAAATTTATAATTGATAAATGATTAATATTGTGAAACTGCTACATTAAGTAAAGCTTATAATTTTGATGATTTCATTAATCATTCTAATGATAATTTATTTTTAATATTATCCATTGATTCTATATCAATTAATTGGGGAATTAGAGATTTTTAACTTTCATATTCTGATTCATGATAATCAATTATATATTAGTATTTTATATTTACATTTTTTATTTATACATAAATAATATTGACAATCTAATAATATTTATATCTTAATATCCTATATTTTAATATATACAGAATTATATTTTCATCTTACTATGATAGTAAATTGTTTAATCGTTGTTAGCACCCATATTTTATATGGATTTTAAAATTTGCATTAATAGTTTAAGCTATTTTAGATGAAATTATATTTTTCTATTTTATAAATATATTTATAAAATAAGATTATATCAAAGTACCTTAATTCTTTTTAAATCACAAATGAGATATACTTATTATTTATTATCTCTACAAAAAAAAGAGAAAATATAGATATAGGTTTTAGTTATTATTCAATAAATTAAGAAATAAATAGAAAGTAGTAAAACTATGTTTTAATAAATTATTGATTTATACTAATTCCTTTAGGTCAATAATTAAAATGAGATTTGTTTAAATGGAAATAATAATTGGCAAAATTTATTGAATCAATAACAATGTTTATTATTTTGATATGTATTTTTCATAAAAGTTGTTCAAAAATAATAAGCTATATATATTTTATTTTACACAAAATCTTAATTGGGAGATGTTAGATGTAATAATGAAAATTAACATAAATAGAAAAAAGACCAGGGCAAGTTCTAAAATTTTCTACTTTAATTGAAGGCTTTAATTGATTCATTTTTGGCTCCAAGTCCAGAACCAGAGGAACAACCAAAACCATAAGTCACAAAAGCAAAAAAACAAAAAAAAAAACAAAAAGATCCTCTTGCTCCTAAAATGCCAAAATCAGCCTTCATTTTTTACTTTTAGGACAAGAAGGAGAGATTTTAATCATAATATCCAAGTCTTTATTAAATGTAAAACTAGATTTACAATTTTAAGAGATCACAAAATTGATCGCTAGTGAATGGAAAGATTTGCCAAAGGAAATCCAATAGGTATCTCAACTAAAAAATAAATAGCAATATCATGTTTAAGCAGAATAAGATAGAAACAGATACTCTTAAGAGCAGGAGTTATATTAATCACAAACAGGGAAATAACCAAATGGGAAGGGTTAAGCAAAAACAAATAAATCGAGTGCTAAAAAGGAGAAAATTATAAAAACTCTTGATTTAGAAGAAGATAATGATTCTTTTGGTGCAGACATAGGTCAGGACTGATATCTATATAAGAATATTTTAAAATAATATTGATCTAAATATTTGAAGGAAATAGTCAATTTTTTATTAAATACTAATTGTCTAATAAATTATAAAGATATTGGTATGTTTAAATCAACTTATTTTTTTATTTATTACTTAAACAACTTTATAATTATCATTCCATTATATTATTTTTTTGAATTTTTAAAAATCTTTATCAAAATTCAGATGGACGTAAAGATAGGAAGATCGTTTAAATTAACAAAGAAATTGGGTTCAGGTGCTTTTGGAGAAATATTTCATGGAATCAATCTAAAAACAAACATGGAGGTGGCAGTTAAACTTGAGCCTGTAAACACTAAGCATCCATAACTGTTTTATGAAGGAAAATTATACTAATACTTGCTACAAGAACCCTCAGTTATTGATAAAGGAATTCCAAATGTTTACTATTGTGCAACAGAAGGTATTTATTTTTAGTATATTTAAGGTGAATACAATATCATGGTTATGGATCTCTTAGGGCCATCTTTAGAAGATCTATTCAATTTATGCGGCAGAAAGTTTTCACTAAAGTCAGTATTAATGTTAGCTGATCAAATGATTTAAAGGATTGAATATGTTCATTCAAGACACTTTTTACATAGAGATATTAAACCAGACAACTTTCTAATTGGAACAGGCAAAAGGTAAAATATATTTAAATTTAAATAGAGCTCATAAGGTGTATATCATCGATTTCGGATTAGCAAAGAGATATATATAAAAAGATGGAAAACACATTCCCTATAAAGAGGGCAAGAATTTAACAGGAACAGCCCGTTATGCTTCAATCAATACTCATCTTGGCATAGAACAAGTAAAAAATGCATTTAAACTTTAGGGAAGAAGAGATGATCTTGAATCATTAGGCTACGTTATGATGTACTTTTTAAGAGGATCTCTCCCATGGTAAAACCTTAAGGCTTCTAACAAAAAAGATAAATATGAAAAGATTATGGAGAAGAAGATTTCAACATCAATAGAAACATTATGCAAAGGATTTCCATAAGAATTAGCTACTTACTTAACATATGTAAGAAATCTGAGATTTGATGAAAAACCAGATTACAGCTACTTAAGAACTTTATTAAAGGACTTATTTACCAAGAGTGGATTTGAGATGGACTATATTTATGATTGGAATCTGATTTAGAAAACAGATGGTGCTCCTGGATAAACTACAAACAATTCATAACCATAATAGCCGGCAATCGGTTAAGTACCCGCCAAATAAGGTTGATTATCAACCTTAAAGATTATTATATATATATATATATAAAAATATTATAAAAGAAATAATCAATAATAATCTGTTCATTTTATATGATAAATTTCAGAGCATTAAGGAATGATATATTATATTTAAAACTATTAAATGAGAATAAAATAATAGAGCTTATTTTAGATATGATTTTTATTATATATTGTAATTTCCAAGATACTATAATTTATGATTAAAATGCAATCATTATTAGTATAATATTTATGTTCTTAAAGTTTTTAATTTAGAATAGGGTAATTATAAATAACAATTTTAATTCTATAATGAATTTAGAATTTATGATCTACTTTATAATGAAAACCCATATATAGTTATAGTTATACATAATGATGTAGATTAAGAAAAATTAGACATAAAGTATCATTGAATTTTATCATAATAAATTGCAATATTTCAATTTATTATTAATTTTCCAAAACTATATTATTATGATAAAAATTGATAATTTTCATTTTCAATATGTATATAAGATGTACTGATATTTTATCAATTTATGAACTACTCTTTTTTTCTTTATTAAATGTAATTCCTATTCTGATATTAATTATTAGAATCATATACTAATTTTCACATTTAGATTTTTGATTCACAGATATAATATTAATTTTATTATCTGAAATCAATCATATTAACTTGAGTGAATGGTAATAAATATATATATATAATAATTTTATATTATGCAAGTTAATTCAAATGAAGAGTTTTATCTCAGATATTAGTATAAATTAATATTTACTTTAGTGTGGGACATAAGGGTGTTTATGGACATGAATTTCTTGAATTTGAATTTAGAAATGATGGTCGATTGAGATATGCAAACAACTCAAATTATAAATAAGATGTTTTAATTAGAAAGGAATGTTATGTTTCAGAAGCGGTAATAGTAGAGATTAAACGTATCATTGAAGATTCAGAAATTATAAAGTATGATAATGCAATAAAAATTTCAGAGAAAATGATTCTAAATGGCCTGCACCTGATAAAATAGGGAGATAAGAATTAGAAATTAAACTAGGAAACAATCATATTTCATTTACTACATCCAAATTAGGATCAATATAAGATGTACAAAATAGCTAAGATCCTGATGGGTTGAGAGTGTTTTTCTACTTGGTATAAGATTTAAAATGCTTTGTATTTTCTTTAATCAGCCTCCATTTTAGAGTATTATTCTAGCTTAATATTATTAGATAAAGCCAGTCAATTGAGCATTATTGTATATTATATATATATATAATATAAGTTAATAATAAAAAAAATGATCAGAGATTGTTCACACTTAACAAATCAGCATGACTAAACTAAGTCCGCCCGTTACTTTGTCATCATTTAATAATAATTTTAATATCCATTCAGGTGAATGTAGGAGTATAATCATGAGATCATAACCCAGTGCTTGTTTTCATCATTAAATAATTAATTAAATAAATTAATGAAATAATTTGTTTAAAAATTATGGTTATGATCATTAAATAAAATAATTTTTTAGAATATAAATTTTTAATAATCATATATGATTTATGAATATAAAAATAGAATAGTTTGCAAATTTATGTTTTGAAAAAAGGATTCTATTATTTTTTAAATAAAAATAAAGATTGATAAAAAAGATCATTAAATGAAAATTTTAATTGAGAGTGTACACATAATTTTATCTCTCTTTAAAATGAATAGAAATCTATAATAGATATAATTTAACCTATAATATATTAATATTTAGAAACAAAATGGGAATTATTATAAAGTCTAATGATTGAATTAGAAATCTAATTTAGTGATTATATATTATCTATATGTTTTTTGTCAATAAGAAGATTTGTAATTTAGATTTTAATATTATATTATCATTCATCATCAGAATTTTATGATTATTGTACTTTTTTTTCTTCATCCTTTTTTACGCATTCTTCTTCTTTTTATTCCTAATTTTCTTAGTTTTATTATTATTTATTTTATTGTTATTATTATAAAAATTTTTCAAGAAAGGATCCATCATTCTCAAATTTATTTAATTATAATGCTTCTCTTTCTATTTTTTTTAATTCTTTTTTCATTTTCAATTTTAATTTTTCTTAAACTCTTTTATTATGTTTCTTATTTGTAATTTCTTGACTTTGCATAAATTTCTCTTCTCTTGTTTATTGAAATTCTTCATGTTCTAATCTCTATAATAATTAATTTTTTTATATACTTCATAATTGATTTCTTCTTCTTCTCTTTACCTTAAAGTTTCAGCCCTTTTAAATCTTCTATATGCATGTAAATCTCCACTACCTGCTGCTGCTGTTGCACTCTTAGTAATTGTTGTTCTTTCAACCCAAATAGAAGGTCTTTTACTAATTTCATCGCAAAATGAATTATACATTAATAAAAATAATATTAAACACTATGATATTAATATGTTAAATTTCTGTTATTTTTAAGAGTTCTATATATTTTTTACTAAAGAATGTTATATTTTATCAGAATCTTTATAATTATAAATTTCTACTTCTTTTAGAACTTAATTAATTAACAATTTATATGGAAAAAAACAAATTTTTGAGGATCTTACAAATTATTTTCTCTTCCCTTTGGATCATGATCAAAAAATTAATATTTAACAAGTTACCATTACTATTCTTTATAATTGCCTTTTGCTTTATGTATTTCTTTGCAAACATAAAATCTGCTGATTCAACAATATTACAACTTATGGAGAGAGTTCCTTATGGAATTGATTAAATGGTTATATTTTATGAACGTCAATAAATTGATTAAAAAAATTTGAAATATCAGATGATATTGAAGGAAAAAATAATCAAAGTTGAAAGAAATTGTTAATCTTTATTTAAATGTTTTCCATCAGGAATTTTAACTCCACTTTCATGGATTATAGGAGGAGTTGCTGTAAGACATGAATATATTTTACTTGAAACAATCAATCATTTAGTAACTCTAGAATTGAAATAGAATAAAGGAGATTATTATGTAGATATGTAAATATATGATTACGATAAAAAGTTTGCTTAATATCTTAATAAAGAAAGAGAATGGAATCGTTAATTAGATGTTTTGACATCTGAAGAAATAGGTGATTTAGATTTGTTATAAATCCATAAATTTATAGGGATTGTTTTAGTATGTTGGAAAAGCATAAATATGTTTAAAAAAGGGAAATATGAAGTTTTATTTAAAAATTGTAAGAATTTAAGTAGAGCTATATGTTATTTTTGTACTAAAGATCCAAATATTGATTCCATAATGTAAAGTATACTTGGATTATATACAGATTGGTTATGTGATAATATTAAACGAACTGAAATATAATGGATTCTAGATTACTTTTATAACTAAACAATATCATCTGTCACAAAAATAAGAACTATAATGTAAGAAATCCACAAACTTAGATCAAGAAAGGAAGAAGAAGACGAAGTTCTTAATTGGAATATAATCTGAAATTCTTATTTATAATAATATCTTTTCATTCTTATATCAAAATCTAATTATTTGTAATTCCTTAATATACACATTAAATTTAGAATATTCATATACAATTTAATTATCTATTTATTATATAATATAGTATTGTTCTTAATTTTTAAGTTAATAATCTAAATTATTAAATAATAATCTAAATAAGTACTTTAGATTTTCTATAGAATATGATTATCAAGAGCTTATAATTATTCATTTATTGTTTAAGTTTTGAGTTAAGGCAAATGGCGTAGATGGTTATCGCGCTGCATTTACACTGCAGAGGTCCCGAGATCGATACTCGGTTTGCCTATATTTTTATTTTTTAATTAAATTTGAAATGATATTAAAATAAATAATTATCTCAATTATAAAATTAATTAAAGAGTATATTAATTAAAACTTATAACTTATTATTTATTATGATGATGTAAAATATATCTTGGATTTCTTTTATGTAAAATATTGGTTTATTATTATTGAGTCTTTTTTTAAATAATTATTATTAGAAATACTTATATCAAATTTCTTTATTTATGGTAACCATATACTATGATTTATAATATATATTTAAATAATAAATATATATTAATATTTTTATTTTAGAATTGATCAATAAAGAATATGATCTCAGATATTTATTTAAGTTTAAAAGAGAATATTATACTATATAATTGATATTATAGATTAATTCTATTATTTATAATTCAACTTATTATTTAATTTGATGTTGAAACTATAAAATCTCTTACTCCCCAATATTCTATTAATAAATTATTATTATATACCATCTCCACTTCCTGATTCAATATTAAATATTAAAGTAAATTCAGATTAAGCATGACTTACATATAAATCTATCTCGACAACTTAATAAGTAGCCCCACCAGCAGAACAAAGTTGGGATGCATAATTTGTTTAAAGAACTTTCTGTCTCCAAACTTCTACATTATCAAGAGTGATAACCAGATATTCTGTGTTTATCCAATTACTAAGGAAATATATATTCATCTGAATTCTCAATGACAAATGTGTTGGTAATGATTTATACAAGGCTCTAACTTGTTAAGCTTTACTAATAACATTATAACCTCCTAGGATTTCCTTAGTATTACAAGTTGTAGCTTAGATACTATATGTTATAAGTTGCCATTTCTCATTATCTGTAAGAGTATCTTAAGCAAAATCAATATCAACTAAAGAATAGACTGTTGCACATGTGCCTGAATCAGTACAGATTTCACAATCACAATTACCTGTGTATATTTCAAATTTATTAAATCCTTATAAGAAATTTCCACCTGTATAAGTACGTCCTTTAAATGAGATTCTAGTTAATAATGAAGTATGATCCACTTCAACTGCATAAAGAGTGTATTCTTCATATTTATCACCTGAGGCAGATCCTGCACAATTAACATCATTTGAACTATATCCAATTTAAATTGTATCTGCTAGATTGTCATCTACATATAAAAGGACATCATTTTATTTAGATTGAGAATACATATAAAATATCATTTTAAGTGTCTTATGAATATTTAAAGTAAAATCTTTATACAATGTATCATACAAAGCCATATATTAAATGGGAACTGATGCTTCTGTACATTTAGGTACAGAGATTCTAGGTGTTGCAGAGAATGATTAATAAGATGACCATTCAGATGGAAGACTACTTGAAAAAGAAGCTACTAAATCTGAAACACTTTATTAAAAGTCCATTATATCAGGATTTGTAACAATTTCAGTTGGACTATTAATACACAACATTGTTTAATCTTCACAAAGTAAAGCATATATATAAAAATCTCTTATTCCATAATATTCTCCTGCAGCTGAATCAGAATAAAACTAAAATGTTATTAATTGTGAATTAGATTCAAATTCAATATCAACATTAACATATTCTTCATTTGATCCAAGTGAACATATATTTAATGTTTTAGTTTTAGTTTAGTCAAAGTTCCATATATTATCACCATTTGCATAAAGAGCATGAGAAATAGAAGTGCTAATAGCATCAATTTTCCAAAATTGAAATTTAACTTTTACTTTATAAAATGTAGTTGGCAAATAAAATTTCTTAAAGATAGAAACACCTGTTGGAAAATAACCAAACATCAAAATCTCTATGTTATTAATTCAATTGATTACTATCACAAAACAATTATTATACAACAGAATCTTATACAACCCATCCTTGATTTGTTGTAAATGTACTTGTAGCAAAATTAGAGGTTTACAATTAATATTTTGGACATGTATCCAATGTATCTGAGTAACTACATAAATCACATCCAACTGGACATGTGATTGCTTATATATCAATATCTCTTACTCCCCATGATTCCTAATAATTAAAACATTAAAAATACATTGTTATTTGCTTCATCCAAAGTAGATGTAATTTCTATTATAATAGATGGAGCTGAATGGAAAAAAAAGATTTCTTAAAATAAAAATTAAGCAAAATTGCTAGTCAAACCAGAATGTACTAATTATTTATTTACCACTACTCCATCAGCCTTAACGATAATATATTCACTTTCCCATTTATTGATCCTATTTTATTTTTTAACTAATCTTACGCCCATATTCTGAGTTTCATTCTTATTGTATGATGAGGTTAAGGGATCTCCAATAATTTGTAAATAGTTGTTCCAACTGCAAAACCGTTTTTTCCTCCAAAAACTGATTTACCCATTTGTGTATCATAAATAGCTGATGATCCAATTATTCCCCATCCTTTTTTAAATTATTTATTAATATACCTTGACTTGATGAAAATGTAGTCTCTGTAAAAAATGTTCCAATTTATTAAGAAGCCTAGTAGCTATTCAAAATAAAAAGACTTGATATCAATAAGATAATTTTAATCATATTTTTATATAAACACTGTTTTTTTTTCATAATTACTTTGCATAAATAATATTTATTAATAATAAATAAATAATAAAATTCTCATAATGAAAGTTTAGAGAATTCAAGTTCATTCAAATGAAAGCAATATTAATCAGAGAGACTCAAATTAACAGGTTTACTTATGAGTTCGCTTGGATCTTAAAATTATATTGTATTTTTATACTTTTCTTTTAAATTAGAAGGTAATATTGAATTTCTATTCCTTAAGCGATTTTATTTACATCTATATATATATTAGTGTAAAAGACTTTCGAGTTATTATTAATATCTTTATTTTTTTTTAATCTTTTTTGAATTTAATTATAATTGCTCATTAGGATAGCCACAGAAGTCTTGGAATCTGCTTTCAAAATTATTGAAATTTTTCTTTATTCCCATTTATTTTCTATGATAACATATATTTTATACTTATAATAATGGATTTATCATCCTTCCAATTTAAAATTCGATTTGGACCCTTCTCCCATTAAATAAAACTATGAGTTTAAAGAAAGTAGTCTCCAATTACATATTTATATTCAAAAGGATTTTGATTTACATCAATTGATAATTACCAGAGAGAATCCTAAAACTTTTACTGAAATATTTTACTTTAGCACAAATCATACGACACATTTTATCAACTACCCAGTCACATTAAGAATTTGCTAGATATATAGCCTATCCATAATTTAGAGTGATTTCTATATTGAATTCAATAATAGGCATAAGAAAATAAGTTATTTATAAATTTAATTAAGAGGGATTATGAATTTAAAATCAATTTGATCCTACTTTTAACTTGAATTAATAAACTAAGCATAGAAGATTAATTAATTTAAATCTCATTTATATAGATAATATTATCTAATTGTAGAAATCTTTCATTAATCTTATATGGTTGAGAGAATATGATGGGTTAGTTATTCTTTTCTGTATCGATAAATGGAGAATCTCGAATTTCTTACTAAAATAATTGATAGATAATTAAATGCAATAATTTTAATTCATTAATTAAAAATTTAATATTTTAACAATATATTTTATAATATTCATAAAAATTAATAAATAAATTAATAAATAAATTAAAATTGTTTGACATTTTATATAATAATTATATATTCCAAACATGTAGAATTTTATTCTTATTTTTTTATAATAAAATGTAAAAATTAACATAGAGTCATTAGTCATTAGAAACTATTCATTTTTACAAGGGAGGGAGCTTAATTGTATTTTTTAAAACTTTCATTTGAATATTTTTCTTAGATTTAAGGAATCTAAAAATCATCTCTTTATTCCTCCTATTTTTCTTGAATTGGTGATTAACATATATTATTATTATTTATTGTTTTCTTGCCTTTAATTTTTTCAGAAGAGAGATAAGAATCAAAAGGTTTGAGTTCATACATTTCTTAAATCATATTTTTAATTTCTGCAATGTATTTATGCTAATTATAAAAATTCCACATTGTACTTTTTATTCGATTGAACTTATTTTGTTGTAATGAATAATTTATAGTGTGGCTTCATTTTAGAGGAAGGAAATAAAAAGGTCTTTGAGTAAATTCTTGCATAGCTTAGACTCTTTGGGTTCGTTAACTTAAACTTGAAAGCACCTCTATAAGTCACCTAATTCAAATCGTTATTGTTTGGATGTCTAGATAATTGTAAATTTTAAATTACTTTGGATTCTTATACATTCTGTAGATATTTATAAGCAGCATCTTGCTCCATCATTTTGGCCCACTTTTTGAAACGAGATAGGAAGAAATGAGGTATGCGTCTAAGGATTATAGAACTTATTTGAATACCTTCTAAAGTCCTGATCTTCCTTAATGTCAGGATTGGGATAAGGATGAGAAATATTGTTAGATTTCTCGGAGTCGGAATTGACTATTAAAATATAAAGGTAATGGAATACCACGTATTTTTCTTGATGATGGCTAAGGATTGAGTTATTACTTGATATCATCATGAAACCTTTAAATGACGGAGAGAGCATTAGCAAAAGAATTAAATTGATCTTCATCAGCCTCCAGAATGATTTTTTTGTTTTTTTGTTCAAGGACCTAGAAGATAAAGATAAGTGTTAGATATAGTACTCGATATTTGAAGAGAGAAGGTTCATTATTGCTTTTCATTTATTATAATTAATGAGAATGCGTAATTAGATTGCTGTATTCATCATGGGGTCTTGGCTTTAAGGACCTGGATGATTTCATGGTATATCTGCAAAGGTATAATGTCAATACGATTTTGCCCAATCCGGGCTTATATTTTTCTATCTTCCTGAAAGTACGTTTAATCTTCAAAGTTTCTTCTTTAAGTGATTCGTCATCTTCTCGTATTGGTGTTCCAGTGGCATCTAACTTGAGGGAAGTGACAACTCGATTATGGGTGTAATTAAGAGTTTCACAACTTGCTTATTGTTATTCTCCACTTAACATTCCAGCTCTCTCAAGTAATTCAAAAAGTAATTAGGTTTTCTTGGCATTTTTAATGAATGGATGTGTAAGTAATTAAGCAGCAGTTGGTCTTAGACGAGGATCTCGTTGTAAACACTAATGTACAAAATCTATCATTTCATTTGGATAATCTCCACTTAATTTTGGAGGTTGTTAGACTATTTTAAAGATGACCTTTTATGGAGGGACATCTTCATAGGGAATCTTGGAAGTGATTAATTCAAATGCAGTGATACCAATAGCCCAAACATCAGTTTTCTAATCAGTCAAAGAGGATTAAATGGTCTATATATAATTAGGAGGTTCTTTTACTTCAGGAGCCATCCAATAAGGGAGACTGAGGATATGTGATTATGATTTATTAATGGTATCAGCAAATTCTTTATTGGTAGAAAAATAGGAGAGTTTAACCTTGGCTTCTTGGGATAGGAAAAGATTAGCAGCTAAAAAGAGATTTAGGGTAAAAATAATAAAACTCACATTTAATATGTCGATGCACAAGACCTTCTTAATGGATCTCCTATACACCAAGTAAAAGTTCTCTTATTATCACTTGCACATATTGAGTCTCTAAAGTCTGTTTGTTGATCTTGAATAAATGAATCAAATCTTTTAATGATCCTCCAGCAAAGTATTCCATCACAATAAAGAGTTTACCATCTTGTCCAAAACACTTATCAACCAAGCATATATTTCTAAAAGGTTTAGTACGATAAGTTTAGACAGCTTAAGCCAATTCTGCCTGATTGACTAAATTGATGACTTTTATGGCTACTATAAGTCCTGTTTTTTTGTCCAGTCTTGAATGATAGGATTATGAGATTACGCTTTATAAACAGTGGAATAGTCTGTACGGTCTAATGCACAAAGAATATCATAATCTTCAATTGAATGTATTTAGTGATCCAGACTAATGAAATTCATAATTACATACAAAATAAATCAATGATAATATGCTATATATGTACATTCCATACCAAACTCTACTCATTAAATGAAATAAGCTTTAATTTTCAAACATGAATCCCCACATGTCAAAGCTGATTTTCATGAGAATGATACTAAAGACCCTATCAAGATTCTTCAATCAATTTATGATCAATATGATGCTTAGTTTGTAGAAGAGATTATACTTGAAGAACTTGAAATACCTGAAATTACACCTGAATTGAGAGATAAACTTTAAGAGTTTCCAAATGTTCATAGTTTTGGTATTAATAGATGTGGATTATAAAGTTTAACAAATTTTCCATCTTTTAAACATTTAGTTAGATTTCAGGCTGATGGTAATCTTATTAAAGCAAAATAAATTGGGTATTTAAAGAAATATACAGAATTACGATCTATTTCTTTGATTTGTAATTAGATTGATGATCCAAAAATAATGATCAAATATTTAAAGGAAATGAAAATTATTTAACTTAATTTATATGGGAATCCAATGCAAGATTATTTTAAATTATTCTTTGATGAAATACCCTCTTTGATTTACTTGGATAATCTCTAAAAAACAGGTGCAGAAGTTTATTATGATTATGATGACACAAATGAATTGAGTAAATAGGATGGTTATATCTGTCCCAATTATAAGGAATACAAAAGTTGATATTTATATATCATAAAATTAATTAATTAAATTGCTTATAATAGTGATTTTCAGGATCTCTTACCAAATGAATTAACTATGAGAATGCCTGTCAAGACTTATTTGTAGAGGTTGTATGTAAGTCAGTTTGCTAAAAGTAGTAATTACTATAATAATTAATGGATGATATGGATATGGTAAAGAAGGACAAAGAGTAATTACATAATAATTTAATTGAATTATCTTAAATACAATTTGCTCAATTAAACTGTTTTGTTGAGTTTGAAGCTTACTACACTAATAATTAATTCTAATAGTTACTTCTGTATCATGTTTTAGACATATCCAATAATTTACATCTTGAAAAACAACTTAATTTTGAATTTATATCATCTTTATTAGGGTTTAAATGATAAATTAGTTTCTAATCTTTCTCTTAGACTAATAAAAGATTCATTTCTTACTAACACTAATTTTTATAGATTTAAATATTCTGTAAATCTAAAATCTATATTTTACTATCCATTAATATCGATTTGAAACTCTAATTATATTTCATACATTATTTTGCAGTGAAAATAATAGGAATTTATAAAACATTTAATTCTTTTATTTCTTTTAATGATTTTGGAACGAACACCTTTTATATCATTATGATCTTCTAATAAATTTGATTAAGAATAGGAAAATTTACTATTTCATAATGGATCAAATAGAATTGTATTACAAATTAAAAAGAGAAATAGCCAAACTATGAAATTCAATTATTTTGAGTTCTGGATTTAAAACTTTAAAAATGTTTATAGTTAATTTTTATAGAGTCTAGAATTTTATAAAACACTAACAACTTTTATATCATCAGTTATTTATATAATTATTATACTTAATCTTATGATATCTCTTCATATAGGAGAAATTCTATATAAAATAGTAATTAAAATAGACTTGATAAAAAATAATTATACATATAAATAACGCTTTTGATTTGTATTTATTATTATATTTAATCTATAAATTTTAAAATAATTGTTATTTTTATTCTTAAAATATAAAATAAATTTTCATTAAAACAATAAGATTTCTACAAATTTATACTATTTGATTATTATTTGTATTTTTTTGTCTTACAATTTATTAATATCTAATAATATAATTGTATAAATTTATTAACAATCTTGGTGTTTAAGTTATTTGCTTATTGCTTATAAATTATAATTGATAAATAAAATGTAGAAGATTGATTATATATAGTTTGTAAATTAAAATTAAATTATGTTAACAAAAAGTATAAGATTATTCAGACAATTTAGATTTTGTTCGGCTCATGAAGAAATTACTAAAAAATAGGCTGAATGGTCAATTATAGCAAAATAGAAAACATTATAGTAATTTAACAATTAATTTCAAGACAATAATAATTTTTAGAATAAACATTAACATAAGACTAAAAATTAAGAGTAAGGGCAATAGCTGATGCTTGTTGCGAATTAGATCTCTTTGAATTATAATGTTTAATGAGCTTATTGAATGAAAATCACTACAAGGCTCAAGGTATAGGAATTTTTGAGATTGATACGAATTGGCCTGTAATAAAACAAAATGAAGTACCAACTTGGCCTCCAAAAGAGAAAGAATAAATTGAAGCTTACATGAAAGACCTATTTGGAGAGAATGTCGTAAGATAAATATTAAATTACTTAGCCAGATTTCAAAGCTATTTTTGGTGGTGTAGGATCAATAGGAAATTAAGCCCCAACATAAGCTACTAAAGAAATACCAAAGTAAGAAGAGAAATAAGCAGATGCTACACCAAAAGTTGAAGCTGAAGTAATTATGTATGTAAAATAAAGAAAAAAAATTATGATATAGAATTGAGTGCTATTGATGCAGCTCAGAAAATAAAAATAATAAAAGAAGTTAGGTATTTTTAAGTGAAATCAATTTAGATAATTACTCAATTTAGGATTGAAAGAAGCCAAAGATTTAGTTGAGAAATTGCCAGCCAATTTAGGTAAATAAATACCAAAAGAGAAAGCCAATGAATTAAAAGAAAAATTAACAGCTGCTGGATGTACAATTATTTTGAAGTGAAAATTATAAAAATATCATTTCATAAATTTGACAATAATTCTTTAAAGTCTTTTAAGTTTAAAGGCTTGGATAATACATATGTCATCCCTGCATCTAAACAATTTACTATATCTGATTCACTTGTGAATGCTGTTAAACCTATAATATTAATGGAAGGAATCTTCTAGGTTTATATCATCTCTAAGATAATTTTTGTAGTTTCTATTCCATTTAGTATTGGCATTTGATAATCCATTAAGATTACATCAAGTAATTAACAATGATCACAGCACTTTTTTAATTGGTTCAATTTATCTATCGCTTATTACCCATTGAAAGCCTAAGGATAAACTATTTAATACTAACCACCAAAACTTCAAAATCTAATTTTTATAGCAACATACACAATGAATGTTAATTGAATACTTCATCATCAACTGATAATATCCTTCTACAATTACATTTCTTTTTTTAAACAAAATTCAATAGATTCTACTAGCTTTCTTAATCCTCCAAAAATTTTAATTATTTAATACTAAAAACCTATGATCTTGAACTTCTACTTGATTTTAAATCTTTAAATTATTATTATATAGATGGTGAATCATTTTATTATCCTAAATATTTGAAATCTATATTTTGACTTGAATCAGAACTTTATGAATCATTTAAATTACTAATTAATTTAGGATCTGATGATCTCAATTCCTTTATTTAATGATTTAAAGGTAAGAAATCACTTGATTTATCAATTGATAACATATCAGTACATAATTCCATTGTTTTAAATTAAGGAGTAACTATATCATTATTTTAAAAGTTAGACACTGGTTTTACTGAAGTCACAATGACAGTTCCAATTTATATTTTATTTTACGAATTTATTTTTGTTCCAAATCTAACTGATTTTCTAGAAAGCATAACTGATTATCCTCTATTTTAGTCTTCTACTAATATTGTAACTTTGGTTCCTAAACTCTTTCCTTAACTTTTAATTTATAAATACTATTTATTTGCATTAGTTGACAATTTTGTTAATAAAATGGATGAAATTAAAAGTCCAAATCCATGCCAACTTTTATTAAAGATAAAATCAGATGTCTCTTAGAATTGACATAGAGTTTTTTAGATTCTCTCTAATTTTTCTTATTCAATACCAATCCCTTAATCTTTGATAGATATTTTCAATATATTTTATTCAAGTGATTTAAATCTAACTACTACATTACCACTGTATGAGAATTTTAAAGAATTAGCTAATAAATTCACTATTATTTATATTAGACGATTATAGTCAGTATTAAATGTTTAAAAATTATTTTTCAACATTACTATTTTTAATCCCATATTCTTCATTTCAAATTATTATTAAAAGAGTCCACTAATTTCATTTATTAATTCTTTGAATGTAAAATCTTTAGTCTACAAATATAATGAATTTGCATAATAATTTGAAAAGTCAATTATATCATTAATAATATATGATTATAATTTTAATGAATTAAATGCTGGATGTAAATATTAGTTTTTAATATAATTATCTACTTTTGATTCAGAAATTGCTGATTCAATCAGATTTTTTGCACTATTTAAAGGTGTTTTCATTTCATGAGAAAATGATTCAATAATTTTTGATTTAAAATCATCCTTGATTTTCTATTATGATAATTCAGTTTATTTTGAGATATCATTTAAAAATATAGTAATCTCTTTATTATCACTAATGATTTATCCACTCAAAGAAATAGGATTACAATTTTATAATTTTAGAGTACAAGATATATCAAGAGCCTTATTGCTTGAAGCTTATATTAAAGAATCATACTCTCCTTTTTTATATTCTTCTAATATTTACTCTAAAGTTTTAGTTTATACACTAATAACCTGTTTGGTCGATTCTAAGTTCTTAAATTCTCTACAAGAAGGATCTCTTTATTTATCTCTTAATCTTTTCATTTAAAGTGAGGCACTTTTAAAAACCTCAGTGTATTATTAAGGTATCTAAAAATTTAATTCTTATAAAATAATTTTCGATAATTCTTCTTCTAAGGCACATCTAAACAATTCCATAAAGCATTAATTAATGTATTTAACACATAAGTTTGAATAACTCAATATTAGCACTTATACATTCATATCTTATATTCTCTATCTCCAAATATTGTCACTTGTTTTTGAGTATTCAGATGGAGACTGTAATTCATTTAGTTATGATTGTAAATAATGATTTTTATTCTAAAACTGCTCTTAGTATTAAATAAATTTTAGAATATCAAGTGATATTAATGTTAATGAGCAAACGAAGCTTATTGCATCAATCTAAATTAAACATACTGATAATATTAGACTTAATTTTCCAAAAATATTAGCCAACAAAGCTACTTTTGCTAAGTATTGATCATAATTAATCTCTAATGAATAGCACATCTGAATAGATAAATATATGCCGCTTGGTGATTATATTATTGATATTACAATAATTTCAAGTATCCTATTTACAAATATCATATTCAACATTATATTATGTGTAATTTTATCCTTTAAAAGATACAACAATGAGAATATGATGATGTCTACTATAATTTTGAGAATAATAACAATTAAGTTAGTTATCATTTCTGTCAATTCATTAATTAGACTAATATTTAATACTATTTGTATTGCTAATAGGAAGAGATTAGTCTAAAGAAATGTATCTTTAGTTGATGGTTTCTTGTTCATGATTATTGATTCGAATAGCTTAAGAAAATTAATATTATTTAAAATAATATATATTAAATCAAAGTAAGGACAACTTATTGTTATTTTCGCAAGTATATATAAATTTAACAGTAAAATCATTAATTTTTTCAAAAACATAAAGTATTAATATAAAAATGGTTAAGGTTTATCAAATTAAAGTAAGAATTTCTTTAAATTCTTTTAGATTAAGTGGTTTATGAAGTACATCACTCATACCTGCTTTTAAACAATTTTCAATATCATTTGAATTTGTAAAAGCAGTTAAACCAACAATGTGAATTTTTGGGATTATGTTCTGATTCATCATCTAAATTAATTTCTCTGTAGCTTAACAACCATTTAGAATTGGCATCTAATAGTCCATCAAAATGAGAGTTAATAATGAACATTTCTTTCCACATTTCTTAATATTCAAAATATCAACACAAGCTTATTGTCCATTAAATGCCTAAAAATATAAAATAATATTGCTACTAAAATAACTTCAAATCCCATTTTGCATAATAACATTTAAATTGATTTTTGATTAAATATTTCATCATCAACAGACATAATTCTTTAACATTAACATTTCTTTCTTCTTTTATAAGTTTATAACAATTCTTCATCCTCCTATTCTTCTGCCTATTTAATAAATTTTATGCTCAATATTTTAGAATTATTAGATCTTTATGATGAATTATCATTCTTATTAAAATGTCTCACTTTTTAAGGTGAACTACAAATAATATCAGTAATTAATGAAGGTTATACAGGATAAAGTAAACCAAACTTTTAATCTAATGAATCAAAAACAACACTTTCACTAAACATAGAATTATCATTAGATTTTTATGAACTAATTTTATTTTTTTATTATTTTGGAATATTCTTCATTCCTTATCCTTAATCTGTTGTTTAAATTATTGTACCATTTAGATTATTAAATGAAGAAGTCATATGAACAGAACTCTAAAATCTTTGTGTATTTTATCTAATTGTAGGTTACTTTACACTATTATGTTTTACTTATTAATTCTTAATAAAAAAAGATACCTTAGAACCCATATTAATTCCATCAGATTCAAATTTAATTGTACTTTTATCAGATGGTCCTAATTTCTAAACTAACATAGCAGAAATTAATAAACCAAATCCATGCCATGTTTTATTTAATTAAATCTCTTTTTAATTCTTTAAATTATTTAAATACAATTAAATTTATGAAATATTTGTTTAGGATACTCCTTATCCCATATCTGTAACTGTAAATTTAAGAATATCTTTTGTATGTGATTAAATTCTCAAGACAATTAATCCTTCAGTTGAGAATTTAATAGAATTTTATAGTAAATTAACTAATATTTACATTAGTTTACTATAATCACTAGTTACTGAATTTATACAACAATCCATTAGATCAACTCTAAATTCAAGATTTTTCTCAGAAAATTACATTTCAAAAAGGGAAGTAATCTCATTAATTAATTCTCTCATTGAAAATTCCTTAATAAAAAGTTCTAAATTATTTGTACTTGAAGATGTAAAATCAATTATATCACTAATTAAATATGATTAAATTTTAAGTGAATTTATTGCTGGAACAATATAAGTATTTTTATTTTACTCACTATTATCAGTATCTTACATAAAGGCAGTTAGAAAATTAATGGCTCCATTTAATGGAGTTCTCAATTCATGTGAAAAAGACTCTACAATCTAAGAATGATGAATATAGTTACTTTTGATTTGAATTCATCCTAAGAAATTAATTATTATAGTTCATTTTGTTTAGATATATCATTTAATAGAAGTATTATTTCTTCATTTTATTAATTAGTTAAAATAGAACCAGATAATTAAAATTTCTTTTATTGAGTATGATTTGTATTAGCATTTTCTACAAGTCCTTAATAATTTTAATGACAAAGTAATTCTAATGAATTATTTACTATATATTCTTAAAAATGACCCTCAGAAAGATTTGTAATAATCTCTGCCAAAGTAAATTTAAGAGCATTATGTTCAAAGGAATCAACTTATCTTGAAGATACACATTATATTCCTGATGATCCTGATAATGGAACTGGAGTGCCACAATTCTAATAATCTTATTAAAAGCAACGATTTTATTTGCTTCTGAGTCTTTGTCGTATTTTTAAAAAAGAGAATGATTAACATATTTAATCTATATTATCTTATACTAAATTAAATTGTAATTTATGTAGAAGTAAATCTTCAAATTCTTATTCATTTTCACAAAATAAAGAAAAGAATTGATGAGCTGTTTTATTTTTGAAATTGATTTTTTGAGTTTTTAAATCAATCATAATAAATGATACAGGAATCATTTATATTCTATTTTTCCATAAATTATCTTATTCTTACTATGAAATTAAACTTTATGCTAATGGATTTTTTTAATTTAAAACAATATTTTATACTTCTTTAACTTAAAATAATCTATTTAGTTCCAATAAAAATTAGAATGATATTGATATAATTGCTATTAAGTCAAAATTGATTATAATGATGAATAATGTAATTGCTCTTGTTGCAATTATATCAAAATATCGAAAATACTTTTTATCAGTTTCTTTCTCTTCAAAAGAATATAATAGCATAATCAATGCACTTTTTAATTATATGTCTAGTAATACAATCATTATTAATGTAGATAACTTACTGATAAATAAACATATTTTCTTAAATAGGATAGTTTTATTAGTTAGTGCAATCATTTATGTGGTAATAGCAAAAATTGTATTTAGAATACAAACAGTAATAGTAAATATTAGTTAGGAATCATTTTAGACTATCATTAAGGCATTTATAGTTAATTAAAAACAAAAAAAAATGGCAATTGAATGATCTCTTTTGAAAATATTCCATATATGTTATTGGTTTTGAGAAAGCAATTAAGTACCTTTCATCTCTAATTATTTAATTTTCACTTTTTAAATAATTTATTCTTCTTTAATATAATCTTAATGAAAATAATAATAATAATATTGCTTTTGTTATATTCAGTTTAGTCCATTTGGGGACCTACTTGCAGAACTGTAATATCAATTATTTACTTTTTAGTTATGTTACAATTCTAAGGGTTCGATTTGTGGAATTTTATCTTAGAGTTGTTGTAAAGAAGGTTATTGTGCTAATGGTTGGTTGGGTGAGGAATGTGAAATGTATATACAATTAATTTCTATTCAAGTCGACTATTTATTCCTGGGTGCACTACTAATTGGAGTTTGTTTTGATAAATTAAATATATATATTGAATCAGAAATGAATAAGTTTACTTGAATTTTGCAATATCTAAAATAACTCTGTTATTTATCAATTCATTTGATTGTTTTGAAAAGTGATGAATTAAACTAAGTTTCTAGAGTGTACTATTTTATTTAATAAGATTTTCTTAGTAAAATATTAAGACAAATTGATTCAAAATAATTAGAATAACAATAATAATATGAGCACTTTTGAATTTAACATGATATCTAAACCTATTATTATATATAATTAATCTAAAAAAATTCATTTACTTCTTTTTTTTTCATTAACTTTTATTAACATATTACATTTTCCTTTAAATATTATATGATTACTATTTTATTATTATCTTATCTAAATTCATTATATATGATCTTGATATAAACAAAAAAAATACTATTTTATCCTCTTAACTATTCTAAAAAATAACAATATACATTAATCATTTTGATTTAATAGTTTCTTAATAATTATCATATTTTGTTAATTCATTAATTTATTTTTACAACCACTCTATAGATTGTTTCGATTACTAAATTTTTCATACTTTTCTGAAATATTTTTATTTGAACTTTTAATTATCTATACTCTTAGTTTTTTATTGAAAATACATTACTTTAATTTTAGACCTCAAGGTTAATGTTAATTAAATAAACTTGAATAGTTTCTATGATTAATATAATATATAAGAACTTGTTATTATAATATATATTGATGTTTCAATATAATACACTATTTATGATAGAATATGTGATATTGATTGATCATAATCTCTTATTAAATTGTACATCCAAGATTTCTAAGGTTATTAATAAGAATAGTTGATATTAAGGAAGTAGTTAATTATAAATATATTAAAAAGTCTTTCTTCTTTATTGTATAATTATTCTATATATTTTATTTGTTTCCATAAGTTTACTATATCGTAGACAACACTTAATTAAAATATGAGAAGATCACATGTTAATAATTAATATTTCATAATTGCCATGAACTTACAATCATAGATTATTATATTCAATCTCCTTTTTCTTGAAACAATAGCATACTACTTATCTGTTTCATAATCAACTCCAACCATTACACTAAATAATCAAACCATTTCATAATTTAATTCAACATTCAAATACAACACAACCATATAAATAGAAGGAGAATTCTTCTAATTTCTTATTGTAGAATTTCAGTAAACCTCAAATGATAAATCAAAAGTAGCTCTTTTATTTAATCAAAAATTTCCTACATTTGAGATCAATAAAACCTTATAATTCAAAGATATGGATTATGACAGGTATTAATTCAATATATTTACTTAAGCTTTGCACTAAATAAATAAAACCATTATCTCTTGATTAATAACATGATTCCTTATAAATTTATTACAATTCTCAGTAATATTACAATTACTTTTGATTTAATGTTAACAGGTACTAATACATCAAAATGTTTAAATAATTGCAATAATAATGGGAAATGTATTAAAGGAAGATGCTACTGTATTTCTAATTTTATAGGAAAAGACTGTTCATATAAAGCAACAGAATTAGAAATTTAGACTTGGAAAAATTAAACTTTATCAAATTAAGTAACATTTTTTTATTATCAATAAAAGGAAAACTCAAAGGAACTAAATTTAACATTTTATGTAAACTTTCGAAATATTTTTATAGACTGATAGCTAAAAAAATATAAGTGTTTTAGAAATCATTTCTTCTTTTATCTCTTTACCTACTTAGAGGTTTTATGATTTCTAAGGAAAATTTAATAAGACCATGCCTCTTTCTCAAGTAATTAGTTCAAAAGGATTTAAAGATTATGATGATGATGATTTTTTGGGTGAAGACACAGATGATGACAATGAAGATATATAAACAGGAACTTATAAATATGAGAATAATTTACCTGTTAGATTAATAATTGCAGTTTTTTGTGAAATCCCTAATACTTCATTATAAATATCATTTAAGTAGATATAGAAAAAAGATCGTCAAACTTTATTAGAATGGTTAATTCCTACAATTATAGCCACAATAATAATTCTAACTGGAATTATCATTTTAGTGTGGCGTTCATATAAAAAAAAAAAAGAATCTTAAAATCCTTTTACATAAGTATAATCAGTATCTGATGATGAAATTTGTCATATTTGTTAAACAAATCTTTAGAAAAAAAAAAATAAAATTGTTACATTAAAATCTTGTTAATAAAATCATAATTTCCACTAAAAATGTCTATCTCAATTTTATAATAATGAATCTAACTAATTTTTGTGTCCAAAATGTCCATAAATAATTTCGAATTAGTGATTCATAATAAATACTATTTACCATGATTATTATTGTTTATGTACTTATATTGATTTTCAATTAGATAATATTTAATTTTATACCAATAAGTAATATAGAAAAATACTCATCAAACATATTAGTTTTAAAACTATCACTCCATAGCTTATCTACAACAAGGACAAATTGAATAAATAGTATTTGTATAATAGGTTCTCCAAAGTGTCAAACATTATATATGAAATATATGATTACAATCTAATTTAGCTAATTGTGTTAACTAATTAATTTCAAAATTATCCAAACATATAGGACACTCTTAATAATTTTATATATCCTCTTGGATTGGATTTGAATACATCCTATTTTAATTCTATTTATCTGATTTCTATCGAAAACAACGGTATGCAATAATCCCAAAACATGATAAAATAATAACAGCTATACTCAATATTACTAACAATTTAATCAATTTTTCATCATCTTCATCTACATATTCATCAAACTCAATTTATATACAACATTTTGCATTTTTATTAGATATTATTTTTATCAATAAAAAATATGTTTAGTTTGTAAAATTTTTGATTTATTCATTATCAATAAGATTAATATTTGATTTTATTTTATATTTGGCAATTTTCTTATCGTTTATAATATCATCATAAGTATTATTGGAATCAGAGGGTAAATTAAATTTTTATGAAATTAAGATTTGCACTCTCACATCAGTTATATTCTCCCATTTTTTAGAAAATTTAATAAGCATATTGAAACTAAGAGTATAATTGAAACTCATATATATGTATTCAAGCATTTCATTATCATTTTTTTATTGAAACTATTAAAATGGAGTAATTTGTAATCCTTTTTATGAACAATCATGATCTAAATATCCAGAATTACATAGACAAACACCATTCTATTTTTTTATTATATTTATACTTTACAAATTCCATTATTATTACAATTATTAGGACAAGGCATTTAAGACAAATTCTAAATAATTAATTTATATTTAGTAGTTTGATTAGTCAATATCACTAAGAATTAACTAAATTCAGTCTTATTTTCTTAATCTAGTACAATATAGTGATATTTTTTTAATTACTATTTTCTATTTTTATATTCTCATTAAATACCCATAAATGTCCGCATTTTCATATCTGATTTATTTTCTTGATGAATTGTTTTCAAAGCAAGGAGCCTCTTAATAAGATTACAATAATAGTATATTTGCTTAGTGTTTTCTTGTAATGACAAATAATTCGATCAAAATATATCGTAGTTACTTTGCCTTGTTTACCTTAAATAATAAGGTTTGATTTATTTTTCTTTGTATGAAATTCTATTCCCATGGTTAATAACCAATGTCAATTTGCATAAATTATTCACAATTGCATAATTAAAGAATTAAAGTCAAGATTAGGATTCTCATAATTGTTATATTTTATTCTATAAATATTAAAGAATGTCAAGCATTTACTTAATCTTATTTTAATCTTTTTTTAATTAATCGATTTTTTTCCCTTTTATAATAATTAACAAGATTGATACAGATATTAAATCATTAAATTTGTATGAATTAATAAAGATAAAAATCAAGCAATTAATCAATTTCAATAGAAATTTTGGTTCATTTGACCAAAAAATTAATACTTAAAAAGAGTTCTAGTTCTAGAATTTGATGAATAAAGTTAAAACGAATTATTGTCAATAATAATTTTACAAATATAGACGTTTGAATGTAACTTAAAATCTTTTTCTGAAAAAGTGACATAATAAATCAATGTATTAAATCTTGATTAATATATTAATTAATTGAAGTAACCCTTTTTAACTCAAGAAAAAAAGTATAATGTAAATTAATCCATAAAAAAAGAAGTTAACTTTAACTTAACCAAAAATGATTAATACATATGATAAGATGTTAAGAAACTAAATAAAATTAGCTTATATTAAAATAAAATTAATAACAGATTGAAATATGAATTGATTATGTTGAGATTTCATATTTTAAATCTTAATTAAATAACAAAGAAGATAAACTTAATTTGATTAGCTCAATAATTATTTTATAGATTTAATCATGTATATGTCTGGTTATCACATAATTACACAATTATTACAACAATAATCTCTTATTTTTGATTTATTATGTTATTCTAGAATGATCGAACTCAATTATTATATTTCATCACTTGTAGGATAATCCTCTGAAACCAATTCCACTATTCTAGATATTAAAACCTCAACATTTATGTTTTCCTTAACTGATGTTTCATAGTATAATAAATTTTCCTCTTCTATTAACTATTATAATTCATTTTCTTAAAATTACTTTTCCAAATCACACTTATTTCCTATATCTATTTAAATATTGTACCAATTAAAATTTTGTGTTAGACTTTAGAGTCTATTTTATTGACTAAATCAATCCAATATTTAACATCTTGAAAAGAAGAGAGTTTATGTTGATCAAAAACAATTATTACTGCATTAGCTCCTTTTATAAAAACCTCTGTTACTACTTGGAATTTCTGATCTCCTGACGTATCTTATAGATTTAACATGAAATTTTTATTTTAGAGAACAATAGTTTTTGATTGGAAATCTCTCCCTTTTAATAGGTTTATGGGTATATCTTGAGATGTTACATACTAATTTGAATTGAGATAGTCACAAAACTTATTTATTAATTAAGTTTTGCCAACTCCCATATTACCAATAACCGTAATTTTCACTTTATGTTATTGTTATTTATTGGATTTGTTATGTTTATGCATACAAATTTTATAATTATTAAATTTGATGATAATCAATTAAATTACTAAGTGGTTATCATTAACTTATTTTTAAGTTTAACTAAAGAATTATATGTTTATAAATTAAATATGTATTAATAAAAAAAATGAAAAGAAATGCAATTTAAATTGGAAATAAAAATAATATTGAAGTAAATGTTACGAGAATAAAATAATCACAACATAAATTATATATTGAAAATTAGGGCATCACAAATCAATAGAGATGAATCAACAGCACATTGAATCATCTTATTTTTATTAATCTTAATTAGCAGATGGATTTAACTTATTGAAAGTATTATTTGATTATTATGGAAGTTTTTCAATTTATTCTTTAATTTGTTTGGCAATTTATTAAAATGTATCATTAATATTAGTTCCTTCCTTTGCACTTGTTTCAAAATAAGGTATATTATATTTTTATGCCATCTTCATAGCTTATTCATAAGTGATACATCTATCTGGGAGATCTGTTTTGTTTCCTAAATATCATAATAATATTCTAAATTAACCTATTAATACTTTTATGATATTGTCACTTGCATGTTATTTAATTTGATTCATCCATTTCTCAATATCATGAAAAGATTCTTAATCATTTACTGCAAATACTAGTATAATTCCCATAGCCCCTTTGTAATATGTTTAAGTAATAGTTTAATAACGTTCTTAACCAGCAGTATCCCAAATTTACATTTTGATGACCTTCTCATCCACTGATATTTTTTTGATTTTAAAATCGATTCCTTATAGATTAGAAAAATTAGAAAAATACCTATTGTACTAAGAAATGAAGTTTTAAATTGATTTTCTGTATATCTCAATAATATTTGAGTTTTCCCAACTCCAGAATTTCCAATAAGCAAAACTTTGATCAATAAATCATATGTATCCTTAGACTTTTTCACCAGTGATGACATTATTATTTTTAATAATATAAATGTTGTGAATTCAATTAAATTAACTTCTATAATTTACAATTTAAATAGTAAAAAATAAAATAATAAATAAATCAGATACTGAGTCGATTAAAAGTATCAATTAATTTCTCTTTAGTAGCAGGCTTAATCAAAACACTATTAAATCCTTCATTTATACTCTTCTATTGATCTTTAATACTACAGAAACCAGTAACTGCAACAACAGGAATGGTTCTGCATAAATGTATCTCATTTTCTATTTATCGAATTCTTTATACAGTTTCCCATCCACTCATCATTGGCATATTAATATCCATCAAAATACAATTATACCCAATACAACTTTATTGATTACATCTTTTAAGTAATTGAGTTTGTACTTTTTCAATTGCTTATTTCCCATTAAAAGCAAAGTCTATATCAAATCCTAATTATTTAACCATATGTGATAGAACATCAACATTGAATTGTTCATCATCAACAATTAACACAATTTTGCAATGACATTAATTTATTAATAAATCTAACTATAATTCTGATTAACCCTATTTCTCTGTGATCTAAAGATTATTACATTTATTATAATTCATCACACGAACTTATTAAGTACTTTAAGCATCTACATAAGGAATTGTGTGATTATTTGATTTTTATAAGAAATTTGAGTTCAGATTTTATTCTTCATTATATTTTAATAGAAAATTAAATCGAGTACCTTCATCTTTTGTTGATTCTACAGAAAGATAATTCTAATTTTTGGGAGCCATTAACTTAATAATTTATTTACTAACAGACAATCCCAAACCAATACCAACTGAATGTTTAGATACTTTTTCATCTTCATCAGTTAAATGTAACTACTCTAATTAAAAGGAATACCTTTTTTCTTAAAATGCTTAACTCATTCTCTGTCATACCTATCCCAGTGTCATTGACTTAAACTTCAAGTAAATTATTATCCTATAAATTAGCTGAATTTACATCTATTCCTTCCATTGATTCAATATATTCCTACTTTTAAACTATTATACTGATTCCTCCTTTGAAAGTGAAACGTATTGAATTTCCTATTAAATTTAAAAGCACTTAACACAATCGTTATCTATCTCCACTTATAATATAAGAGGTTTCAGGTAATTCAACATTAATTAATAAAGATTTTCTTTCAATTTAATTTTTAAATAAATCCACACATTCTAAAATAACTGTATTGATATCAAATTTATCTGATTTTAATTAAAAACTATCTTCTAAAATGTCTCTATAATCAAAGAAATCATATATCTTATATAATTATAATTTTGTGTAACTCAATGCTTGTTCTAATTAAATATGACAAGATTCTTATGTTAATAATTTATCCTAACTTTATTTGATATATCCAAAGACTGCATTAAGATTTGTTAGTAATTCATGAGATATGGATCTTAAAAGATTCTTTTTAATTGATTCTAATTTTTTTAGTTTTGCTCTTAATAAGATTTAATTTACTTCATGAATGAAATATATTTACAATTCATCATCATTATCAAAGATTCTACAATTTTCTAATACATTAATTAAGAATTTCATTTTATGAACATATACTGGTTTTGTTTTATTTACTAAATTAACTTCTCCATCTAATAAAGATTATTTATGACCAGAACTTCTATATTCTTTACTATTCAATAATTAATCAGCAGATACTTTTCGACTTGGAGTCATATAATTATTTTACTTAGATATTTTATTTGGAACATTAGATTTTTTACGTGGACTTTTCTTACCTGCTGATGATAATAAATGAAATTGTGGAGGATTATTAACTTCAATTTTCATTGTAACATCAGAAGTAAATGTTTTTTTTATTATGGATTCATCCTCAGGATTTTTAAAGGATTGGAAAAATCTTTAAAATTGAACATGATTTTTAGGACGATCTGTTGGAATTTCAAAAGAAAAAGCTTTAGAATATTATATTGAATTCTTATCTTTACTATAATTTACATTCTTAATTTTGTATTGATCATCAAAATATAAATCATCATCATCAAAATCAAATTAAACAAATTTTTAATTATTATTATTTAATTCATCTAATTATAAATTTTATAAAAATGTTAATTAATTTTTTGTAGAGTTGTTAGTACCTGTTTTTTCTGGAGATTAATCAGTTTCAGATTGATTTGTACTCTCTAATTTATATGCTAAATTATCAAATACTTTATTGGAATAGAGTAACCAATTTTTATCTTTATGTGCTATACACATAGCTTAAGGTGTAGAATCTATTATTAAAAATAATGCTTATAAATTGAGAAAATGTTGCATTTATTATAGTTCTTTTCTTATAATTTACATAAATAACAAAGTAATGGTAAAATATAGTCCTTCAAAAGAAGATAGATCTAAAAGTAATATAGTTTAAATTAAAAAGATTATAATAGCAAATACTTTCCATAATATTGTTGAATACATGCTTTGGAAGATGATACAAATGGTTGTGTAAAACATTATGTAGCTTTCATCTAATAGAAAGTAACAAAGTACACAAAAACATTCCTGTTATATTAAAGGAACAAGCTATAAAAAATAGGATTCTTTATATAAGATTTTTGGAAGACATAAAAATAGGATTAAATGAACCAAAATCTGAATTCCAAAAATGATCCATAATAGTTAATTATTAGCAACGATCAATAATTTAATGGTGATAAATATTATCTACATTATAATTAATGGTCTGAATGAAAGATCTGCCCACTAAGTGTAGTTGTGCCATTTCCAAGATTAATATTATTAGTTTTTGAAGGTCTTCAGATATTTAAGAATGGCCTTATAAAGACTTTGACATTTGAGCATTGTTTTATTAAATAAAATATATATAATAGTTTATATATATATTGATTAGATGTAATAATATTTTTAAATTAATTTAATCTCTAACTTGTTTTTTATTCAATACTCAACCTTATAACAACAATGAAAGAAGAAGAAAACTAAATTATTAAATAAGTAAAATATATATCATAATCTTTTTTAGGAAGAACAATAATTATCTATTCAACACTATCTGATACCATTAAACTACACTTCTATACCTAATGAAATAGGACAATATTAATTATCATTGTAAGTCTTATCAGAAGAGAATTATCATCTACGTAAATTACTCAATTAATAACGTCAAATGATGTGTTTAACAAAAGAATAATTATATGAGGAAGTCTATAAAATGATTGATTTCCTCATGAAAAATTTCAACTATATATCTAAAGAATAGATCTTTGCATATTAAAAAACTTTTCGTTTTTGGACCTAAAAAAAGGAACTTAAATCTATTTTCTTTTAGATTTTCACTAGATACTTATAAGTATACAAGTAGCATCATTTATATTTAGGCTATAAAGACTAGGGAAGAAATGATAAAATTTATTATTCGTAAAAGTATAAAGTACCAAAAATAAAGTCAGAATAAGGAATAAATAAAGGAGAAAAAAGAAATCAAGAAAATGAATAATGCATTCGTCAAGCAATTATTCTAAAATACTTTATATTAATAAAATTACTAAAATTTTCTAAGTATTAATATTACATCCGATTTAATTAGATTAATATCTCTAATTGGCATTGAATGAGAATTAATAGAAGATTAAAAAATACGTAATTTATATTATAGAAATGATATTATCCAATCAACTTAATGTAATAATAAATATATTATTTTAGTAAATCTTAAATTACAAAAGATTTCCTTGGCTTAATGATTGGATTAATTAATCAGTTTAAATAGCATAAGAATTAGAAAATCTTTAAAATTAAGAACCTAAAAAAAGAAAGATTTGATTACTAACCTACCAAATGATAAAATTATAATTTTGTATTAGTTTAAAAATGGTTTAAAAAAATAATCATTTAATAAGTTGAATGCAAACAGGACTATCATATTGACACTAGATTTAAGCAAGTTGATAGAACATAGCAGCAACTGTCCATGATGGTGAAATATTCTCTATTTTATCAGGACTATAAATTAATTAATCCTTGTTTATTCCATAACCATAAGATAATAATTCATCAACATAGATACTTGAGAAGAAATCTGTTGTAATATATGGATTGTTAATATATTCTGGTATTTATTCTATATCTGACCATACTAAAGATGTGAAACTAAACACCTTATTGGAATATTGAGTTAAAGTGTAATTTTCAAAACCAAACAAACTCACCATACTCTAAACTCCACTAATTGCATAAATAATATTTCCATCAATTTTAGGTTGATATTGACCATTGATACCACAATTAGAATGTTAACAATTCTATGGATCATTATTAAGATATTGCCTAATAAGTTTCTTACATTCTGTATAATTCCCTTATCCAATAACTCTAAATCTTGCATCATACTCATATACATTCTCATACCCATTAAAATAACATGGAGTAGTAATAGTAAATGTATCATTGTCTTAAAACTATTTATGCACTTATATTAATGCTTGATCCATTCCATAAAGTAAATAACTACTACTAAATATTTCATATTCATTCAAATTAGGTATAATAAGATCCATAACTCCATCTTCAATTAATCCTTTAGGTTTGAAAGATATCTATGTAGAAGCTCCACCTAAATCAATAGTTGTTGCTTATTCTTAATCTGACATTTTTTATAGTAAGTAATTAAGTGACAACCACATATAAGCACCCTATATTTAATAGAATTTTATATACTTCTTCTTATCCACTTATCACTCTAGCCCATTATTCACTTAAGAAAAGTAATCCAGATTTAGAGAAGATTCGTTGAACTTCTTTGATAATATCAGTTTATTGTTGGATAGTCAACAGTCTCATTCCAGCAGTAGCACCTAACATTATTGGAGTATAGGCCATCATGGATTTGGGAATGTTAGTAATTGCAAAATCAATTAATGGTTAGAGATAATTAGGAATTTCATTTAGTTTAGAAGCAAAGGATGCTAGTCCTGGCTTTACTTTCTTTTCAATTGATTTTTCAGTTAGTGTAACATAGGGCATAGTTTAAGTCTCTCTACAATTCCATGAATAGACATAAACTCTAGTACCAGAACTGCCAGCATCAAACATTACTCCATTACATATTGATGCTTAAATGTTCCATAGATTAGGTATTGTTCCTTTAGCTTTGAATCTTAAATTATTAGCTATAACAACTCCTAGCAACAATAATATTTATATCATAATAAATAATGGATCAAAAAGAAGATGAGTAATTCATGTAATTACCTAGACTTAAAAGTGATGACATGTAATTATAATTTCAACATCTAAATAATATAAACGATGATTAGGAATCCTATTTAGTTTAATCCACTATCTAATTTAGTCAGAATCCTCGTGTTTTTTAGAGTGTAGTCACTGGTCAATATCAAAATTAAGATGAAGATTCTCTTGATTATTCACAATTTATGACTAAATCCTATACACAACAATCAGATTAAAAATAATAATAACTAGAGGATTATCTTCTCTTATAGAAAATTACTAATTCTACTTATGAACAAAATCAACAACCTTATGAAATTGAATTTGTTAAACAAATTAATGGAGCATTAGTATAATTTTGTATTTCTTCTCCTGCAACTAGAAAATTATTTGCAAATTAAGAAAAAGTAAAATCAAGAAATACACTTACATTGAATGCAAATAAAATTTGGTTAGAAAATCAATCAGAATGTTTTCATTGTATGTTTGACACAAAAACATTAAGAATCTTAATTTAATGTGAATCTACAAAAATACCTAGAGTAGAATTATTGAGTTAATTTCATTGTAATGATTTGTCTGAATTTGTTCGTATATTCTGTAAATTACCAGAAGTTAGAGATGCTATGTTAAGTTCATATAGTTTAAAAGAAACATCNCACTTAAGAAAAGTAATCCAGATTTAGAGAAGATTCGTTGAACTTCTTTGATAATATCAGTTTATTGTTGGATAGTCAACAGTCTCATTCCAGCAGTAGCACCTAACATTATTGGAGTATAGGCCATCATGGATTTGGGAATGTTAGTAATTGCAAAATCAATTAATGGTTAGAGATAATTAGGAATTTCATTTAGTTTAGAAGCAAAGGATGCTAGTCCTGGCTTTACTTTCTTTTCAATTGATTTTTCAGTTAGTGTAACATAGGGCATAGTTTAAGTCTCTCTACAATTCCATGAATAGACATAAACTCTAGTACCAGAACTGCCAGCATCAAACATTACTCCATTACATATTGATGCTTAAATGTTCCATAGATTAGGTATTGTTCCTTTAGCTTTGAATCTTAAATTATTAGCTATAACAACTCCTAGCAACAATAATATTTATATCATAATAAATAATGGATCAAAAAGAAGATGAGTAATTCATGTAATTACCTAGACTTAAAAGTGATGACATGTAATTATAATTTCAACATCTAAATAATATAAACGATGATTAGGAATCCTATTTAGTTTAATCCACTATCTAATTTAGTCAGAATCCTCGTGTTTTTTAGAGTGTAGTCACTGGTCAATATCAAAATTAAGATGAAGATTCTCTTGATTATTCACAATTTATGACTAAATCCTATACACAACAATCAGATTAAAAATAATAATAACTAGAGGATTATCTTCTCTTATAGAAAATTACTAATTCTACTTATGAACAAAATCAACAACCTTATGAAATTGAATTTGTTAAACAAATTAATGGAGCATTAGTATAATTTTGTATTTCTTCTCCTGCAACTAGAAAATTATTTGCAAATTAAGAAAAAGTAAAATCAAGAAATACACTTACATTGAATGCAAATAAAATTTGGTTAGAAAATCAATCAGAATGTTTTCATTGTATGTTTGACACAAAAACATTAAGAATCTTAATTTAATGTGAATCTACAAAAATACCTAGAGTAGAATTATTGAGTTAATTTCATTGTAATGATTTGTCTGAATTTGTTCGTATATTCTGTAAATTACCAGAAGTTAGAGATGCTATGTTAAGTTCATATAGTTTAAAAGAAACATCTTAACCAGATAAATATGGTATTAACACTGGATATTCAGAAGTGGTTACTGCATTAACTGAATATATGAAATCTATTGAAATCAATGGTCTTTCAAATACATCACTTATTGATGATATGGTAGAAAGATATCTCACTAGATTAATATATGAAAAATTATATCCCAAAGAACCAACAGCTAGAGATATAGAATTAAATATAAGACTCAAAACTTTAGAATGGATTACAGATGAACATTTAAGTATAAAAATTAAATCAAAAATTGATTAATAATTTGAATGTGCTGCTTAAAGTAATATAAATATAATTTAAATTTAGTTATTAATCAAATTGAAATAAAAAAGAACTCTGTTGATAAATTAGATTGTATTTTAAAAGCTACTTAACTTATTACAGATACTATATCTTAAGTTAATTAAGAAGCAGCTTCTGCAGATACTGTATTTCCAGCCTTTATAAGAGTATTAATTCTAGCATAGTCTACAAGATTATAAAGCAATATCAAGTAATTTATAATGATATTCAGTTTCATAGAACTTTTTATCAATAAATCAAGAATGATGAGTCATGCTGGATATTGTTTCACACAATTAAAGTCAGCCATTGTATGGATTGAAAATGTAAATTATGAATAATTGAAAATGGATCCCAATTAATTCAATAGACTGTAATAAGAAAAAAATGTTAAGTATGGAATGTGCAAACGAAGAGATAGAAAGAAAAGAATTCTTTTATTTTGATTATATTATTAAAATTAAAAATGGGAAGTATTTGTAAATAATAAGCTCAACAATAAATTGAAATTCAAAATGAAGTCAGACTTTCTAAAGGCTCTGAGAAAAAAGATTTAATTAAACGAAATACTGAAACTTCAGGAGGAACTTTATAGTATAATTAAAACAGCACTAAATAATTCTCTGTTAAAAAAGACCCTTTAGCTAGTTATATGAATGAAAGTTTAAGTGATTCTGATTCAGATTCTTAACAAAGCAAACCAAATCAATAAGTTTTCACCAATTTCGTTACTTTTTAAGCTCTCCCTTCCTAAAAATAAATGATACCCAAATTTGAAGTGCTTAAAGATTAGTTCAAAAATGAAATGCTATAATAAATGAATTTGCAATAACAGAGAAAACAATTTTGAATGATTTATAATCATATCTTACTTAATATAATTCATATAATTAATAAATTTATATTCATTTATATTTAATAATAATATTGTATTAATTCAGAAAATAGTTCTTAAAATTATAAAATAAATAATTATCTATATACTCACAAAAATTCAACATATCCTTATGTATGAATAGGAATAGAAGATTAATTCAAGTGAGAAATCCATCTCTTTGTTTCTACTTCACTTTCAACATAATAAGCATTCAACTATTTAGCAAAATACTTGGCTTACCCATGATTTATATTTGAATTTGCTATATTAAAAAAAACCAAATTTATATCTTCTCTTTAAGTATATTTTTAAATCTTCTCCAACAAATCTTCATTAATATTTGTAGAAAACTCAGAGAAAATACAAACATAACTTTGCATTATATCCGTAAATTCTTAATATTCTTATGATATTCGTGGAATTGTAATAGATTAATAAGATTGTTTTATATCATTACCATTTTATTTAGAATAAGTACTCAATTTATATTTTAATAAATTGTAAAGACATTCTTAAATTTTACATTCACCTCCTTTCAAAATTTAGAATCTCTCAAATTATTTCAATAAGAATTTCCTATATTTTATAGATTATGAAGCTGGAAGCATCTCATATAAAGAATCATTAAATATATATAAACCTACTTCTCTTAAATTTTTTAATTTTTATAATGTATAAGCACATATAGAATGTGATACTTATATTTATTCCAAAGAAACTTTAGATGAATAATCAATTAAAAAGAATATCTTAAATTTTCTTGAATTTATATCTTGATACAATTTTTATAATACACTCTAATTAAGATTCAATTATAAGAAAATGTTCTATAGAGTCTTATATGCAAATGAATTCAATCTATAAATATTCTAACTATTTCTTTTAATAATTTTTATGCATTTTTCACTTGCACATTAATATTATTTATGTTGCATTAATAAACATATTTTCAATTTTCTAATAGCATTTTATATGATTTCTTTTGATGTCAATTTAAATATATCAAATCCATTTAAAACTAATTTAGACTTCTCAGATATCACATATTGTGAATATAGTATTTTAATTGAATATAAGTCTGATTGAGCCTTATCTATCAAATTTAATTTTTTAAAGCAACAAAACTTCATAATTAATAACTATATTTTCATTCCTATAATTGATCTATTATCAGAATAGCTTTTATTTGAGATTTCCTCATATAATTCATTAAGTGAACAAATAGTTTCATTTAAAAAACTGGGCTATTCTTTAATGCAAAATTTATATAACATCCTACAAAATGTATACTTCCTAAATAATATGGTTAATTTGTAAAATCTCTTTTCTTCCTTATATTTATCTTATTACATATCTAATTGTTCTTGATAAATAATCTTTTCCAAAGAGTTTTCATACTTTTTCTAATTAGTTAAAGCCAATCTATCAGTTATTTAAATTTATTGAATTTCTGATTATTTATATGAATTTTATAACATAATTGATTAATATCTATTTCTATTCATGTGTTCAGATTGCAATATATAAGTACTTCCTGCTAATTTATTAATGACAAATCGTGTTAATTTCTTTTTTAATTACATTAATATAGATTTCTAACTATTTAGTAATTATTTTCTTATTTTTTCAATTTATTTTATACTTGTATATTCTTCAAATCCAAATATTACAGATTTTACTTGAAATCTGAGTGCTTCAGTATATCTCTTGTTCTTGAAATGTACTTATGCAATGTTATTAGCACAAACACTAACTTACCAATTATTTTTATGATATTTATACAACTCATTAAGCTAAGATAAAGTCATTAAATAATGTGACCCTTAATCTTGATCAGAATAGAAATGTTATTATTTTAGAAGCTAATAATAATACAGATAAATTTGTAGACTTTCTTAAAGACGATTAATTTCTTTACAATTTTATTCATTTTACTTAAGTGGCATTGAATTAAAAGGATATTTTAAGGGATTTTATAATTATATTGCCAATTTTTAAAGAGGAAGACAAAAAGAATTGGCAACCTTTATAGATATTGTCCATACATACAATAAAAAGGTTAAACTCACAATAGATTGAGCAATAATTAATGAGACATTATGATTTGTTTCATTTTCAGAAGAACCTGCTAATTATTTGAATTTTACAGTATCAAAAATCTTTATTGCTAATAATTTTGATATGTGTTATTTTGAACATTTAATGTATTATTTTTAAATTGAATAGAACCAACCATATATGAAATACTTTTGCTAATAATACTATATTAAGGTATCTTTGATTAAACAGTTATAATTATCAAAATCTTATTTAATTATTAATTCATCTATAAATTTTCCATAATAATCTTCTAATTTATTTATTTCAATAGGCTAGAATTCATTATTAATGAATTAATAAAATTATTCATTAATCATGAAATAGTTTAATTGATTATACAATATTTCATAATTGCTATATGCTTAATTAATCAACTTTACAATAGATTAAAATGTTTATATATTACAATGATTATTATTATTGTAGTTTAAAATAAATCGAAAGTTATGCTAATATAAATCAATGAAAACCTAATTAGTTGAATTCCATAATTCATATTGACTATCTATTTGCTACATTGAGTATTCATATGAATCTTTGCATATAATTTTAAAGTTTTCAATAGTGCCTCTTTTTATTAAGGGATGTAAGAACCCATTAATCTAGTCCAATTTATTACTGAACTCTAATTATTAATTAGACATCATTAAATCTTATAGAATAAAGGCAACATTAGCTTTGATACCTAAATTTATCATTTCAAGTTAATGACTGAATCTAAGAGTAGTTTAAGTTGTTTCATTATAGATTGCAAATGATAATTGGTTAGCTTAATCAGAGAAGTTTGTGATAAATATTACATTTAAAGTTATTATTTGCAGTAAAGCAATAAAACCAACAGGTACAAATAATATTAAAATGCTCAATTTCAGTTTAACCTAAAAATCCATATTTAATAATAATGTTTCTTTGAATAATTATTAGTTTATAGTTTACATATTAAAGTAATATTGTCTTTCATAATATTCATCTCAAATCATAAACAAAAATTCAATGTTAATTTTATTAGTTATTATCAGTCTATAATTTTTTATAACTTAACTCTACTAAAATAGATAGATTCTATATTATTAAGCATATAAAGATATATTATTATTATAACATATATTTATAATATATCATAAAACTTAAATTAAAACCAATTTAATGGATAATAATAATCTAGATCTATATTAAAAGATTATATAATTTTATTTATAGATTTGATTAGTTGATATCAATTATTATTTTTAATATATTTCATATGAATTTTTTTATGGAAACTATGTAATTCAACAGAGACCTCAACTTAAATGTAATCAAAAATTCTATGACGAGCACCTTAGATAATAATATTCATTCTATCTATAATTTGAGCTTCAATAGTTCCTTCCAATCCATATCTAGGAATCATTACAGTTACTTTGTCTGTCAAAATTCCTGTAATTATAGCTTAATCAAACTATTATGATCTATTTTTAAAGAATAAATAAGTATGATAATCAGATGAGGCTCTACTAGCAAATCTTGCCATTCTATGTCTCATATTTAATTTATCACAAATTCTTGTCATTCTAATTTTATTTGACATAGATGGTGGAAGAGATTCTAAATCAATAGATGCAGCCAATAATCTATGAACAAGTACATCAGCATATCTTCTAATTGGAGATGTAAAATGAGTATAGAGTTCTGCAGCTAAACCATAATGATAAAGTTCTGGATAATCAACATCTGCAGTACAAACATATAAAGCCTATGAAAAATAAATTATTCAAATTACTTCATTCATACATCTAGTAGTAATCATACGAATAAGTTTGTTAAAGAATGAATCATTTGGTCTTTGAATTTAGTCTAGAGAATCACTAAGTAATTTAGAAGTATCGAATGAAAATTGATATCCTAAATATTGTTATATTAAATAATTAACCTAAATCATTCATTAATATTTGAAGTTCTTTTAATTATTTCATCTTAGGTTCTTAATGTCTACGAAGAACTGAAATAGATGGAAATCTTTATAAAATTTAACTAGCAACAGAACAATTAGCTAAAAGCATGAATTCTTCAACAAGTGAATTAGTGTCATATAATTAATACATTCTAACATCACTAGGATTATGAGTTTCATCATCAAATGAAAACTTAACTTAATTACTAGCTAATGATAATGCTCCTTAATCTAATCTAAGTTATTTCAATTTCTTAGCTAACATATTCAAAAGTCTTATGCTCTAGGTTAATTGACTATTATCATTTGGATTATCAATCATTTCCTAAGCTTATTAATAATGTAATGAAGCAATAGATCTTATAACACTCTTACCAAATTTAACATCTTTTATATTTGCTTATTCATCCATTATCCAAATAACTGAGAATGCCAATCTATCAACATTACTAACTAATGAACATAAATTTTCAGTCAATAATTTTGGCAACATGTCTGTTCTTCTATCTACTAAATATACAGTTGTGCATCTATGAGCAGCTTCTTTATCAATTGCAGTATCTGGTCTTACAAAATGAGAAACATCTGCAATATGTACACCTACTTCATATAAATTATTCTCTAATCTTCTACAATGTAATGTATCATCAATATCTTTACATCCAACTGGATCTATTGAACATACTAAAATATCTCTTAAATCAATTCTTCTCTTAATCTCCTATTCAGATATTTTATATTTATCCTATTATTATTATTAATCAATTCATACCCCTTCAATTGGTAAACATGCTAATACTTAATGTGAGAATTCCCTTATTTCTACTTGATGTTCTAATAAAATTACATTTCCTTCAATAAACATATCTCCTGCCTTACCCAATACTTTTTTTAATTTACATAATGGTTTATCACTCCATATTGGCCAATCTACAAATTAAACTTAAATTTTCTTATCCTAAAGAGTATCATATTTTGAATATTTAAGAATAAAATTTGGATATCTACCATCAGCAGGTACAAATATATTATTTTCTACATGACCACAAAAATGTCTCTCTGTTCTTTACAATACACATACAACCTTTCCATATGGAATTAGATTTTATGTCTATACTTTCCTAAATAAACTTTACAAATGGTTTTTGGACATTATCTCATGATTAGTTTCATTCGTATTAGTATTATTATTATCATCTTCATCCTCTTCATCAAATGTTATTTATATTTACTTTTATTATAATTCCCATTGTTCTTCAGGTAATAACTCAACAGCTACTCTATCTCCATGTAATACTCTGTTCTATTAATTTATCTTTATTTCTAATTGAAATTGCTTAACAAATATTCTAGCCTATTTAATATTATTTCTATCTATAGATATTCTCCCTTCAAATAATAATCCTTATTTTATTTACTAAACACATTCTTCAACTGGAATATATTAAAATTAATTGTTAATAGCCTCTTAGTTCTATTCAAACTCTTCATCCATTCCTAAAAAATCAAGTAAATCATTGTTCTCATATAATTTTACATAATCTTATATAGTAAAACATTTAATATTCAAATTCTTGCTTTATTGATGCATTTAATAATTTTAAGTCAACAAACAAAAATCTAGTTCTACTTTTAAAAATTATCTATGTTAATTATACCATTAAGCCAATAATATTAATGGATTACCATTTTAAGTGTGAACTGAAAATTCATCATAATAAACATAAATTTTCTTTGAGAAATTGGATTCAATCAGATTAATTACTTATTATGCATACTATGATTACTATTATCTTTTTCTGAAATAAGCTACTTACGATTGTAATACTACAATATTGTTAATATTAGATTATTCAATCAAATCTATATATTATTCCAATATCTCATTATCTAACATATATATAGGATTCTCTAATTGGATTTCTGATTCTTGATTACAAAATGCACATCCTCTAATCTGACATGGTATATCACTCGATAAATATACTTCCTTAGCCTAAATCATAACCTATAATCTCTTATTTAATCGTGGTTATGAATTTAGTTATACTTTCATTAATATAATTAATACATGTATTACCTATTATTCTTAATCCCAATTGCCTTCTCAAGTATTAGTCCAGCTGATTATATCTCATAATCTGATCGTCCCAAGATTGCCGCTCATCGTGGACTTTGCTCTATTTTTCCAGGTACTAATTATCTTACAATTTGATAGAAAATACAGCATAATCATTTGAGGGTGCAATGTTTTAAGGAACAGATTTCATTGAATTGGATGTAGTACTCAATAAGGAATTACAGTGTATAAATTAAGAAACTCATCCATTTTATAGTGATAGTAGCACATGATACATTTATGACTGCTGTTTCCAATATTAAATCTATGCCAGAATTTGCATCAAGATAAAGAAAAAGAACAATTAATAGTGTTGTTAGAGATGATTGGTGGTTGATTGATTTTTCAATTGATGAACTGAAACGGGTTGGAATAAATTAAGTAAGAGGTTCCACAAGACCTAAAATATTTGATGGTCTTTTTACATATCCAACTTTATGGGAGGTATTGACATAAGTTAAAGATTTCAACAATCGTACTGCTAATCAAAGAAATCCTAATAAAAAACCAGTAGGTATACTATTAGAAATTAAAGATTATGAAGTATATATATATTATAATATGACGTAGTATCATTTAGAATATGCAGGAGTATCAATTGTTTAATTAGTAATTAATGAATTATCAAAATTTGGTATTGGGACCATAAAAGATTGTAAGAATGTAGTTCCAATTGTTATAATGAGTTTTGATATGAATGCTATAAAGGCAACAAGAGAATTGACAGATCTTCCAAGAGTGTTTTTAATAAGTGGATTACAGAATCAACCATCTGAATTTTATGCTGAAGCTACAAAGTATGCAAACATTATTGGAGCTGATTTAGCATCAGTTTGGAATTCAAAGACATAAACAATTTAACCAGAAGTTAAACTTATCAAAGATAATTAAATGATGGTTTATGCTTGGACATTTTAAGATGATGCTAGTGGAACTTAAAAGATGTTCAATGCAACAATTGCTAAAGACATATACTATTAAGCAGTGAAAATGAATATTCACGGCCTTATTACAGAATTTTCAGATGTAGCAATTTAGTATGTCTAATTATATTAAAATTAATGAACAATTATCAAGATGAGGAAAGTGGTTTCAAGATTCAAGAGAAAATTTATACTTGGGGTCGTTTTCTATTATTCTTCTTAACTGGCCTTATTCTATTGATAGTTTCGTTTCCTTTTTCAGGATTTTTACTTGTCAACCCCTATCCGTTTGTGCTATTATTCTCATTAGGATCATTACTTATTTTAATAGCCATAATATAGGTTACTGAATACAAGACCATCTTTAGTTAAGCTGGAACTGTGATATACTTCATTGCTTTATTAAGTGGTCTATATACAGGAGTATTTAAGATTGGATATTTGACAACATTAGGAATAATGATTGTATAAATATTAGCACTCTTATATTTAATGGCTGCACTTTTACCAGGAGGATAAGCAGGATTGAAAAATTACATACTCTCAAAAATCAAAACATGATTATACATAAAAATTGGGGTTATTATATTGAGTAATAAGATAAAATCAATTCTCATCATCATCATCCGTTTTTATTCTTTTAAAACAATTCTCCCCAAAAATGATTCCTTTTGGTTTTGTTTCTCTCACTTTCACTTCATCTTCATCCTCATCATTATCATTTCTTTTTCTTACAATTTTACTAAAATCTAATCTAATTTCTTCTCTTATCACTTAAACAGTCTATTATTAAGGTGCTTATTCTTCTGAATCATCATTTTCATAATACTTTAAATCTTCCATTTACATTCTTATTTTTGATCCATCCTCTAATTGTACATATGAATATTGTTATACCAACTTTTAATATAGAGGATGATCTTATAGATTCAAATTCTTTACTTAAATAACCTAAATTATAAATTAATATTTATACTATATAATGACTAAGTGTTGTATTAGTTTTAATATATTTTATAATGTCTCTTATTTAACCTTCTAATATTCCATTTATTCTTCCACTTGATGATATTTGAATAAATGATTCACAATAAGGTTTAACAATTTAAGAATAATTTGATGTACACAAATATTTAAAATGTTTTAAAGCTGGCATTATCATAAATTTATCCTTTATTACTAATTTTTATTGTTAATTCAAAATATTTAAAATATGATTTGAAAGTACTATCAATTCTTATGTAAATGTTTTTTATTATTAACAAATGAGTTAAACAATCTCTTATAAAGATGCAGCTGCTGATGCATTTAATTTCTAATTAAAACATTTCATTAACCAATCTATTCCTTAACTAAGTATTGCTTAATTTAAACATATATATTGTATAATATCTATGATCATACTATGTAGAGTTGTCATATTACTAAAAAGTAAGGCTTCCATACTTTACCAAAATAGTTACTGATTTTATTTCAAGAATTCTTAAAAATATTGTGAATTTGAATTTCCAATCATTATTGTCAATTATAATGTTGTAAAACATAATTATTATTATTAATTTTCTAGAGTTTTTGAAAATAATGCTCTTAATAAATCTGTTTTACCTATGCAATTAACAAATGCTTCATTTAATGATTAAATCTATAAAAATTGTTTAAATGATAAAAAGAATTCATTTATAAACTTACAATTCAATTCCAAATTATCAAGAAAACTAATTAAATATTGTTCAAATTAAGATGAATGATTTAACAATAAACTTTCTAATATTGATTAATTGTTCTAATTAATATAGAAATTAAATTAATTGTAAATTGGATCTTCTAAATAGAGATAATATGCCATAACACTTTCTTTTAAGTATGATAATCTATAATTAAAGTGAATTTTCTCCATTATTTCATTGTCCAAATCTGTTATTTGATGAAATTTTAATTCTTAACTCAAGAAATTTCTATATGAGACTCTTTATGGCCCTTTGTTTTCAGAATGATCTAATTTATTAATATATTATATAATACATTCCATGATTCCAAATAATGTCATATAAAATTTGTCACTCAACAATTTCTTTAAGACATTTTCATTTTTTAAATATACTAAATTCATACATTAAATATAAATACTTAAATTCCTTATTACATAATGCAATTGTTCTAATGTATGTAAATGTTGCTATTACTCAGAATCTTAAAATATTTTTGCTAAGGCTTCCAGAAAAGTGTTGTGTGGATCAGTTGTTAGTTTCTATATTATTAATTCAGGATTATCACTGATCCACAGTTAAACTGCTTCCAAATTCTATTGAGATGGTATTATAGGATAAGTTGATTCTGGATCATCGTATCGAAAATGTCTTTTACTATTTTATAATTAATTCCAAAACTCTTATGAATACCTGCAATCAATAAAACTGATTGCTATTTCCAATTTCAACTCAATTTCCTCCCAAGAGATAATATTATCGCCTTGCTACTCATAAGTTATTTCTGGATTCACTTTTAAATTTATGCACCAATCTTCCTTGTTGATATTCAAATGTGAATATGTCACTATATTGTTACATTACTTCAATTATTTTTCCATTATCCCTCTTATAAAAGTAGCACCATCTGTATGCACAATTTAAACATACCCTACGCAAATCTCTTCCCATTGACGGTCACTATGTACGAACACTTTAGCTTTTGAAGAACTATTCATTTTTAATTTATTTTATGTAAAATTCCGCTCATAAATTCTGGGGGGGTATCCTTCTTATTAAACTGGAGAAATATTATAAACCAAATTCTTTAAATCTTATAATACTCATTCATCAAATAAAGTTGGTTCTTTGTATTAAATTTATTATAGTATTTCAAATATATACCTCCACTCATATTCATATTTAAAAATAAAATAATATCTCTATAGAAGACTTTACTCTTTAAAAATACTTTATTATAATACTTATTTATTTATATTCTTATTTTCATACACATAGAAGTGATACAATTATTAAATAGTATTTTTATAAATATAACTAGTAAAAAATTTTTAATATTTTTTATTTCATTTTAAATCATTTTAATTCAATTCAAAAATCATAAATTAGAACTAATCAATTATCTAGCTCAAATTAGAATATTATATATGAAAATCTTATAAATTAATATTTAATTCATATTTAAATAAATCTCATTGCCCTTCCTGTTCTTTTCTTAATTGTAGATAGAAAACCTCGATCCATATAATTCTAATTATATTTACGAATTTGTTAATCATAATTATTTTCATTAAAATATTAATTAAAGTCCTTCATTTTATCAAAAACAATTGTTTAATTCTAAATTGTGTCAGGTAGTTTAACAGTTGATTTTTTTATTTTATTAAATGTTTCATGAATAATACCAGTCTCAGGTAAAGATTATTTGGTTTTTGCATTTTGAGAATTTAATTTTCTTAAACTATTAGTATGTAACATTTCTTTTCCATAATCCATTTAATTTTATTATTGAATTTAAATTTCAGATGCCTTTAAAGTATTGTACATCAATGATGTAATTTGAGAATCAGCTCCTATTATTACATTTTCATCATCTAAAAATTCCTTTTAAGAATATTCCTATATATATTGTTGATAATACTCAAATTGTTTCTCTTAGATTTACTAAAAATAATAAAACGTAGTTAATACGGATAATAAAGAAAAGGTATTTTCTCTTTGTATTCTTCTCTGCTTAAATTCTCTCCTTTATTTGATATTCTATTATCTAATCACCATTTTAGAAATGTCTGGATTATAAAATAACAATTTGCATTAATGAACAAAATGATCATTTTAATGACATATGATACACTTTGAATATTTTACAGGAATATTGAATTCAAAAGAATGTTTGATTTAATGAAAGATTTCAAAGTCATCCTTATTCAAAATGTCTAAAAATTTAGACCGTGAAAGTTTAAATACTCTTGTATGTGTCTTACATTTATATGTAAATGCTGCTTAAGAATTAGTAAAGAATTCATATTCTCCAAAGGATTCTCCAGATGTGAATTCTGTTAATTAAGTTTTAGTTCTTTATTCATACAATTCTACAGTACCTTAATCAATAAAATATAGAGCATTTTCATTCTCTGTATTTTAATTAATTATAAAATCATCAGGTTCATAATTTAAAGTTTCAAGAAATGAAGTAGAATTTTAAAGAGTAGATTTAGAGAAATTTGTTTACAAAAGAGGACATTTTGATAGCATACTCTAATAGATTTCAGATATTATTTTAAATCTAAGATGATTAGATAATTAATCTAAAATTTTATAAACCTATATTAATTATTTTGGATATATACATTTTAATTAGATTTTTCTTCCTCTTTTAATTTATATTCTAAATAATTCTTAATTCTACTTTATAATTCATCTTTAATATTATGCTATCTAAAATATTTATTTAAAGTTCTAAAATTTCTCTCCAATTTATCTGATTCATGATTTAATATTGATATTATTTATCCTATTGTATTCAATGAATAAGCATACACTCCACAAGATAGAAACATTATTATTATACATAAAATCATTTCTAAATAATTTTATGGAGTGATATCACCATATCCAACTGTTACCATTGTAACTACAGACCAATAAAAAGAGTGAATATATTTTATAAAATTAGATTCTCCTCTAATCTATTTAGAATCTAACCAATTATGATTATCATCAATTGTATTTAATCCAATATAATACCAAATACAAGCTATAAAATGAGCCAATAAATTTATGAAAAAGAGTAGTTTCCACAATTTCAATAGTTCAGTTGTTTTAATACTTAAATCAAATGCATCCTCAAGTTTTTTTATTATTTTAAAAAGCATTCCAATACCATTAGCATAAAATATTATTACAAAAATTATTTATGATGTATGAATAATTAACATTAAAGAAACTAAAAATATAATATCTTCAAAAAATTATCTTGAGATATACATTTTAAAAATGATTACTCTATCATAGATTATCTAATTACTTATTAATTATTACTTATCCTCTTATTATTATAGCTAAATTGAATTGCAATGATATATCTATTAACAATATTATCATTATATAGAAATAGTTATTATTTTCTATCAATTATCCCATATCATCAAAACTCCAAATATATGTTATAATCAATAAAAGTAAAAATACAACTAAACATTTAAGAAATTAAAAAACTAAAGCAATTAAATTTGTAGGATCAAAGACATATTTGCTATGTATTTACTATTCTTTATTATATTCCGAATGAAGTATTTTTTCCTAATAAATATTCTGAAAAAATGAAAGTTTTTTTTTATTTTCTTTCAATTATTGTGTTTTCTTTTGTAATATTTTCAAAAATCGAAATACAGATCCCTTTGATGATCTCTACATACTAATATGATCTTTTTATTTTCTATTAATTGTTGGACTAGCTAAGACATCTATCTCATCAAAGGTTTGTTTTTATAGTTCTTCAAATTGGGAGAATTATAAATGTAAACCCAAAGGTCTTGAAAAGTCTTTAATTATTTTTTGATTCATATACCATCTTATATATTCTCTCCATTAAATAAAAGATTATTCTCTGCAGAACTAATTGCATTCATAATTATGATTATTAATATACTTTTTTACTGAATAAATATTTACTTAAGAAAAATTACTCAATAAGTTGATTAATAGACATTTTAGTTCAACATTTATTTTGAAATGATTAAGACATACATTAAATGTAAAATAATAATATATTTCTGAATTTAAATTTTTAATCACACCAAGAATTAAAATATGTAATTGAATCAACCTTGACCTTTTTTATATGAAATTATACGAAAAAAGAATAATGAGCTCTGATTATAAAATCATAATTCCTTAAGAAAATAAAATTAAATAAACTTATAAGTTTTAGGATATTTCTCTTCATTTCTTATAAATATCATATTTATTTTGATTTTTATAGCTTACATTTACAATTTGTACATTATTCATCTTTTATGTAATCTTTTATGAACAGTTCCTTAAAAATTAATGATCAAATAAATAATGTAATATAATACATGTAGGTTCAAATTTAATGTAAATTATTATTGGAGTATTAGATACCAAACCTTTTAAAAAAGATAAATAATAATATAATATGAATTTCAATAGATAATAGAAATTCAATTTAAAATTATAACTTAACTTAAATAAGTATGACAGTCTTAATAAGTCATACATGAATTATTTATGTAAAAATAGGTTTGAATTGTTGATAATTTTTGACTTAGATCATCGATTAAATAAAGTGAATGATATTTATTACTCATAAATCATGTGTTTAGAGATCATCTGCATAATCATCAATATCTTCAACATCATCTTCTTCTTCTTCTTCATCTTCTTTAATCTCAATTGGATTAGCTTCAGAATTAAATATTTATTCTTTGACTTTCTCATCATATGCTGCTTATCTTAATATTAAAGATTCTTCATCTAAAATTTATTTTGGTTTTTCCCATGCAGCATTTGGTGTCCTAACTAATCTAATACTTAAACTCATTTTTATATGTTTAAATAATTAACAGTTTTTCAGAAAAATATTAAAATATTTATCTATAATTATATATATAATTGCTTAGAAATTCATTATGTCTCCAAACTCAGTAGATGCTGACATATTAGAATTTCAAATAAAAACTATTTTTCATTATATATTGCAAGTGCAACTAGTTTTTGAAGTTTCATTTTTTTTTCTTATAATTGGAGTAGTCTCTAATCTTGAAGAGAGAATAGTTTCGTTCTTTTGAATGATTGATTTTATATTTGAAAACATTTTATCTCGTTCATGTTAAATATTTGGATCACTTTTATGTCTAAAATAGATGATAATAAGCAATACGATTGAATATAAAAATGAGATTTTTTGGTTGTTGTATGTATTTGCTATTGAGATTGATGTTATCTATGGTTCATCTTTTAATATATTAAAAAATACAATAATCAATTACAGTAACCCTAATAAATAAATACTGCATGATATTTATAATGATTTTTATCAGAAACCAAAATGATTCAAAGAGATAATAATAAATATAAAGAAAGATACAAGATAGACACATAACTATTTATGTTTTAAATTAATCAAACATTTATAATTCCTATAAGCTAGATGTTGAATTCTTAAAAATATAACAATGATAATTGAAAATGCTCTACTTAATTAATTCACTTTAAACATTTTTGAGAATGACAACAGAAAATGGTTTTAAATATATTTTTTAATTGTTTTTCTCTAATATCATAAGTTAACTGAATAATTATTTATATTAATAGTTAATTTAAATAGAATGTTACGTATTAAGATCTAGAGATTGTAATAATTTTATGAATTTTAATATATAGACATCCTATTCGAATATTAAGTTAAACTAATATATAGTAATTATGATTTAGAGATAAAACATTTTATTTTAAGTTTATTATTGAGTATCTTTATCTTTATTCATTATTTTTATCGACAAACCTATATTGTATAATTAGTTATTATTCAAAATTTCAATAGAAATTCAAATAATTTAGATAATATATTATACTAATGTCTTAATTGAAAAAACTTCAAAATGGAGAGTTTTAAATTATATATCCAATTACAGCAAAAACAGGATTATATAAGAAGGGTTTAGAATAATGGATATGCAAGCAAGTTGTTCCTCAAAAAAAGACATAAAAAGAATTGATTGATGAAATCGATTAAATGAAAATTCGATTATCAAAACCAGGCATATATATACCTGAAGGATATTGGGAAGATAAATAGGGTGTGAGTTTTGTTTATAAGAAATTTAAACATTCAATGGGTGATTTAATAAAATTGCATAGAAGATAGGGAAAATTCATTCCTATGAATTTGATGTAAAAATATGTAGATGAATTTACAAATTGGCTTGATAAAATACATAAATCTAAAAAAACAGAAGCTTAGCGATTTTTTCATTGTAGAATTAAACCTTCAAATTTATTTGAAGATGAAGATGGAGGTTGTGTGATTACAGACTTTTATTAATTTTCAAATGAGAATAACGAATATTATTTGCCTCCCGAATCAATAGCAACTATTAAAAAAAATTAAAGTTAAAGATTTGCATAAGGGACAGGATAGTAAGATTAATTTGGAGGAGATCCTCAGAAAATAGATGTTTGGTAATTGGGAATGGTATTTTTGCAAATGGCTTCACTTAAAGAAATAGAAGAATTAATAGTATTTAGAGATTTTTAGGCTCATGAATCAAAGAAGGGAATAGAAATTAGAGAAATAATAAGAAAAGCATATGGAAATCATTTCATTAATATAATAGAGAAAATGTTAGAAAAAAATTCTAATAATAGACCACTATTATCAGATCTTGAAGATTTAGTATAAGACTTTTTTTCTTAGAATGCTATTATTGCAGATGATACATTGATATCACCATAACCAGAACTCTTATTAGAAGAATTAAAGGAAAAGGCAAAATAATTTAAATAATAAACAGCAACATAATATTTATCTAAATATTAATTATAACCTGTTAGTCGTAGAATAAAAGCTGAAAATTTTTGGGAGGCATTATAGGATTTGAAAATTGAAGTTACTGCAAAAGAGAAATCTGCATTTTTATTATAGTTTGACAATTAAAAAAATGATGAGATTGATTTATCTTAATGGGTTTAAAGTTAAAAGGAAGTAATAAAATTAGGAGAATTGAATGATTATTAAGAAAAGGAATTATCAGAAATGATGAAAGAATTACATAAATATTTGGAAGAACAATAAATAAATTTATTAGAAAAATTCAAAGAGAATGATCTTGAATCAGTAGGTTATTTATAATTTGAAAAATTTGATTAAATATTAAAAGATAATTAAATAAATTTGGCTGTTGATGATATTCCAATAATTCAATAGAAATATGATCCAAAGAAAAAGAATGTAATATATTATGAATAATTTTGTGAAGATACAAAATCTATGAATTAATAATAGTTGGGATTTAATGATTTAAAAATTAAGATGTATAAAGGAATTAGAGATATTCATAATATTTTTATTTAATTCTTTAGACATTATGATACAAAATCAAGAGGTGAATTGAGTCATGATGAAATGCGTAAATTTTTAAATGATCTTAAATTACATCCTACTCCTGATATAGAAAAGTAATTATTATCAAATTTGGATCCTACAAATAAAAAAACAATTTCATTTGAAAATGTAAGAATATTCTTTGAAGAATTGATTAATGAAGATGTTAGATCTATTATATAGGAAATTGTTAATGGTTTAGCAAGTATATCAATGACATTACCATAATTAATAAGAAGTAATACAAAGAGTGCTAGTATTATAACTAAAAATTAATTATTTAATGCTTTTAAATAAGCAAATGATGGTCTTAAAAACTCAGATTTTACATTTCTAATGAGTATTTTTGGAGTAAAAGATGAAATAGAATATCCATAATTTATTAATGCAATGGTGTAAAAAGGTAAAGATTTGAAAATATCTAATTGGAAATAACTATAAGAAATAGAAATTAAAGAATAAAAATAAGAGAAAAAAAGTACATTTGATGATCCTGAAGAATCAATGCATAAATCTATAAAATTTAATGCAAAATAATTTGATTCTTAAAAATAATTATTATAGTTTATCTATAAATAATTATAAGAAAGAGAATAAACTCCTAGATAATATTTTAAAAGTACATTTTAAAGAATGACTATTACATAATATAAAGAGAAAATTAGATAATTAGAAATTTATAAAGGAGATTATGAAATAGAATAAGAAGAATTATTGAATAATCTTTTAGTTCCACATGATAAATCATTAGTGGATGTTGATTTATTAATAGAGGCAATCCTTTATTATAAAGATAAAAAAATAGAGTAATATAGATATAGTCAACATAAAGCTATTATGTTTATTGAATAACTAAATAAATAAATGAAAAAGAAGAGAATCACTTTTGCAGATATAGAAGATTTGGATACATTGGGAGATGGATATATGCGTAAAAAATAGTTTCAAGATTTTATCAATAAAAAATTATAATTAGATACAGGTGATAATTAATTCTAAGATTTTTTAACAAGTATTTAATAAGATTAATAAAATATATCTTTATAAAAGTTAAAATAAGGTTTAAAATTAGATGAAGCATCAAATAAATTATTATCTGATATCAATACAGAATTAGCATATGAATAAAGTAAGCCTGAATAAGTATTTAAGAAATATGATGCTAATAGAAATACTAAATTAGAATTAAGAGAATTTGCAGAATTTTTAGTATAATTAGTTGGAGATGTAGATTAAAAAATAGTAGAAACTTTATTTTAAAAATTGGATGCAAATGGAGATAACACAATTAATTTATATGAATTTAAATAAAAAATATCACAATAAGAAAATGATATATCAGAATAATAATAAACAAAGTATAAATATAAATAAACTGCTTAAACATTTACAAAATAATTAACTCCATAAATTATGAAGGCAGTATTTAAATTAAAAGATACTTTAAGAGAAAATAATGAAACTCTAGAAATATTTGATAAAAAAGGAAGAGGATAAATCTTATTAAATGCTTTTTAAGATATTATAGTTAACTTAGGTTTTGAATTTTAAGAATTTAAATAATTGGCTTAGTATCTTCTATCTCCAGAAGATAAGAAGTTTTTGTAATATGATAAATTAGCAGTCTTAATGAATGATTGTGAAGAAGCTGAATAATTATTAATAAATTTAAATTAAACTATTTAATCAGGTAAAGTGGCTACAGCATCTCTATTTTATAATTATGATTAAAATGGAAATGATGTTTTGGATAAATAAGAATTCTATAAATTGATAAGAGATATTGATCCTATGTCAAGGAATAAACCTGTTGATAATTTATTCTTACTACTTGATTCTAATTCAGATGGATCTATTAGTATAAGTGAATTCAAATCTAAAGTTTGTACTAAAGATAAACCTAAAGTTATGGCAACAATTAATAAATAATAATTAAGTATATTTGATGATGTAATGAAATTTGCTAAAGATTCCCCTGCATTATTAGGAGAATTTGAAATAAGAGATGAAAATTATACTAATAAATTAGATTTAGATACATTTATTATGGTGCTTAAGAAAAATAATGGTCCTAATATTTAATTACTTGAAATGAAAGCATTAGCTGATTAATTAGGTGCTTTACAAGGCAATAACATTAATTATAAAATATTTTGTTTAAAAGCCAAATAGTATTAAGTTGAAACTCCTTCCACTAAAATAGATGCCATAGCTACTAAATTAAGAGAGTAACTTAAAAATAAAAATACTAATATAATAGAATTATCTTAAGAATATGATATTAATTAAAAAGGGAAAGTAAAAGTCAAGGCTCTTAAGATGGGGATGTCTGACAAATCCATATTATTAAATGATAATGAATGGGAATTATTACTTACTATAATAGAATAGGATGCTTAAGATTATATTGATTATTATTCCTTTAATGATTTCATTAATTTAGGATTAGCCAAATATAAAGAGAGTAGAAAAGTCTTAGTGCTCAATACAAATTAAGAAATTGATAGAATTGTTAAAAGTTTCACTTAATATTTAGAGAAAGAAGTGTGTACTCTTCTGGCAATGTATAGATAAACTGACAAAGATTAAAACAACTTTATATCATTTGAGGAATTCACTGCCTTACTCTTAAAAACTATTGGTTATAGTACAACTGTAGATAATTAGAAATAATTATTTGATATTTTTGATATGGATAAAGATGGTAAAATTAATTTTACAGAATTTGAATATTAAATATATAAAAGAAATGAAATTACTGCTAAATAAATTCAAGAAATGAAATTAGTGATGTTAAATGGAAGAAATCCATAGATGGATCAATAATTATCTGATTTATTTCTAATCATTTCATAAGGATCTTAATTTATTGAATTCAAACAATTTGCAAATTATATTAATTATTTTTAAAAATATTCAATGCTTGAATTAGATTAGTTTTTTAGATATTTTGATTAAGAATATTCAGAAAAACTAGATTAATTTAGATTTATTTTAGCTTTTAAATAGTAATAAAGACAATCATCTATTCAACCATTAACCTAACAATAATCAATTTAAATACCTTAATAATAACCATATCCATAAAATGTATAACCTCCATATTAATAATAATAAACTGGTTAATAAATGCAATTTGGATAATAACCTTAATTTCCTGGACAGTAACCTTTAGTAAATGGTTAATAACCATAATATAATGGATAATAACCATAATTTAATGGATAATAACCATAATATAATAATTAATAACCATAATATAATAATTAATTACCATAATATAATAATTAATTACCTTAATATAATAATTAATAACCATAATATAATAATTAATTACCATAATAATAATATAATCCTTAATATAATTAATAAGAAGTAGGTACTTCTTTTAATGCATCGATTCCAAATAGTTCTATTGCCTATCCTCCTTAAAATACAATGTATAATAAACAATTTCCATAAGAATTTGATAAAAAATAAGAATGGGTTTAGAATGCTAAATTTGAGTAAAGTTGGGTATCATAAGGATAAGATTAATATTCTTAAAAATATGATCCAAATTAAGCCAAAGCTACTAAACCTCAACCATAATAATCATAAATTCCAATTGAATTTGATCTTAATTTCTATGATTAAGAAATACAAAAAAAATGTATATAAAAAAACATTGATTTATTTGATTTGTTGTGTTAATATGATGAAACATCACTTCCAGATTTAAAAATTTCAAAGCCTGATCAATTAGAATTAGCTTTCTAATTTTTAGAAATATTGGCACCTACACCGCATGTCTAATAATATTACTACTATTATTCATAAGGTTAAAATTAAATGGGGATTGTTTTACCATATTTGAAAATGAATAATCCTGGTAAACTTTTAGCTAAAGCATTAAACTTCACTATGATTAAACATAAATAATATACAAAACAATAACTGTGGAAATTAATTGGAGAAAATCAACCTGTTTGGTATCTTCCTTAATTAGATAAGATCAATAAAAATTTAAAAATTGGTTTGAATGAAAGAGAATTGAAGGAAGCATTTTAATATTGGGACACAGAATAAAAAGGTTAGATAACCTTTAAGATGTATGATGAAATTCTAACATTGAATTAGATTGTGATTCCACAAAAATAAGATGCTCAATCTAAAGATCCAGGTTTATAATCAACATTAGATACATTCCTATTACATATATCAGAAGTAGTATTGGCTAAAAATTGTTTTAATCTTTATGAACAACTTGATAAAAGAGGTTACAATTAAATATCTACTAATGATTTTTTGAATGTAAGTAAGAAATTAATAGGATCTATATCAGCTGAAGAAATTAAATCTATAAAATAATTATTATAATAAAATGGTTTTATAAATTTAAGTGATTTAGCTAAACAATTAAATGTTGATAGAACAAAAATTAATTAATATAATTAAGAAGATGAGAAATAATAATTTGGTTTAGCATAAAAAGATTCACGCAAATCTGTTTTGAATGCTTAAAATAAAGAGAAATTTAATAAAATGCTTCCAATAATTAATGAATTTTTGAAAAAACGTAATAAATCATATGATGACTTTGCACTCTATTTCTTCCCTCCAAATTCTAATAGTACAATTGATAGAGTTTAATTTACAAAAAAAGCATTAGATGCTTAATTTGGATTATCTGCTACATAATGTGAAGAACTTTATGATTATTTAGATGCTAATTCTAGTGGACATATCTCTATTAATGAATTTAGATTAGTATTTTAAACAAAATAAACAGAATAATAAGTTAAAAGATAGGCTGATAATATTGTTTAAAGTTAAGATATAGAATAAGAAATATTAGATTTATTTAATTAAATTGATGAGAACAAAAATTAATAATTAGATTAAAGGGAATTATTGAAGGCCTTATAATCAGTAGGTTTAAATCCTGGAACTGAAGAGTTATCATAATATTTTGCTTAATTTGATAGAGATAGAAGTGGAACTATTTCTTATTAAGAATTCTCACATATAGTTAAAGATATTTTAAAAAAAGAATTACTATAAGCAGATGATTTATTAGAAGATTTGAGAAGAGAATTCAGATAAGTTTGTAATCCCACTACACGTATGTTATCTAAAGAATAAGTAAGTTAAGTATTCTAAAATATGGGAGTACTTATTAAAAATGAAGAATTAACAGATTTATTTGTTGAAATAGATGAGGATAAATCTGGTTCTATTGATATAGATGAATTTATTTATTTCATTTAAAAAAACTAATCAGGAATGTCAGCTAAAGCTTCAGCAGCAGTAATGAATATAAAGGGTAGTAGAAGAATTTCATTACATGATTTGAAAGAGATTTTCTTATCATTACCTCAAAACTTTATTATGAGTTTTGTTAGAGGATAAAATAAAAAATTATAAAATCTGCCATCCTCATAACTAAAACCAGTTCTTGATAATTGTGGATTTTTTTATTAAGGATTAAATTATGTTGAAGCATCTAATTTTAATATTAAATAAAGCATTTTAGATAAAGTTAATATAAAAAATAATTTCTTAGCAGAAATTAGAATGATTGAAGCAACAGGAATACCTATTCCAGATGAAAAAGATGTTCCTAGAAGTTCATTTTTGAGAAGAGAAATAGGCATTATTTTAATTGATAAAGCAATTAATAAATATGAAGGTAATGCTATTTATATACCTGCTTCATGGAATCCTGAATATGAAGATAGATGGGTTTTTGATTAACCAGCAATGGAATAAGCAATCCTAATGAGATGGGGTAATTTTGATGAAAAAATGGATAATTTAAAAGAATTAGTTTTTGAATTCATTACTTATTCTGTTAATAAAGGAAGATTAATATAGATATCATGTGCATATGGTTCAATACCAGTCTATTAATTGAAACCAGGAAAACAAATACTTGAATTGAAAGGTGGTGCACCATTGAAAGATATAACTATAGATAAAAAAGATATCAGAACTAATAGAAATGGATGGAGATCTTTTGTAAAAGCACTTTCTTCTAATATTAAATCTTAATTAGTTTTAGAAGTTATGAAATTACCTCCTTAGATGGTATAAAAAATATCAGCACTACCAAATAAATGCATACTCAATAAATGGGCTTTAGGTATGGAATCAGCATTTCGAGAATACTTTGCTTATAGAACATAAATGAAAGGAGAAATTGAATTAAATTTAGCTAGTGATATCCGTATTAGAGCATGGTTACATTGTTTCGATTGTCCTGATGCTACAAGACCAATCGCTTAATTTTGGAATGAGTTTATTGAGTAAAATATCAATAATATTATTTAGGCCAAAAGTTGGTAATGATTACCAATTTTTATTAAAATCAGTATCTAAAATAGCTGATTCATTATATTTGATGTTTAAAAATACAGATTTTAAATTTTCAATTGGAGATCCAACAGCAAGAATAGATAATGATACTGTTTTACTTAAGCGAAGATAATAATTAGTTGCAGAGGCAATAGGTGATATGAAAATTAATCTTGGAATTGTTGTTCAATAATAGTAAGAAACTAACACTTATATTTTAGAAAAAAAGCATAGATTATTACAAGTTTAGAACCACTAAATGTAGAAGAAATGATGGATCTTGATAATGAATCCGATATTTAAGCATTAGAAAAATTTTTTAATAAAAAGAAATCAAAAAAATAACAATGACAATATATGATTATTACAATCTTTATATGTTTTTATTTATTTTTTAAATGGATAAAAATTTAAAGAAGATAAACAAAACATATATATATGTCTTTTTTGAATAAGTATTGAATTTATACATTATTTTGAAAAACAAATTAATTCAATTCATTCATAAAATATCTTTGAAGTTTTCAATTGTATCACTATATCTTAACAAGCAAATTAATAGAAATAATTTAACTATTTTATATAACAAATATTGAGTTTTTCATCAAATCTTAGAGAAAATCTAAGTGATTTCATTTATTATACAAGTATCACTATTTTATGCGGAAAACAAATAATATTGATTTTATTAACAAAATTTTGAAAAAATAACTTCATTTGATGTTAAAGTAAACTTAAGTATTATCTTTAAAGACTCTTTTTTAATTGAACATAATTTATTGCTGTTATTATAATATGATTATTATAAAAATATATACAAAAAACATATCCCAATCTGAATATTAATATTTAAATTATGAAAATTATTATTAAAACATTGAGCGGATAAAACTTTCCTTTAGATGTGGAAGGAACAGATACAGTATATAATCAATCTAATTATTTAAGATTTCGGTTGTGAAAGAAAAGATCTTTTAAGTGAAATAATTTGAAGTAGGGCAACAAAAATTATTAAGAAAAGGAACACTCTTGGATGATAAAACAACTATTGCAGAATTGGGAATTTAAGAAAACGAATTTTTAGTAGTCATGGTTAATGCCAAAGTATTTTATTTTATTTAAAATTTTCATAGAAATCAGCACCTCAGTAGCCATAGCCAGTTTAACAACCACCTGTCTAATAACCTGCTCAATAATAGCCAGCTTAATAACCTGCTTAATAAGTGCCACCACAATAATAGCCTTAACCTTAAGGAGCTCCAGTTGTAAAACCAGCAGTATCTGGAACAGGATTACTATCTGGACCAGAGTACGACAAAGCTATCGAAGAGTTAATGTCTATGGGATTCTAAAGGGAAGAATGTGTAAATGCTATGAAGGCAGCATTCAACAATCCTGATAGAGCTGTTGAATACTTATTAAATGTAATACTAAATTCTATAATTAGGGTATCCCTCCTGGTGCTATATCTAATCCTCCTGCTCCAGTTGTTGGTGGATAAGGATAACCACCTGCTGCTTAATAACCAGTTAGTTAGCCAGCTTAATACTAATAATTAAGATAAATGTACTAATAGAATCCATAAGCTGTTATCTAATTGATACCTTAATTGTTGCAACAACTTTAATAGACAAATCCTGAGTTACATGCATAAGTTTCATAAAACCCTGAAATGTTATTACAAATTCTTATGGGAGGAGGAGGATAATAAGGCCCACCTCCAGGATCTATCTAATTAAGTTAATAAGAATTTAAAGATATTGAAACTGTATTTATATTTATAATATTTTAGATTATGGGATTAGGTTTTACTAAATAAGACTCATTAGAAGGTTATTTAGCATGTGATAAAAATGTTGAGATGGCAATTAATTATTTATTTGAGAAATAAGCAAATGGAGATCTATTTAGTATATTCTTAATTTAACCTTAGCTTAACATGTTTAAAGAGAATAAGCAAATCCCCCAAATCAACAACCACCTGGTGGAAATGATGGACCAATGGATGAAGAAGATGACGATGATGTTTATTAATGATATATTATTATTCATAATATTAATTTCAATACATCCATTGATATATATTCTTTTTTTATATCTTCTTTTATTATTTTCGAAGGAATAGAAACATTAAAATATTCATATTTATCATTTTTCATTTAGCAGTGATTCTGCAAAAAATACATCAAATTTTATTACTGTTTATTATAATATACTGAATAATTATTTATGAAGCATTATTCTTTAGTATGTTGAATTAAAACTATAAAGAAAACAATAATAGGCAAAATAGTAATTTTAATAATTGAACATAATTCACTAAAGCTTGCCCATAAGAATGTTAATTATTTCACAAATAAATTAATCATCCTTTATGCATCTGTTAATGAGTAAAAGAAAGTTAAAGCATATTGTGATACCAACATTAAGAAAATTTAACATAGATGAAATAACAGAAAATTGAGAATGAATAGAAACTAATCTTTAATAGAGAAATAAAATTTAATCAAACATAAAATATTAAATTGAATGAATGCCAATAACAAATGATTAAATTATTCAATAAATTTCTAATATTAACAAACTATTTGGAAGATTAAAATAATATAATTTAAACTAAACTAATAAAAAATTGTTGATACAAAATATAAACTCAAAAAGTTTAGAAAATATATTATAAAGTAAAAATAAATATCGATTATGAATTTTTGAAAAACAAATTAAGCACTTATACTGACTAACAATAATAAAAAATTACATTATTTTACATTATATTGTATAGATAAGAAATTATAGATATGAAATTAAATGTTTTTATTTAAAATGTTTAAATAGAAAGAGAGAGAAGAATAAATATAAGGATTTGAATCTAAATAGTTTATATATTAATTTCAATACTTTATTTCCTTTTTAATAAATAATAACATAAACAAGAATAGTTTTTACTAATGTAATTTGTAATAGTATTAACTAGTAGTAAAATATTGTTAAAATTATAATCATCATTTTATTTATATCTGTATATTATTGAGAATTGACAGAGTTTGGTTAAATTAAAAAGAATACCTTAATTACAAATATATATATGTAATAGGTATCACAATTATTGAAATAATTTGACAGTATTACAATTTGAAAAATAAATAGATACTATAATGATAAATATGTTCTTAGATCTTGTAAGATGGTATGCATTAAATAAATTTTTCATTGATTGAAAGATAATTTTACTGTAGTATGAAGTATTTTAATTGAAACGATATTTAGTGATTTGAATAATATTTTAATATATATATAATATTATAGTTTAAAATAATTCGATCGATTATTGACATGTAGTGTGTAGGCATTATATTGTAACATTAATGAAATGTGAAAAGTTCTCTTAACAATTTGATTAAGATGTTTTGAAAATGATTATAGAAAATTATTAACAAACATATTGAAGAATTAATATAATATAAGATTATAATAATTTAGTGATTAAAATTCCTTTCTAAATTAAAAGTGATAAATGTTAGTTAAATGATAGTTATATGTAATTCATAAATAAGAAATTAGTATTTTCAAAACATTTCTTATAACAATTGACTCATAAACTAATTATATGTTTGTTTTGCATAAAATAGGAATCAATGTGAACTCTAATAATTAGGTAATTATAAATCTATAATTCAGAATTTAGCTAAATATTATGCATATGTAGATCGATCTGATTATATATTTGGTGTTAGAGCCGTTGTAAAAGAGATTCGGGAATCAACTCCAGTTATTTCAAAAATTGGTTGATTCTTATCCATCTAATATTAATAAAATAATGAATATAAAAGTATAAAATAAAATTCAATAATTATCAATAATATGTATTTGTTCTTCTCGAATACATTCTCATTGGATGAATTAAAGAGAAAGCAAAATTAAATTTGGTATAATTCTATGTTTTTTGCTTTAAAATAAGTATTAAACTTTATATAATGATATAAAGAAAAGTACATGTCCTAGCCATATGCTATATTTCAGCTAACAATAAACTTGTTTGATTGTATTTTTCTGGGATTAAATACATGTGATATAATCTAGAATAAAATGTAGTAGTTAATTTAATAGGGAATAAAATTAAATGATTTAACTAAAAAAAATAGTATATTTTTAATAAATGCTGGAGAATTCGAACATCTTAAAGAGGACAATGAAAAAATGTACACTGAACTTAAGTTTCTCATCATTCTTAACCACATTTCAATAAATATTTATTCATTGGAATAACAATGAGATCAACTAAAGAAAAATTTTCTTTGGAAATAACAAAATTGAAAGTATGTGAGCTGAAGCTGTGATAAATGCTTTATAAGATTCACAGAATCAAATATTACGAAACTTGGACGGATGCCGATAATATATCAAAGAGTAACACAGTTGGAGGATCTAAAATTACTGAAATAAGGCGAGTAAAAAAAGAAGACAAAAATCAAAGTTAAAATTTTAGTGGGGAATGTTAAAATAATATTTTTTTAACAAATTATCAAATAATCCTGAAAGCCGTTTTAATTATATTATAATAATTTAAATATTCATATAATCTAGAAAAAATTTTAAATTATATGTCTCTTTATAGAGGTTAAATAATTGTTAAATTTTGTAAACTTATTTATAAAATGAAGGATAACACATATTAGTACTTAATAAGTCAGGAAATTTGAAATTCTAAAAGTTTTGATCCTATTATTTATATTGCAAATAACGATAAAACAAAAATTTATTAATTATAATATCAATGGAGCTTATAGAAATGAAGATTTAAACTTCCTGGCTTTGTCTATACATATTTTTTTGTTCTACCTTTTGCTCACAATTCAATGAAGATTTGTTAATTAAGAGCTCATATCCTATGGAGATGACAACAATTACAAAAGCATCTAATCCATCTTAGTATGAATTTTGGAGTTTTTACATCACAAATTGGTAAGTGACTTCTTTCCCTTGGATTGAATAAGAGCCAGATTAAGGTAGAATCAAATAGCAGTTATTATTTTTAATGAAAACTGTAGAGGATAAAAAAATATTGGCATTTATGTATGCAACTGTAATAACTGTAACTAATGTTTTACATAACTTCTATTTTGATGGTAAAATTATTGAAATACCTTATAATCCAAGTGAGTATGAAGGAATATGGATATTAAATGTCATTACTTTGAAGGGATTAAAAATGGAGTTTGAAACCTTTGGAACATCTTAGACTTAGATGTTATACACATTTGCATTAAAAAAATCAGTAATTGGCTTAAATTTTTATGTTGGAGGATCTGGAATTGTAAATTATATATATATAAGATTTTAGATTTTTCAAAAATATGAAACGGTAATATTTAGAGGAAGATTATCTAAATTATTTGTAAATAATAGTTAAAGGAAAGTATCTCAAATATATTAAGAAAGAATAAATATATTAAGAAAAAATGAATATGAACAAACAATAAGCTTGATTCCAGATATAGTCAATTTTGATGGAGTTGTATAAAAATAGTTTGAATTTGATTAATTTGGAAGAAAATTTAGTATTTATGGATGGGTAAAATTTTATACAGAAGATGCCTATTAATTAAAAAAGTATTTAATAGTTAGATTAACAATTTTTAAAAATTATTAAGATGAAATGGTTGTTGGAGATGAAATACTCAAAATTACAGCAGATTTATATTTGTCTGACAAACAAAAATGTGGATATGATGTGATATCTCATCATTATTGGATGCCATATCCTTAAAACCAGTTGTCAGATTCTAAAGAAGATAAGATCAGTTTAAGAGGAGACTTGCAATATTTAGAAATATTATCAAAATGGCATTTTATTTCATTTGAATATGGAATAAAAGGAACTACATAAAGATCTTAATTTAAATTAAATTATTTTGAAAATCGTAATTTGATGTCTAAAACCTAATATCTTGGAAACAAATAATATAACAGTTTATTTATAAATACAAAATATTATGCTATTTTAGGAGGTGATTATACTGTTTATGAAAAGATGAAAGGATAATTAGCTAGGTTTTATTTTAAATCAAATTTTTAAAATGATTTAAACATTTAATTCAGTATTATTAAATAATATTCTTAGATTGTCATCATAGTTGCAAAACTTGCAATGGACCATTACTTTCAAATTGTTTATCTTGTAATGATTAAAAAAGAGTATTTTTGGAAGATATTCATCAATGTGTTTGTCCATATGGATAATATGAAAGAAATTAATTATGCTACTCATATTCAGAATTATATCCAGAATTAAATTATAATGAAATTAAATTGACATTACCAAGTTCTTAATGTCTATTTGGATATTTTTATCTTCCATCAATTTAATAGTGCTTAAAATGGTAAATAATATAACAACACTAAATAGTCCTTAATGGAGCCCTTATAATTTATTTTGTGCAGATTGTTTATTTAGTCCGTCTGTTTGGTATATGCGACCTATCTGTACTATGGATTTAATTACATAATAAATTAATAAAGATTAAGATGCTTATACTTAATAAATAAGGTCTACTCTAGATTATGATGTTTATTATATTAATAATGATCATAATTTGATATTACTTGAAGGAGTTTATGATTACTGTGACATAACTAAAGTATCAACAGAAGAATGTTTGGAATTAAATGTTTAACATTTATAAAGTGATGCATTTGGATTTTGTAAATAAAATCGATATTACTCTAATTTTAGTTGCAATTTATTAGATAATGCATGTATTAAATTAAATAAAAGTGATAAAAAATGTCTTGAATGTTTAAGTGGATATTATATATCAGATGATGGTACATCTTGTTTATAATGTCCTAAATCATGTTAAAATTGTTATGGCTTAAACAAATGCTCATCTTGTGATCCAAATTTTGGATTAAAAAATGAATAATGTGTTAGATGTGGAAATTTTTGTAAAATTTGCAAATATTCAAATGAATTTGACATTATGTAATGTTTAAGTTGTATTGACAATAAGTTATATTATTAATCTTTAAATGCATAGGATTGTAAAAAAAATGAAAAACAAAATTGTATATATGCATTTGAAAGTTCTAAATCAGATAGATTTATCATTTCTTTAGATTATAATTTTAGACCTTATAATTAGCCAACAATTATTTAATGTGCATTATGCAAAGTTGGCTATTATTATTATGATTAAACAAGTAGTTGTGTTCAAGGAGGATTAACAAATTGTCAATATGTTTATGGAAGACAAGGAGGATCTTAACTAAACAAAATTTGCTTATTTGGTTCATATAATTCAGGCACTGTAATATATTCATTTACTGAAGAATGTCCAAAACTTAAATTACATTGTATACATTGTCTAATTGAATAATTAACAGCCTATATTTAGGGTGAAAATTTAGTTATTAAAAAAGTTTCTTATAAATGTCTTGTATGTGAAAATGGATATTATGCTTTAAAAAAAACAGGTTAATGCTAATAATGCCCATCAGAATTACACTGTTTGAGTTGTTATTAGTAGAATAAATATTATAAAGATAATTGGAAAAATGATATCCGCTCATTTTATCGAGTCTATTTTGAAAATTATTTTCATGAATTTACTGACTATGGAATCAGTTAAAATGATTCGGATTACGAGATACTTTGCACTAAATGTGAAGAAGGATATGAATTTTTTGGAGACCAATGCATTAAAATATGTCCAGAATCATGTTTAGAATGTAAAATAATGGATGGTAAAAATGTTTGTGTAAAATGCCCCTTGGGTTTAAGAGGAAGGAATCGTAGCTTAATTAATAATTAATGTGTTTATTGCCCATAAAATTGTGAATTATGCAAGGAAAGAGATGAAAAAGATGTACATTTGATCAACCCACTTTTTATTAATAAAGATTACTCATATTATTCTTATTATTGCATATATGGAAACACTGAAATATTTGATTAAGAATTAGGATTATATATTGATTGCTAAAATGGTCCATGTTAAAAAGAACTTCTGATGAATTTTAATTTAATTTGTGATTTTGATGAATATTAACAATAAATTAACTAATTGTAAAGTGAATAGGAAAAAATTACATTTAGACACTAAAACATTTTAAGTGATGATTTGTTTTCTTCAAATAGTTTTTCATAGGTAAAAATTCTATATAATAATTTTAGTTTGAAACATACGAATTTTATTAAGAGGCTAATGAAAAAACAATTAAAAAAATTTTGATAAAACTAATTAGTCAAAAACAATAAAGTTGTATAGTTAAGGATTAATTACAGATATCATAAAATTTCAGTTCAAATATTTTTTCAGCAATGTAATTATTTATAATATTATAATATAGAGATGTTGAGCTTGAAATTTATGGTAATGGCATTACAACTTTAATATTTCAAAAATAACTATTATTTGTGAATTTTAAAAGAGTTCACATTGAAGGAATTATAATTCAAATAGAGTATTTCCCATTTGGTCCTAATTTACTTAAATTTACTAGTCTTTTTGAGTAAACTATTGAATTAGTCAAAATATCTTATAAGTAAGACTTTAATTTAACCACTTTTTATACAATTATAGAAAATGCTAAAAATGTTTTGTTATAAGAATTTTTGGTGGAAGATTGCATAAGATAATTCTCTATTTAGGCTTTTATTAAGATTTAATAGATAAAATCTTACTAGACAATTAAAATTATGAATTTTAGAATTTTAAATAGTTCATTTTTAAATTTACATCTATTTTGGTTTGATCTCAAAGAAAATGATTAAGTTGAAATAACAGATT